TAAAATTCAATAAGAGTAACTCTCTGGTCGTCAATGCCAAATTTATTTGTTTGGTATTAAATTACCAATAATTTATTTGATATTATTGGTATTAAATTACAAATAGGGAATAAATTCGACCTGAAATCCATATTGTACCGGCAACAGTTTTTCCTGAACCGTACTAGATAGCGATCATTGTTCACGTCAAGCAGCAGAGAATTCTGAATTATATACAACACTTGTACACAACACATTGAGCTATTACAACATTCATGTATGAACATGTACACCATTGCTATATTTTTATATAGGAGATTCATTCGTGGCTTATGTATTACGTAAAAATTTTTTATATGTAGTGCATATTTAATCTCGAAATTCATCTCTGATGATGGCTTTTTCTTTTCTAGGTGACCATCCTGATGTTCTTCCTGCCGCTGCTGGTGATGTTGTGTGCCTACCTGCTTATCGTGCAGCGGCTCTGGATGCTGGAGTCACTCGGAGAGTCGCCTGAAATGGCAAATTCTGCGCACCTCTCAGCCAAAAAGAAGGTACGCTGGCACGAGCAAATACGATGCTTGAATTTAACCGAAGGTGGGAAAATAAATTAAAACAATGACCTACACTTATAAAAAGAAGTCCTTCAAAGCTGGAGCTGAACAGTTTCTCAAAACATGACATTCGGTTAAGCAAAAAGACAAATATAAGAGAAGGCACCATTTTCTCCATGCCTTTCATTTAAACTACGCAGCCCCGGCCTACGCAAAAAACACTACCCCCTGAAAAAACAAGTTAAACTTGCATACAGGACAAATTTTTTCCATGGCTTCTCTCTTGAAAAGAGCCTGCAATATCAGCACATTGCGACGCCCGGGAGTATTTCTTGCGTCCCTACTTAAGCTGCCTCGTGCCAGGAAGGAATTATGTTCTTTGAAGACTTGGATTCAACAGTTTACTGATCATTAGGCCGCTACTGCTGCGGCACTCACTTGAATTTACGTTATCAACGTTTGTTGAATTGAGACAGTGTTTTTTGTTTGCTTCCTCAACTCTTCCTCAACAGTTTGCTTCCTCAACTTTGATTATTTTTATTGTAAAACAGGTTATTTCTTTCGAAATTGTGATAAGATTATTTTGGTTTAATTCGCAGCTAAGCCTAAAACGCTCCTATAAGCCTCTGCTTGGTTACTTCTCTTTCTGATATTCCTTGTCTATCAAAATTATTGACCTAAATCCAAATGAACTAACTCTGTAAATTGATTCTAAACATGATTTAGAAATCTAATCCTTAAAGACTAAATCCGGGAAATGCATAATGAACTGGAATGGGAACTTGTACATTACCCACTCCGAATCTTATGTCAACAACATGTTCATGTGAATTCGTTGCCATCTTTCCATCGCTTGAATCCACGGCTTGAAACAAAGCTGTATTGATGGGCCACTTTATTGACATCATTTATCGGCCTGAGAATTTCTAAACATAATCCGCATGAACGGCAACCCTGCTTCAAATTAACGGCCCTGATCGGATGGCAATTGACTGTGCTAGAGGGAGGCAGGAATAGTTCCATCCCACCATTTGGTTAAAAAAAACTGAGTACCAATTGCGGCGAACTGCAGTGTCAATCCGGACGGGGTTAAATATGGATTCACAGCAAAGCTCTCTGTGTATTTTTGATTTTCCAATTAGGCACAGATATATTGCGTATCGTTCTGAGTAGCTTGACAAATATTTGGTGAAATATACCTACTTGATTCGCAATTTTCTGTATAACCTGGAAGATAGAAATGTGTTAGGAAAACATTCTACAACCGTCGACAAAATAAGAATGACTTATGACGGAAGCAAATTATTTTGTTAGTCTGTTTTTTTTTTCGAGACAGGGTCGCGGAGGTTAGAGAGGGTTATTGGCACAGTCTAGGAGGCGTGACCTAATACGAAGAGAGCCCTGAGATGTTATTCCAGTCTAATTCTCATCCTTCAATGCAGCAGTCCGGAATAAACTTTGTATAAATTGTGGATTAAGTCTTCAAATTATGTGATTGCACACGTAAATACTGCAAACTACAGCCCAAAATGAAGTAAACGAACCGATAATAATCAGGAGAAGTTAGGAGCTGTTCAGTAGATTTATCTCTACGGTCATTCTACAGCTTGCTTTGAAAACAAGTTGTTTTCAGTGAATTAATAGGATCATTAACAATGACCTAATTTCATATACGAATAATGAAATTATTCAGATGAATGTCGAGACATTTCTGCCGATTCAGGGCATCTTGGGCAATGACAGGCATTAAAAGCCGCGTACAGCCTGATTTATAATTCTAATATGGTGTAGCAATGTAGATTATTTTAATGTGTAGGTACACGTAGCAATGTAGATTGTTTTAACGTCCAGGTGTAGCAAGTTTGATTGTTTTAACGTCCAGGTGTGGAAAGTTTGATTGTTTTAACGTCTAAGTGTAGAAAGTTTGATTGTTTTAACGTGCAGGTGTAGCAAGTTTGATTGTTTTAACGTGCAGGTGAAACAATTTTAACTGTTTGGAAGTGCAGGGGTAGCAATTTTGATTGTTTTTACGCGAAGGTGTAGCAAGTTTGATTGTTTTATCTGGAAGATGTTACAAATAAACTGTTCAATGTGCAGCTGTAGTAAGCTGGATTTTTTAGCAAGGGGTATAGAAAATGTAATGTTCAATACATTCAAATTACACATCAAGCCAGGAGTTAATTTCAGCTTGCAGATATATTCATATTTATTGTTCAACGTGCAGGTCGTGCGGTTGTCTTGCTCGGTGCTGCTGTGCTTCGTGGCCTGTTGGGCGCCCTTGCAATCCACTATTCTGTACGCCATCACTGCCAAGCCTGAGGTGATGACATTACCTGGGTACACTGCTATGTCCCTGGTCTAATTTAAAAACATTTCTGGCATGGTTTCGACTACTTTCATGTAATATTCAAATTTTTAAAACTCGATCTTTTAATTTTTCAACTTTATTGTGCAAAAACTTGTCCATTATTTTTTAAAACTTTTTACGCGGCTAATCTTAGTTCAAACTAGAACTAATTAAAAAAATATAACTAAGTATTCACTGCAGTGAGTGACAGAACGCATTTTCTTGGAGACGAAAACGTGAAGTCACGGACAGACAGACGGACATGACGAGCACAATAGGGTATTTTTTCCATAAATGAGAAAATGCGCTAAATATGCGCTAATAACTTTGGTGCGTGTATTATTTATTTAGTATGTCAATAATTTATGGTGGCTGAGATCAAGACCTGGGTTATCTTACATGTTTTCGGAAAGGCCAATCTTAAACCAATTTAAAACTATAATCTAAATCACGAAACATTCCAGAGTATTCTTAAAATCAACGAAAACGTGAAGTCACGGACAGACAGACGGACATGGCGAGCACAATAGTGCATTTATTCCATAAATGAGAAAATGCGCTAAAAATTTATCAACGAATCATTCCCGTCGCGACCGCAATTTATGCATCGGATGCGCGAGGCCTACTAGCTTCTAGTTTTTTCCCTCAAATTTCAGACGGGTGACCTGAATTTGTGACTTGTTTCGAAGCTGATATGTTCTCGACAAGAAATATACCAACAACAATCAATAATCAAATGACTATTTTTTCAATTGTAGTCGTCCTTTGATATTTTATACATAATATGTTGCACGGGATACCAGAAAAAACCTTTGTTTCTAAACTCAGGCTCTGAGTAGCCCGGAGTTCGAGTCGACCATCTTCTGGGTGTACATGCTTGCCTACTCAAACTCTGCGCTGAACCCGCTGCTCTACGCCTGGTTCAGCAAAGCGTTCCGCGAAGAGTTCCGCACGATGATCGGAACAAGGGAACGTCGCTACCATTCAAGTAAGATTTCAATATGTTATTAATTACAATGATTGGCATTTTTGGGCAAATCCAATAATGATGGATAAAGTATACGCAAGTGACGATTTTGGGGCTCTATTTAATTCGAAGATTGGTTTTATATGACGTGGCTTCGTTTAAATTCAAATCGGAATTAGACACAAAAATGCAGGATAAACTTCGATTTCTTTCAACTAATGACTCGACTCAATGGTTACAGTTACGATCTTATTTACTTTATGTGTTTGAGAAAGCTCGAGAAACGTTTTATCAACAATGTGTGTTCTCGTATGTTGGTACAAAAATGTTTGATATGTACTGTGGAATCGTTTAATTAGTGAGACAAATAGAGAAGTAAAATATAACGGCTCATATAATTTTTCTTTATATCTATGTACTGATGAAAGTCAGTTTCCTTTTCCTTGTCCCAAAAGGCGTTACTTGCCGCTCGTTCACTCGCGCCGACCCTCCGTCGAAGACAAACTTGACGCTGCAGCCGCTGTCATACGCGAGCAGTTGTCGGAAGGGTCGCCGGCCTGTGGACCGCAGCGCAGTCATGGTTCGCTACGCCAGAAAATGTGTGCCGAGAACGCGTCGTCTGCACCAAAACAACAACCCGTCTTTCCTCAGTCCTCTCGACACAAGAGGGTTCACGAACCCAGCACTACATCTCTTGCCTCATGACAGGAATCGGTTCAAGGATAATTTTCAAAATTTCACGCCGAATCTTTTCAAAACAAACTCCCTGGAGATATTACCCGATGACATTGATCGATTGCATGACGAATCCTTGCCTACTTTTTCCGTTAGCGAAACAAGATACAACGACAATTGCATGGTATCTCAGGACTCACTTTCCTTGACGGACGGAACTTATTCTATTGACATGAGTTCGCAAATTCAGAAAGTCCAGAGTCCAGCAATCGAAAATAATTGTCGCTCGAACATCTCATACACTTCAGCTTCTGAACATCATAGTGAACCCACCATCTCGGACCAGGTAGAAATGAGGATGCGTTCTTATAATTTAAGACGACAGGATACCGTAAATATTATCGAGGGATATGAGGCTCATACATTCATTGCAAACTCTATTATCTAAATAATAATATTAAATTTTATTTTCCTACTTTTCAATATACTTTCAAATTATAAAGAAACATGCTAAAGGGTGCTAAGATAATATTCTTACATGAATTTCGCATCTGAATATCAAAGAGAGAGGAAAATTTTGTAATTTTACGGAGCACAAGATTAAAGCTCCGTAAAATTACGGAGCTTTAATTAATTATTATGTAATTATACACAACAAGCAAGATAAAGTTTGCTGGCTACATACAAGGCAACAATTATTTACTAAGGGACATGAATTTCTTTAACCGAGTCAAGTCTTTTCGACGATGACCTTCTCATCTAGGTAAGCTTTGCACTGTTCAGTTTGCTGATCAGGGATTAATATTATATTTCTGAGGTTTTTAGATCTAATATTACTTCTCACTGCCTAGTCAATCATCGTTCCCAATAACAACGCAATTATTTCTATTTTGAACTAAATGCGCAACAACTATAATACGAGACAATGACATTTAAAATGCATGCCCATCCGATGAAATGTACGGATGTTCATGTATAATACTAAATCCTTTGATAATATAGTGTTCATGTCATGTAACTATAATTTTTGTGCAGTTCATAACAAGATCCCAGTTGAAATCAATTAATTCTTATCTACTGTAAAGATACGCACAAAAATAGCACTTCCCTCAATGTAATTGAGAATAAGATGTCGAAGGCTCATAATATTTCCAAGCATATAATTTTTGTGGCATTCATTTTAAATGTTAATTCTATTCATCTAAATGCAATAATGTACTCGACCGGTACATTTACCTTGAATATCATGATATGTGGAGGAACAGCTGATTTTCTGACGAAATGCCGGTTACGCATTATTATACAATAAATTTTATTAATACAATCAGTACATTTCTACAGATATTAAAGTGTAGTATGGGTTATCATTTTAATTAGAGTTTTTTCTGTAATGTACAAGATTAATCGTTGTTAAAAAAAAAACAAAGTTGAGCCACCCCGAGAATTTGTAGTTGCCCATTATATATCAAATAAATTTAAATGTGAAATGCAATGTCTTTTTTTAAGAGCCTTTCCCTTTAATGTAAACTCACCTACACAGGCAGCATCTCAATGGCATAACATGCGCCACTCCCATTAGTAAATGTGAATATTTTTGTAGATCGTTTTAGAATTGCTAACAATTTCCAGGGTTTTTCTTATTTTTTATAAAACATAGGGCCCAATCCCATGATAAGATATACCTACGCTCAGATGTAGGATATGATCGAGAAAAATTGCCATCCAGTGACGATATTATAAAATTGAGAGAGACAAATGATTAAAATTAAGGGGTATGCATGGCAACGTCCGATCGAAATGAAGAGAGCCTCTGATTAAAATGCTTTAAGATACCCGATAAAATGTAGAGTGTTGCCTGATTAGAATGCATGGAGGCACCGGATAAAAATGAAGAGAATCGACTGATAGAATGCAGGGCGACATCTGATCAAAATGAAGAGTTTCCCCTAGCTGATAAGGAAAAGGGGAGACACCCGATAAAACTGTATAGAATGTTGCCTGATTCACCCGATAAAAATGCAGATGGTTGTCTGATACAAATGCATGGAGACAGCTGATAAAAATAAAGATAGACACAGGATTGTGATGCTGCGCTAACACCAGCCAGGCGACCAGACGCTGCCGAAGCGCCGCGGGTCGCCCGCCATGTCCATGGGCGGGTTGTCGGAGGCCTGCGCCCTCGGCAGCTCCTGCAGCAGCCGACGCAGCAGCGACCGCACCATTCCAGGATGCAGGGCAGACAAGTCTTCCTTCTCGTTAGGATCAGCTAAGAAAAGAAAAAAGTTTCACCATAAAAATAATTTTTAAAACGTATGAAATTTTATTGCGAATTTAATATCACACTAGTATAAAGTGCATATTTTCAACAAATTAGGCACTCATGAATTCTTAGTTATTGTCCTCGCTTGGACTTTCTCGTATGTAGATTATCATTAAATTAATTAACGATTAAAGTTATAATATATAATAGTTGAAGAAAAAGAATGCAAATTTACTGATAAGTTGAGAATGAAAAAATTACCATTTATTTCACTGATCAGTAATGATTGGTTGGATTATCCTATGTATCGGAAGAAACCTGTCATGTTGCATGCTTTTTGAGTATTTTTGTTTTGTATTAAAAACTCGAAGCTCGTTAAGTTTTTATCGAATGAAAATGGATGCACAGTTAGAAGTAAAATCTAGGTTAAAATATAAATATTCGTCACTTATTTACACTGTTTCAGCGCTCATAAGAGGGGTCTTATTTATATTAATTGCTAAATCCGTGTCCTCGAAGGTACGATAAATATAATTCTTACAATATTCTAGTAATCGGTCCAACTTACAATGCAAATCATAGAGCCTCAGTTCCAAGCCATCCTTAAAGAAGTCCTTGACTTTCTTGTAACTTCTATATGCGTTTATTTCCTTATTCCTGTTGCGACAGTCTTTCCTGCTGAGCGCGTCACAATTTATCATAAATTCTTGCGTCGTTTCTTCTTCCCCTCTAATTTTTTCTTCGCGGATTTCCTCTTCATCCGTTTCGTCATCTTCAAGTAATTCCATGAGATTTGGTAACGGAAATACGTCAACGGCCGATGAATTATTTTGAATAGACCCTTCATGCAACGTTTCAATGTTAGGTAGAATTACTTCATCATCCAATGCTTCAACATTCGGTAGAATTATATCATTTTCCAATGCTTCATTATTAGTTTTGATAACTTCCTCAGTAAATGTTTCAACATTAGGCCGAATCGCTTCGTCATCCAAATCTGACGAATTGCGTTGAGTAAATTCCTCGTCCGATACTGATGAATTACTTTGATGAACTTCTTCAAGTGCCGTCGAACTTCCATTCAAAGTTTCATTCAAGCCAATAGGAAAATTCCCCACTCCTGAAGATTGCTTAGACATTTCGCCCACGTCCTGTGGTATTGCATCAATGTCATCGTCAGCAATATTTGCAGCTGCAAGTGAAGAAGAGCCTCGCAATGTCGAACCCATCAACTTTCCATCCTCGTGTTGCATTTTACCTTTACGGTTTTTCTGTGCAAGGCGCTGCTCCGCAATGCCAGGCTTCACCCAAACATTGCCGCGAGTCTCGCCAACGACGAGCTTGTAATCGCCTTCCCTGTAAATTAAATGGGATAAAGTGAATGAGGCGGTGAAAATTATCCTCTTGGTTAGCATAAAATTAGAAGAATTTGTATCCGAGGACAGTAATAGTATAATGTAAATAATACAAAAAAATAAAATTTAATACAATAATAATGTTATACAATAATGAGAATGGTACTTGCTTATAATCCAAGGATTAGTACGACTTCTGTACACTATACTCAACAAAAAAATTTCTTAGCCATGCAAAAACATTCCCCTGACAACTTTCTTTATTTGACAAAAAATTTATGCGACTCATTCCAATGAGGTTACCTGGCATAATTGAAATATTATTAAATGAGTCATCCCTTGAGTTACTCTGGTTGATTGATTCTTACTGTCCTTAGACTCGGCGAAGAATTGTTTTTGAACGCTCACAGCTCACAGCGTTGTTGAACGCGGTAAATGCGAGGGCGATGTACGTGATTACCGTGAAAACCTGATTGATTTCAGATGAGCTACTGAACGGAAAATTTCGTTTGAAGCTCATATTTTCTAAACAAACGAATCCTTTCAAATTTCATTATTTACTCAAGGGATCGGAACGGAATTTTTCGAGCAAAAAAAAAACAAATTTACGAAACTATTTTTTGCGCGGCTCAGAAAATAAAGACGTCCTTTTTTCCAGTAAAATCAATCAGTTCTCATCAAACGGCATTTGCGTAAAGTCCTCGAAAAAACAACGATGAAGATAATTGTTTTTCTTTAAACTATGACACCGACATATAGATGCCTGTATTTCTGTAAACTATTATACAGACAACTAGTTTCCTGCATATCAGCAAAATATAATAAAGGAAACTGATGTGTGTATAGTATCTATATTATGGGTCAGACATGCAGATGCCTTCATGTTTGTGAACTAATGATGCAGAAGTAGAGATGTCTGTGTGTCTGTAAGCGTCTTTTCATCGAGTAAATCATAAATTATTGCGTCCTATTGCGTAAATCATAAATTATTGCGTAGGCGACTGTCACCTCACGGCCGCTTTGAGCGCGTCCTGCGAGTAGGCGACTGTCACCTCACGGCCGCTTTGAGCGCGTCCTGCGAGTAGGCGATGTTGTACACGAAGGAGTCCCGCGCTGGAGCTTCGCGCCCCGCGAGCGCCGCCCACTGGTCCACGCCGTCCACCTCGGGCGGCACCGCGGCGCCCGCCAGCCCCGCGATAGTGGCGAACCAGTCCACGGCGTGGAACAACCTGCATGAACAACAGGCGGTTCTGGACAAGCAAAATTAGATAAACAACTTTGTATAGGTGAACAACTAGATGTCGGTGGATAACTTGATGTCAGTTGACTAATATAGGTCGGTAGGCTACTGGATTTCGAGGGGCAAGTAGAGGTCGATGGACAACTAGTTGCCGGTGGACACCTAGATGTTGGTGGACAACAAGAGGTCTGTGGACAACGGGATATTGGTGGATAACTGATATAGGTGGACAACTAAAGGACGGTTGATAACTAGAGGTCGGTTGACAACTAGATATTGGTGGACCACTTGGGATCGGTGGACAACCAGCAATTAGTAAACAAAGACTGCTTGTTAAATACCTGATGATTGTAGGAAAACAAGAAAATTTATAATATGAACAATCACGGGCCGACACCATTTAAAGTTGAACACTTTGATCGAATCTATGAAAATTTTGGTGTCGTTAAATTTCAATTATTAAGACTTGTTCTGAGATTCGCTCACTCATTTGCATAAGTGGATGCAAAGTTCTACCGCCAAGCAATGCTAAGCAGGAGTCACTCACCCTCTGTAGACGCCGGGGGACGACAGTAGAGGCGAGTGCACGAAACCTGGCACACGTACGCCGCCCTCCCACAGGGTGCTCTTGTGGCCCTTCAGCGGCCAGTTGCTGCCGGCGCCCTTCGTGCTCCCTCCGTTCTGAATATAAAATAATTACTAAGAAGATAAATTCTGATATTCCTGATACATATGCGGTAATGAGATCTTAACTTAACCGTGATCGCAATGATCGAATGACACGTCTTCATTTCATTTACGGAAGTAATTATTTACGATTGCATATTTAAATGTAATTTTGAAATTATGCAAATAATTCATTCATGATACGACTGTTAGAATCAAATTAAAATTTTGCTTTCACGAGAAAGCAAAAATCATGTGCACTTATGCATACTGAATAAAATAAAATTCGTGAAATTTTTTAAGAGTATTTCTTAGTTCAACTCTTCAAGAGCAATAAGAAGAATATAACAATCAATAGATGCATTAAACTTAACACTGAGTATCAACTGCGAGACTCACATCGGACGTGAAGACGATGACGCTGTTGTTGTAGAGGCCTGATGACCGCAGGGCTGACACGACGATGCCGACCGCATCGTCCAGCGCTGATACCATGCCTTGCAATAAAGATATTAATTAATCTCAGATCTCGTCAGCAAATACTAAATGAAATAGAAAGCGATGGTGTGAAATACTTTTAATGCAAGCACGCACTGAACACAAGATTTGAAACTAGTCATCAAATTTAAGTGTTAATTGAAAAAGTTATATTTCTCATCAATCTTAGTTTGCCCTCAAGATTGTTCTACAATATAACGAACAAAATATCTCGCAAAATAAGAAAATGTTGCGTTCATATATAAGGTTTCCACTCATTTTTAGCTGGCACCCTTTTAATTCCAGGTCATTTGCGATAATTAACCTCTCGTTGTGACTCACGATAAACATTAAAATAGAAGCAATGTCATAATTACTTTGGATGCATTAAAATGAACCAAACTAAATTCAATTCCTGTCTTAATTATAGAGAAATGTGTGTATATAGGGTACTCCATACTCCAAGTTAATATTGTACATATATGTATATATATATATATATATAAATTAGTCATTTTTGCATGATTAAACTCATCGTCTTTCAGGCAACCGCTAAAAATCCCACTGATCGAGAATGATTGATATATACCAAGATACTGACTGGCGGCTGATTGATACTAAGACTCTGACTGGAGACTGATGGAGACCAAGACTCAGACTGACTGAGACTGAGGTCTAATAATTCAGGTTCAGACAGAAAGTCATTTTTAAAAATTGAACGAAATTAAACTATGTGAATATCCATGTAAATAAACGTAAATAAAAAATTACACGTCATGCGCGTACTGGACATGACACAGAGTAACGGGAGGAATTTCCTTCTTCGCGCTAAAGTTACTTCCGATTAACTCTAGATTATACGACAATGTTAGTATTTTTGCTATTTATATCTGCTTTATATATATCTTTCAAAAATTCAATAACAAAACATATATGTAATAACTTTGATAGAAACCAAAGTAATAAAAATCGTAATAAATTACTTTTCCAAACCAATATTCTATGAGAAGCAATACATTTGTTTAAATGTTATGCAGTTTCGAAAATTGATTGATTAAAGAATTTCAACTCAGAACGTTAAATGAACGTAGCATAATGTTAAAGATTTTGCCGAGCTTACGCTACTTTTTGAAGCGTTAATGGGGCAGAAAGATTTCCATATCCAGTAATTATTTCAGATTCTTACAATAGCTCAATACTAAATGTTGGGCCATCATTTCCAAAAAAAATATCTTGTAGAAAAAGTTGCACTAAATATTGCAGCACAATGAAGTATTCCAAGAACGAATCCAGAGTAAGCTCCCACGAAATGTTTTATTGCGAAAAGCAATAAAATTTCAATTTTGTGCTCGCTTCGTCCAGCCATTTTTCATTATGCCAACTCAAAGTATTCGAAGCTTCAATGGTAAAATTCTGGGATAAAGCTCAGCTTGATGCTAAAAATATCAAACAATGGAAAACCTTTACGAAAGCGTTGGCGATTAAATCGAACTGAACATGAAACACCACAAGTAGGCCAGAAAAAATGGAAAATAATGCACCGGAGAATCGTTTGCCACTGAAAGTGATACAATTGTGTGCTCATAATAAATATAGCATCTCTTTATGCAATAAAAAACTACCAAGCTTTGAAAATTTAGGATATTACCGTATTCAATACAATTCCGTAGAAGCAAATGCTAACTTATCATTCAATAAGTTGTCAAATTAAAACAGGCGACATTCTTTCTATGTAGAATAGAATTGAATATTAAAAATCTTTGCTCCATAAAAATGTTGGGTTAATTCTTTTACTGTATAAACTTAGGAAAAAACTCAGAATAATAGGATATTTCATCATTCAAAGCAAAATTTAAAAATAAATGAAGAAAGAAAAGCAAGAGAGAAAAATTGTAGAAAACGTACATATATTAAAGTATATCAAAATTAAAATGAATAAAGATTTTAGTGAATCAAATATTGGCAACAGAAAAGAAGATTGGGTATGGCATGCTTTCGATGCCCCGTCTCTTCAATGGAAGAAAGTAAAGAAACTATCCGTCTTAAATATTACAAGCCAATAACCAACTCGCTCAAAGCAAAGACACTCGACTGGGAAGCTTTGATGCTCGTGCGGGACGTTGGAAAGTTGGGGAACTTGCAAAAGAGAGAACGACCCATTTATAGAATAACGATAATATCAATTTGTATACAAGCCTTTTATGATACTTACTTTAGTTTAAAAAAGTTGAATTTTGGCGAGAACACTCTTATAATAAGATAACAAGGTCGAACACGTTGCAGTATTAAATCAAGAATGAATCGCTCTAACTTGAAGTCAGAGTTCTCAATTGAGACAGTCATTTTCTTAAAAGCACTCTTTATAAAGGCGGATCGAAAACATCTTTTTGGAAAATCGATATCCGATCATGTTTTTTTATGTGGACACCCTATAGTAGATTCCAACTTTTACACTACCGAGGACAGGATTTGGTTAATTGAATGATGAACTATTATTGGCTAGCAAAATGTTTTCCTTGTTCTGTCTCAAACAACAGATATTTCAAGCATCTTGGCATGTTAATAATATTCTCAATAGAACTCTCAAAGTCATGATCTGCTGTCTACGTGAACTTGCTAAAAACAAGTCGTTTTATAGTTTCAGTGGCGTAATTTAATATAAGAATATCATCTCTATCTGAAAAAAGTTATTATTAACGGGAGGCGAATGAATTGAAATTAGTTGACTAAATGCACTAAATTTTTTTAAAATATAATAATATACTACAAAGAATAACCTGCGGATCCACAGAGACACACGATATATCAAAATCCTCCGGACAACCAAGATGTAGGGGGAGGGGTGGGGTAAGGACTCGCTAGTAGGTAACTAGCGTATGAGGCTAGGAGAACCTCTAAGCAACAATCGATTTGTGCCATATTTTATTCGCTGATTTATAATTGAATGTTAAATATTTATGCAACCGTATTATAGCTTCACAGGATCAACATTCGAAAATTTAACGATAAAGTCTGCATTATGATGAAATTTACAATTTTTGCAATTTTCAATGGCTTTGCGTCACCTCTATAAATTGTGTGTTTGTAAAAATCCTTTGAAGTGGATTCATTACGCAAGTGTCCACATAAAAAATTATAATCGGATAGCAAATTAAAAAAAACGTTTTTCTATCCAATTTACTATACCCTACCTCGCTAATAATAAAGTTATACCAATATTCCCTATATAAAACGATTTGCATAGAAAAGAAGCACGAACCTAAGAACTTTCAAACGAATATGTGAAGAAATAACGTGGCGTATGAAGAAAGAGTAACTCCCATAAGAAGGTGCAATGATTGACAGATGAAAGAAGTATAACTCACCTAAAAAAGTGCGATGATTGACATATGAAAGAAGTATAACTCACCTAAGAAAGCGCAATGACTGACATATGAAATAAGTATAAATCACCTAAGAAAGTACTATGATTGACATATAAAATAGGTATAGCTCACCTAAGAAAGTGCGATGATTAACATATGAAATAACTATAACTCACCTAAGAAAATACGGCGATTGGTGTCGTCAATACCCCGGTACATGTTGAAGTATCGTTCGGGCACCTGCAACGGGCCGTGTACGGACTGGAAGGGCAGGTACAAGAACAGCGGCCCGTCGGCAGATGACCCGTGCGTCAAGATGACGTCCCGCGCTCGTCGTGCGAACGTTAGCTGACAATTTCATGATAAAAAAAATATAACTCAGTACTCACTGCAGTGAGTGACAGAGAGCGCATTTTCTCGTCGACGAAAACTAGAAGTCACGGACGGACGGACGGACAGACGGACAGACTGACAGACAGACAGACAGACGGACAGACAGACAGACAGACGGAAGGACAGACGGACATGGCAAGCACAATAGTGCATTTTTTCCATAAATGAGAAAATGCGCTAAAAAGAAAGAACATGGAAACTTCCTAACAAGCAAACAAGTCCTTCAAGTCCTGAGCAATGCGCTCCATAAATATTTTAATGGGTTAATCGTGCGTTTTTCAAACCGATAAAATTGAAAGAAATTTGCAGGCAAGCCCGCCATTGTTCCCGATTTGATAGCTGAGGCCTTAATTAGATTTGCTTTAATGATGCTTTGATTCTTCTTATACTGACGTACTGTCGATTACCTGTTACTGGCGTACTTGTAATTACCTGTTAATACCTGTCCAAACGTTCTATTTATTGACGACTCCTAATTATTAATTAACCACAACTTGATGTGTCATAGACAATTCTATTTCTGACTTTGGAATGGGATCCAATTTCATTCACAAAAATATGAATTAAAAACTAAATTTTCATGCAGAATTTAATACCACATTATTCCATGGAAAAAATGATTCGCAAAGCAACCCGTACCATAGATACTGTGCATGAGCGATTGGCAGATCCATATAAGTATTCACAGAGCTTATCATCAAACGCATAAAGTCACACTCTTAAATAAATGCGTGATAGTCTTGTTCTTGGAGCTTAATAAATCAATGATATAAAATTTCAAACATATGAGATAAACAAATGGTTGATGCAAGAAATAGCTTATCCGAGCTGATACGGCACAATTGCTTGGCCGCAGCAAGCATTTCACGCCACTTAGAACTCGACACGGTCGTGTGTGCATTGAAAGAGATGCCATATGTCGGAACTAAAGCAAAAGCAAGATGAAGATGAGACTCATTCTCAGCTTTTGTTTTCCACATCACAAATACTCACAGAGGAATATTCTTCTTCGGGCGGGAAAAATACTTTCTTGTCACTTCGAAAATCGTAGCCAGCGACTACTAATTTTCTTCCTGCCAACAATAGGAAAGATCTAATTTAAATCTAATTTTATTTATTATTTGAGTATAAGCATATAGTTTATAAGAATTTCATTTTTATAGAGTAGTTGTTTCACAAAAAAGACAACAAACCCTTGTCATATACTTCGACTCGTAACTCACAAATTCAAACAAGGCTATCGACTGCCTATGTGTAGGTGTTTTGAGTGACAGGTACCATTCATCGAAGACTAAACTTAGAGCACATATTTAAAATATATGCAAAAATTCGGCTAGTGAAAATTACAAGATTGAAATATGAAAGAAATAATCTAAAATATTAAATAAAACCATTCTTAATGAAGCTATTTTTACTACGTTATAGATTATTTGACTTTAGTTCAACATGGCTTACCTCCGTCCAACTTGAGATCTGCCTTCTTAATTTTAGTGTAATATTTTTGGCCGCCCGTGTAGAAACCAAAAAAGCTGTCAAAACCGCGATAGGTTGGCGTGTACTGCCATTTGCAGAATCCGAGGTGCCATCTGTGTGAAATTTTTTATCGAAAATCAAATCACATGAAATCGAAGTTAAACATCCGCTACTGAGTCCAGAGATAAACCAAGCAGATTGATGTAGTTGAATCTCGCCACACTTCTCTGACTCTACTCGAGCTAAGTTAATATAGACAGATGTAGGTAGGATAAAACTAGCTGCTATAAATTTTTAAATTCAGGCGCAGAATAAGTAAATCAAATCAACCTGGAGAAATTTCTGATGAGTGAACCCAAATCTGTTTAATAAATTGGTCACTCGTCATTTTTTATTGATTATTGTCCAAATGGGATGCATATGTGATTAATTGAATTTTGAAATCTAATAAAATTGAATCAGGATTTTATTTTCAGCATCAATTGCTTTGAATATTTAAAGTATTTTGATACTACGAACGCGACGATACTAACTTGCCAACAGCATGCGTGTGGTAGCCTACAGTCTTGAGCGCCTCAGGCAACAGAGTCGCGTTCAGGGTGAGGCCGGTGGGGCGAAGCGGCTTTAGAGCAGAGCTCTGAGAACAGAAGAGAGATACCTCTTTCGTTTACGAAGTTCCAAGACACAAAAAATGTTTTTATATGAAACCTTTGATTTAATTGGACTGGAACCTTAAACCTTTAATTGACCTGGAACCTTAATTTAACAGATTTTTTGACCTGGAAGCACGAAAATTTGTTGAAGAATTAAAATATTCACCCTTTTCGTCCTTGATAGGTTTAAAAAACCTCTAAATGTCTTCCTACTGATGGAAAATGGTTCAACATGATAAAGTAGTAACTGCAGGTAAACTCGCCATTAAGACGTTAAAAAAATTTTCACGTAAACAAGTCCTGCAGAACCGTACACACAATAACCACTCGCCTGTCTGCCGAGGGTGTAAACAAGTCCTGCAGAACCGTACACACAATAACCACTCGCCTGTCTGCCGAGGGTGTAAACAAGTCCTGCAGAACCGTACACACAATAACCACTCGCCTGTCTGCCGAGAGTGTAAACAAGTCCTGCAGAACTGTACACACAATAACCACTCGCCTGTCTGCCGAGGGTGTAAACAAGTGCTGCAGAACTGTACACACAACAGCCACTCGCCTGTCTGCCGAGGGTGTAAACAAGCCCTGCAGAACCGTGCACACAATAGCCACTCGCCTGTCTGCCGATGGTGTAGGGGTAGCGGCCCGTTAGTATGGCTGAGCGCGTCGGGGTGCACACCGGCAGAACGTAGGATTGCTCCAGCGTGACGCCCTCAGCCGCCAGACTCGCAATGTTCGGCATTTTCACCGCAGGATTGTGCCATGAAACGTCATTGTAACCTAAAATGCACGTAATTATAAAATAAATATATGAGCGTAAAAAACTAATATATAATATGTGCGCATAATATAAAATTTGTTTCATGCACTATCGTATGTGAAGGGAGAGGGCTATAGATGTTTATTATGCCGTAATGAAATTACCTTCTACTTTCCCTACAAGGTCATCCATCAAACTTGATAGTTTTTATATAGTAAAAACTTATTATAATCAAGACTTTATTTCCGTAATTGTTATGCTCCCAAGCCTCACCTAAATCGTCGACAAGAATGAAAACGACATGAGGTCGCGAGGACACATCACCAGCAACGAACGCCACCCAATGCATGGCGAGCGCTACCAACGCGTGTAGAGCTGCTGCTGCCATATTAATTAATGTTGCACCTCCACACGATTATTGTCTGCACAAATAAAGGCATTAAATTACGTCAGTGGACCTATTTATGATTTACGCGGCCCAGATGCTCAGTCTGGCAGCAGTGAATGCAGGAAACGCCTATAATCTTTCTTAACGAATCTGGACGTTGTTCATCTCAGACCAACTCCATTTTTAGCGCATTTTCTCATTTATGGAAAAAATGCACTATTGTGCTCGCCATTTCCGTCTGTCTGTCTGTCCGTCCGTGACTTCATGTTTTCGTCGACGAGAAAATGCGCTCTCTGTCACTCACTGCAGTGAGTACTGAGTTGTATTTTTTAACTTAGGATCCATTTAATTACGATGTTAATTTCTCCTTCAATTCATTTGGCGATACTATTTTCTAACTAATTTTAATACCCCCGATTACTCTAAATTCAAGTTTCAGTTTAATCACGATTAATCCCAACGTCATTTCATTACAGTTTAATAAATATGAAAATGAATTCGATGATTATTACTCAAGTGGAAACTTAAATTCTGTGGATTATTTAGCCGTTAATCTTAGCAAAAGCATTGCATACTCAAGTGTTTCTAAACCCATTGAAGAACATAATTAAATTCCAGTAGTTGAATTAATTGTAAACAGTCTAATTTCTTTCATCCTCTCAATTTCACTCGAAAATATTGTTGGTATTTTAAGTAAATTATGTGCAGAGGATAAATCTCTTCAATGCTTTAATCAAGTTAATTGTCGGCAATCAACTACGACAAAACTTCATTATTTAGCCAAGCGCTTGTCGAACTTTCATCGGTGTTGACATGGAAATCATTTGTTTATTGAAATAAGTTGATTTATTTTTATTTTTTTTTATTTTGGATAATTCCAAATCAGAGTAAGAATTAAATTAAATTAAATTTCGGACGTCAATAACAGTATATACTGCAACGAAACAAATGAAGCAAATTAAATTCTTGTTACTTTTATGCTAATACTTATAACCATGAACCATATTTTCAATCATAACATGCACACAATTCTTCTAGAAAATATACTTCAGTTGTATTGAGCAACGTCACACTGCTTCACTTCTCACGTCACGGTTCAATTGATTCCGCTTTGTTCATAATGTTTGCCTCCAACGAAATTTCAGCTCGAGTCAATAAGGAAATTGAATGAAATATTAACTATAAATTTTCTCTATATTTCGTCGTAGCCAATTATAGAATATTTCGTCGAATTAAGAGCCAAATTAAATAATTGCGGTAAAGAATCGAGGCTCATTGTAACGACCACGTTCCGGACTCATCGAAGTCACGAGAAAGAATGACGTACATCGTAACAACGACCGGGCCGGGCAGCGGGAGTCCCGCTATTTCTCTGTCGTGACCTCAGATGTTTTGAAGGATCCAGAGTGTAAGAGGAATTTCTCCAGCGTTAGTCTGCTGTTTTTTATGATGCTCTGTACCTTTTCTGAGCCACAGCGATGTGGGATTAGGTTGGAACAACGGTCACGTCATAACGTATTGCCGCATCTGAGACAATTTGATCTCTTCATTTTCTAGCATTCTATTGGTAAAGTCGCCTGAAAATATTCTTTGAAAGTCCCTATAAATTTATATCTTTGTAAAGTGCATGGCCTGAAAATATCAATTCTTTGAGAGTCCCAATAAATATATATCAAACTAAATAAATTTTAATTTTTTGTGCGTTTACATAGATTTGTGAACAAAGAATTGTTTATCAAGGATTCCATGGTGTTTTTATTTTTAAAAAAGTTCCATAACTATTTTTCCTTGACAGCGCCAAAACTGCGCGCATTGTTTAGTTCTGTGTGAAAATCAATGCCTGATAAAGCATTAGTTGTAAGTTGCTAATAATGATGAACAGGTCGCTTCAGGCTATTAACAGTGTACATGAACATTTTATATGCATCCATTCACAAGCGCAAAATATGAAATATTACTCGTGTATAAGAATTGAAAATATCTCTCAGGGTAGTGAACTGATAACGAATAAATCATTTCCTAAATGAAAGTATATTCATGATGTACGAAAAATTTGAATGGCTACCTATACCAACTTAATACTTTTTACTCGAGATACACAAAGGAGGTTATTTAATAAAAGACAAAACTTATAAAATTTCATATGCGAAAGGGTACGTACAAATTTTGTGCTGGGGCTGATACTGTCCGGTAGAAAATTGAGACATTAATGAAAAATGTCTATAGAAAAATCGCATTATATTAAATTTCATTTCGTAATAATGGTGCAACATGCATTGTCTAAAACTTTTAAACAGAATTTCTTGTCATTGAATGAACTTGAACCAATTCATAGACCTAATTCGAATTCACAGACCAAATTTGTCACGATTGCGAACTTAGATAGCGATGTGATGGACGTCTATGTTACTGTTGTATTCTCATTCAGTTTTTCGAATGATTGAGATGATGCCCAAGATTTGCTTCAATCCTATTTCCAAGCTGTAAAAAAAAATAAAAATATTATGAGCAAAGGTTATGAATCTTCATTGTTATGACATAAAAGCTCAGTGTGTAAGTTGTTAGAAATTTTGAATCCCATCTTAGAAAAATCCAAAACACTCATGGCAAGAAAATGTGACGTTTGAAAAATATACATTAAATACTAGTCTAAAAGGAATATTTCATTTATGGCTTCATTTGCCTAAAATTGAAAAAAAATCAAAATCGGCTTGATCTAACGATGAATAAAATTGTAATATTAAACTATGCTACGAGTACCTACCAGAAGAAGGCTTGGTTTTGTAGGCGGTCTTGCGAGGAGAGTCGTATGAAGAATCATCGCCGACCTGCGACGAATCCGCGCCGTGATTTTCAGAGTCATCTTCTTTGCGTTTGCCACCATCTTGGTCTCCACTAAACTTCTCTTCAGAAAATTTCCCAGCCGACTCAGCAGCATCAATTCCGGACGTGTGGCCGTCATGTTGTTCCGATGAAGATTGGTCGGAGGATTGACCTGCTAGACCAAACTTGGGGCGATCTTTCTCGTGACCTGAGCTCCGAGACGAAGAAATTTTCTCGGCTGAGTCATGTGCACCTCCTTGCGATAGCGACTCCTGCGAGCTGGATTGTGTTTCGGCTCCGTGATTATCTTTATTTCCCGAGGGCGACCTGTAGACTTCTCCAGCCCCTTGAGCCTGTCCTGCACCTATTCCGGAAATCACTCCCCCACCTTGGAAGTTACCTACTCCTTGTTCCCCCGTACCAAAAGTACCAGTACCAACTGTTTTCGAGTGATCAAATCCAGAATTTATGCCTCCATGTTCTTGAATTGAGCTTTGACCAGAGTAGCTTTGTACTTTATCTGCTTGAGCATTGACTCCGAAAGCTGGTGCATTACCACCGAAGGTTCCAGTGTCCTTACGCCCTCCTTCGGAATTGGCGTAGCCAGTCGAACCAGAACCAAGGCCACCGCTTACGAAGCCGGTGTTCCTAGAGCCTCCAAATCCCTGACTCTCCCCATCCAGCTCACCCCCAAATCCAGCAGACGAGTGTTGTGCAAAGCCACTGTTTGGTCCACCAGCCCCAAGCGCTCCAGTATTAGCGGTAATCGCTGATGCTTGGGAGCCGAATCCGACTTTTACGCCCTCACGTCCTTCTGAGGTGCGGTAATTGCTTCCTCCTGTAACATTAAATGCCACGTTAAATTCTGCGGATGGGCTAAAATCAACTGAACAATTTAATCTTCCGAAATTGAACTGGAATTGTTTTTAAAATGTATTGCGTTCACAGCATACACACAGCTAGGAACACTTCGATGTTATTGAAGTACGCAACGGGAAAAAACTTGTGATTAAAATGAATTTGTACGACAACAATAAATTCAAAATGACTTCGCACACAGGAATAAAAATTTCTCACCAGTTCCATAACCTTCGGCAAACGCAATTACAACCAGAGCGACTGCGACGAATTTCTGAAAGAAAATAAGAAAATACGATGATTGTTCAAGAAATTTCGTAGCATTCACAAATTTTATTACAATATGTATTAAAAATTTTGTAATTTTGCTTCAATTCGTCGAATACTTGTCTCCATTTGAGAAACTGGAGAAGAATGAAAAACAATACATATTTAATTAGCTGTCTCTTGAACGATAGACAAAAGCGAAGGTAATAAAAGGGTAATTTATAAAAGAGTAGTTAATAAAGGGTAATTAATAAAAGCGTATTTAATAAAGGGTAATTAATAAAAGCGTATTTAATAAAATGATAATTAATAAAAGCGTAGTTGTGACGCTGTCATTTAGTCCTTCAGCGAATTTAAACGTGACCTCAGAAATTTATGTTATTTAGACGGCCATTTTCCTGTGATTTTCTTAGTCAAATCTAAAGATCAAAACTTTCAATAAACTGTGCAATTGCCGGATTAGTTTCAGCAAAGTAAGCTGCCGAACCTCCAGCCAGTGTTAAGTATTGAATCTAAACCTTTTTTCTTCGTAGCATTGTATAAATATATTCTTACTTTATTTCATAAACTATGTGGCTCGTGTTCTCTTCGGGAAACCGGTCAAAAAGCAACATATAACCGTGTATACAATTACGGTCTGGCACGAATTTAAGAATTAGAAGAAGATTCTCTACAAAGCAGATAGTAGAGAATCATAACGAAACAGCATGTAACAGCACTATGATAACAGCATACAAGTATCTTTATATAGCCAAATTCCACTTAAACATTTTTTAGCCCATTTTATCTGACTCTGAAGCCCATTCATTTTGAATTCCTCTTTTCTACACGAAACAATTTAGCCGAGCTCTACAATTATTTAAAAATAAAATGAAACGAATAAACATCATTGAATCATTATTGCATATTATGATTAAAATATAATGTTGAAGACCTTCGAATCATATATATAATGCCTTCACAATGCAAATGCGTTCATGTTGTATTAAATTATATTGCAATTTGACACATATTTAAAAAAAATCCCTATACGCTCAGTCCATCTCAACTAGTTGAAAGTTTATCGCTTCTGAAATACTATATACTTCCACATTTTTGCTCAAACGAGATTTCATAGACACTCAAATGAGTCGAATGAGACTCTGATCCTGTTATTTCCAGTATCAACTTTCAAAGTAACTAGACATTATCTTGTCCAGCGTCTGGGTGAATGAGTTCTTAAATTCCTAACAAAAGGCAGTTGAAAGAAAAATACAACTAAAGAACTTACCAGCATCGTTGAATGATTTTTGACGAATTAAATGAATCAGTGACCGTCTGGCCAGTCACCTACAGCTATAAGTGATGATCCGATGCCGGATCCAGCCTTCTTTTATACCTGCACTGACCGTTAAATTAAGGGGTTCGAAAAATAATAGAATGAAGAAGCAAATACTCAACCTGTTCGGTTAAGAAAAATAACAAATGGTGTGGCGCAGCGAGGGGTGCGACTCGCAGGCAATTTATCGCAGTTTGCTCTTTGTTGTGGAACATGAAAGCTCATTTCTTGAAAAAGAGCCCTTGTGAAGGGCGAACAACCTGTTCTGCGACGAAGCTTCGCCTGCAGCCAGAGATTCTCGTGTAAAGCACCGCAATTGTTGTCTAAAAATTGCCCCGACTCCTTATACCAGAAGACTTTTGCGCAAGTTTTAACATCATTTTCCAGTAGAAGAACTGTGGGGTTGAATGCAGAAAAAAAAAAAGAATTTACATGGAATCGACTCCTCTGCTCGAATATTTTCAAGGACACGCTGATTACCAGCCAATCTCAGTGGTTCCTAAACTTTTTGTGATCAAGTACCACTTAATTAGAGGTACAGTCCCCGCTTACTACCCGTTCGACTAATAATAGATAATGTGCGTCATTATATTTTATTGTTCAATTATTATAAATCAGTTTAAATGCATGCGACAGTAGTCGCAAATTGTTGAAATATTATCTTAATATGGGCAGTATTAAGATAATATTACAGTGAATAATGAACTGAAATATTTCAGTAAATAATTACTGAAATAGTAAAATTTCAGTAAAAATAATTGCCAAAATCGTTCGTGATCTCACTAGTGCATGCGGACCGAATAAAATGAATTGCTATATTGATACGAGTACCTTATTTTAAGAACCAATCACTATCTCTGATTATCTCAGTCATTTCTCAAATAAATTCAAATACGCCTATGAAAATGTATTTATATCAATAAATATTGCATAAGTAAACATTTTTTGAATTAATTACCGCCTCTGGGTACGCTGTAATAACTGAAATTTTACTAATTGGTGGCGCGGAGCTGGTATACCGTTCTTAAATGAAAATTTATAAGCAAAGAAAATGCCTAGTGTATTCACGATCTTCATTAAAACGTTTCCGAGACCAGCTCCATCACTTGTTCAAAAAATATTTTTAGAGAATACAAGTATAATCAGCAATTAAAATCCAAACATATAAGTACGAAAGACATTAAAACCTAAGTCACAAGAAAGCAACAACCGAAGATGAAATTGGTCTCAGACACGCAAGGATTTTAGAATCTCTGCATATTTTTTAAATAGGAACCTTGTCTCAATAACGCTAAGAGTTCTTATATCTTGAAATATTTTGTCTCTTATATATCTTGAAATTATAAATTGTTAATTTATCATGTTCAGTTGTTGTTTCTTTATCACCTAGGTTTTAAATTTTTTGAACCGATTATAGAGCTTGTCTCCAAAGCGTTTTCATGAAGATATGTTGAATTTTTTTTTGTTTTCTTTGCTTCTAAATTCTTGGTAAAATTGCCAAATAAGAAGATCAACGATATTGGTGTTTTAAACTATAACAATTTAAAAATTCCTTAAATGGCCCATAAATTATTTATGCATGACACAACTCCACGACGTTCAATAGTAAATATTTTTCGGCCTATTGAATTTCGGAGTAACACAAGATAATTTTATTAAATTTTAATTTTAATTACGTTCTAAGTCTCAGAATGGAGAGCTATGATTCTTGCGTAGAATGAATAGAAAAAAATATAACTCAGTACTCACTGCAGTGAGTGACAGAGAGCGCATTTTCTCGTCGACGAAAACATGAAGTCACGGACGGACAGACAGACGGACAGACAGACGGACGGACGGACAGACGGACATGGCGAGCACAATAGTGCATTTTTCATAAATGAGAAAATGGGCTAAAAATGGTTTTCCTTACAATCCTGATTATATTTGATATGACCAGGTAATTGTCTACCAAGAAAAGCTTGATCTGTATCATGTACAGAACAAAATTTTCAAAGTAAGAATAGGGTGGATGCCGAAGTTCAGCATCATCATAAAACATTTTAGGACTTTATAAATGGATGATTGTATTTACTAAACCCTTGTTGTTCGTTTATAAATTCCAATCGTAAATCAATTGATAATATTGAAATAATCAAATATATCATACGAACTTAATGTATCGTACGAACTTCATCTCCACGACTCCATTCTGCCCTTTTTTATGTATCATCAACACAGCAGTATAAAATGTAGTGATGATAGAGTTCGGGCTGCAGATCCATTTAATTTATCATACCCACTTCAGCATGAACCAATACAGATGACATTTTCAACTAATAGCCTGCTCCAGTATCAATAACTTTTAAAATAAAAAATTTCTTGCATTTTCGCATTCCAGAGCCTACTTAATTACAAGTTCCAGTAGACGTTAAATTTTACGAATAAATATGAAACTGGCATACATGGCACACATCTTGGCCAGTCACTCCCCAAGCCAAGCATAAAATTAAATAAGAAAAAAAAATTAAATTAAATAAATAATAAAAAAAAATAAAATAAAATAAAATTAATTCCTTTTTGTTGGAATGGTGAGTGTGGGAGGCCTTTAAAAAAAAGCCAAGCATTAGGTACGTCTTTCTGTCCCAAAAAGCCAATGATAACCTAGCTGCAAACGTACTGCAGTACAGTTGTTCCATAACTTTAATGCAGCATATCTTTGAATATTAATACTATTATAAAAGTGCAAAGAAGGAAAAAACTATATTAATGTAGAGTCATTTCATCTGCTGCATTGTTTTGCTTTAGGTCAACTCATTGGCTTATTTTCCTATTCCGGTGTTTTTTTATATATTCCCGCATGACAAGAACGGTATTTTGGAGATGAAATGAGAAATTAAAATAAAACTGAGAAGAAACCAGCAACCAGAGCATTTTTCATGGAAGCCATTCCGAACAGATGGTAAAGGTTTCTATCATTGTCCGTAGGTTTTAGATTAGCATATAAGAGAACTAACAGAAAATGCTATTTGGCAGCAGTCGTGCCTACAGTTGATTTAGATCGCATTTCAATAAAAGTGTGAAAATTAAGGTTCTAGGGAACAAATGGATAAAATCGTATGAATAATTAAATGACCTTCAATATTTTTTCACAGTTTTCATTTTACATCAGATGTAGGAGTTTTGAACAGCATTGTTCCATTGCAAGATCGCTATGGTGATATTTCCGATCAACTTCTGAAATCTTCAATCAATCCGGAGTGACAAATCAAAGGAGCGTGCGATCCTAGAAAAAAAACTTCTGACATACAAATGGGATAATGCTTTCAAATTTACTTCGTACGCGAACTCAGTGACCGGCAGATGCCATAAAGTTTAGAAATTGCTTGTCTTAACGACGGAGAAAAAAAGAGGTGCCCGTGAAACCAGTTCATCGTAAGAAGTGCTTGTAACGAAAATTCTGTTAGGCAAAATTTCTGCATGAGCCACATGCCTTGAGTCTGGTCTTAATTGCAATAAAAAACACAGGAGCAAGTCTTCTGAGAAATATACGTGCATTGTATATTCTAGAGTATGGTTCTTTGATTCAAATCCTCATGAAGAATTCAGATATACCCTTCAATTATTGTCAGAATTTATTTATTCGCTGTGTTTTGGTGTACGTACTTGGGGTGCAATTCGATTTTTTTTAAACAGTAGAAATTAGTAGTAAGGGGAAAAGTCTACATTAGTGAGATGACTAACGAAAACTGAAATCATTGACTTCCAAAATGAATTTAATGGTAATGAATGTTTTTAGGATATATATCGCCTAAAAAATGTAAAAAGTCTTGTTTTGTTAACGAGGATACCAATGTTATGCTAATATAATACTGGTAATATAGTGCTGGTATATAATGCTGGATAGGATAGTGACAACATCGACTGTAATTTACTAACAAATATAATAGTGGCAAGAACATTTGAGATTTCTATGGTGACAATAAAATACATAAAAAGCGTTATCACCCAAACATTGAACACGCTTTTAATGAACACTCTAACAATCTTCCTCAATAATTGAAGTCATGACATTCACAACCAGAGAACTGACGTCAAACCCACTCAAACAATGTATTCTTCACGGAATATTTTTAAGCACTGAATATTTTTTTTAACACTGAATATTTTTAGCATTGTATTCTGCACAGACATGCTGTGCGTTTTAGTCGCTTCGCAATTTAAGGAAACCAAATAATTTATTCTATAATATATAAATCCCAAGGTGATTGTTTGGAAGCAATGTTGTTATACTGACTTGAAGCCATTGGGCATAAAAAATAATCCAAGGAAAACGAGGGCTCCAGCATAATATTTAGCATAATTCCGTTAGTCCTTGGAAGCTTATTAGACGAAAATATTTAAAGGCAGCCCCCAATTGGTTGAAGAGCTGAACTATCCCATGGTAACTGATCTCCCAAAAAATATTCAATCTAATTTTTCTTTGTAGATTGAAATAATTCTGATCAAAAGCAGTTTAGAGCTTAACTTTAACCAACATTTAACGGAGCCATCGCTTTTTCTCTTAAAACGAACCGAAACGAACATGATCATTCGTTCGCGCTAGCTTCTAAAATTAAAGTTTTGCCACACTCAATGCTACTTCAGCAATCCCAGCTCATGCCGCCCTCCCTTCTCCTAATTAATTTCCTATTGCAAATTTGTTTGTTTAATCGCGATTTTCTTGTATCTCCGCTTAGATCATTTCAACTGCATGCGCTCGCTGATATTTCCCTCTTCTTTCTTGCAGAAGTTTTCAGCACGAGTTCAGGTGTAGATTTGTGTTCATCGGCCATCTATGGAAAAATATGAGCATCATTAATGCGTATTAAGATCATAATAACATTAGCAAAAAAAGTTAAATTATATTATCTCTTGGTTTTCTCAGTTTATCAATGTCTAAGAATGTGATTTTCTTGCGCAGTTTCCTAATGTAAATTTGCCTCATGGTGTAGAGTTGAAAGATAATCCGTGAAATTTAACGCACCATGTGAAAGAAGTTATGTCATGCATTTTAAGTAAAAAAATTTTTTTGAACTATCGAAAACGCCTGACTGACTTAGTGGTGAAAAAAATTCAAAATGTGAAATGAATTTCGTCAATAAGCGCAAGACACAACAGAAAAATTGGTAACCATTTTCTGTTCGGGGCGTACATTTCAGTTTGAAATGGACGCTCCAAAATTTGCAACCATATTAATTAAACTAAAGCTTATTCAGCCATAATTAATTGCCACAAAAATTAATTTGACAACAGAAGTTTGAATTTACTTACATCCACCGCTGCTGCCATGTCCGCTAAAGCCGCCACCTTTGCCAGGTTTTCCGCCACCAAACCCGCCGCTTCCGAAGCCGATGGCGTGGCTGCCGGACGAATGCAGGCCAGCTGTTCCAAAACTGCCGTGGCCGCCGAGTCCACCGCCACCAAATCCACCGCCGTGTGCGCCAAGTCCCCCGCCATGAGCGCCAAAAGATCCTCCTTTTCCACCTCCAAATCCACCGCCCCCAAATCCACTGCCGTGTGTACCAAGTCCCCCGCCATGAACACCGACAGTGCCTCCTTTACCACCAAACCCACCACCGCCAAATCCACCACCACTGCCAAATCCACCGCCGTGTGCGCCAAGTCCACCGCCGTGTGCGCCAATTCCCCCGCCGTGTGTGCCAAGTCCCCCACTATGAACACCGAACGAGCCTCCTTTACCGCCACCAAATCCACCACCATAACCCCCACCAAGTCCTCCACCCACAACACCGCTTCCCAAACCACCGCCTCCAAAGCCACCCTGGCCGCCGGTGAATCCAAAACTACCGCCTTGACCGCCGCCGAATCCACCGCCTCCGAAGCCGCCGCCACCGCCACCGTAGTTTGCTGGAATTATAGTTAGCTCAGAGGAGAAATTCATAACTTTATTTATAACTTTAACTTTATGAGGAGAAATTTTTACATATTCATATATAAGAGAAGCAAAAACTCAATCATAAATGGAATATCAGGTAAAAGGATAATAAAAATGACTTATGAGTACAAGTGATGATAGAACGATAACAGACGTGAAGGACCAATAAAACCATTCAAACTACAGAACTGAATTTATTATTGCTATTTAGCAATAATAAATAATAAATAAAAAATAAATAATAATAATAAATAAATTAATATTAATAAAAATGACCAGTAATAGCAATAACCGGTAATAACAAAAACCGGTAATAAAAATGCCCGGTAATAGCATTAACCGGTAATAAAAATGACCAGGAATAGCCATAACCGGTAATAGCAATAACCGGTTATTGCTATAGTAAAAGTAATTACAATGTAATATTGACGTGCATAGAATTATGATGAACAGCGATTCCTGAATAAATTGAACAAGTTTCTTCATTTGAATTGTTAAAAAAATTGCCTCCATTCAAATTGCTTTAACTAACTTTAACAAATTGCTTCGAATTTCTATAATTAACATCTAATCAGTAAACCCACAATCAACCACAATCTTCTGTGGATTAGAAAAATTATAAAATATAAAATACGTTTTGAAGAGGATAACGGCTCCAAGATATTAATCTGGGGCCATACTTTCAAAACTCGCTAAGTGAACGTAAGTACTTATACGCTCTATTTTCTTGTCTGTGATTGGTGGTTTTTGCTTGAAAGGCCGTCTATGATTGGCTGATGAACTTACGATCTCTTACGTCCTAAGGAACACTCACTGGCATCAGCGCTGAAGACGCAGACCGCCACCATCACAGTCACCGTCAGCGATAGGCAATGCTGTGCGAGAAATTCCGTTAGCGTTCTTCATTCTCAATGTGAGTGAACATGTATAAGAATTATGTGTTATGATATATTCAGTATTAGTAATCATGTATTGCTTATATGCTCAGTATTAGTAATCATGTATTGCGTTTTGAGTTCAGTAAGAATAATGAGTATTTGTGACCACCGAATTTTCATAATCCCGACACACGACATTAAATTTTCCGAAAATCTCATGAATGCGACTTCATATAATACTGTGACCGAGGTCAAATATAAAAAGATGTCATGTTTATATATTTCATTCAAATTTTTACCATTTTGAGTGTCGTTTATTTCCCTTCAGCGTTGAGGAGCTCGGTGCGCCTGCAGCGAGCTGCTGAAGTGTATATAAGAGGATGCAGTTTGTGGGACAGGTTTTATACAGCCTCGGTCGCGGCGCTGCAGCAGCAAGGCTCCTATGAACATCTATCGCTTCAAGGTCAACTCAAAGTCGTGAACTTGCAAAGCTAAACATCGCTGCAAAATACACGTGCAAGTGATGGGTGAGCGACGTTACAGCGCACGACGTACGTCTGGGTGCAGCAATTGACCCACGTATGGCGGGTGGGTGACGTTACAGCGCACGACGTACGTCTGGGTGCAGCAATTGACTCACGTATGGCTGGTGAGTGACGTTACAGCTCACGACGTACGTCTGGGTGCAGCCATTGACCCACGTATGGCGGCTGAGCGACGTAACAGCGCACGACGTACGTCTGGGTGTAGCCATTGACCCCCGTATGGCGGGTGAGCGACGTAACAGCGCACGACGTACGTCTGGGTGCAGCCATTGACCCCCGTATGGCGGGTGAGCGACGTTACAGCGCACGACACACGTCTGGGTGCAGCCATTGACCCACGTATGGCTGGTGAGTGACACAAAGACGCACTACGTATGAGTGGAGAAAACAATTATCGAATGGCGGTCGAGAGGGTAAGAAAAAAACGTCAAGACAAGCGAAAAATAAGTGCAGGAAGCATCGGTCGGAAGTTGAGGTGGCCGAGCAATTGTTGCTTTGCAAAACCGAGCGAGATTCGTATGCGAGATTAAAATATGAGGAACGGGCACGAAGCCGAATAAGAACAAACATGTTTCGGAGTTGAAAGTGGATATATGGGAAATTAAAATTTATAAACGTCAAAAATTACCTCTAAACATTTATCAAGAGCTTCGTTCTTCGTAGACGAAGACTAGAGACGAATACATTTTCCGGATAAAATTTTGAAGACGTGCATATAAAAACAGCATAGACATTTTTTGCTATCACGGACAAATTACTGTATAATTAACAAATAAAATGAAATAATTTCCCGAAAATTGACAAATTTGGACGTCCACAGGGTCCCAAAGTGTTCCAAAAACTGCGCATTTGCGACGTCGAAAAACTATACTGTATAGAGCCCGCCTACCGGCTGTCTTCCCGTCACGCGCGCCGCGGCGAGGCGTAGTAAAGTTAACACATCCACAATTTTCTTACTCTTCCTCTATTTTGCACAATTTATTTCCTTCAAGACAGGGACAAGAGGTTTACTTAAATATTTCACGTGATATGTGATGTGAGTTTCAATTTTTCTCGCTTGCGCGATTAATGTTGCAAAAAGTAAGCATATGTTACGTAAGCATCAAATCGTTGGTGCTCATGTGTCAGTTGGGCTTCCGTTGCCTAGGCGCGCAGCTTGCTACGTAGAAATGCTTATAGTTACCATGGGCCAACGTCTTGAATTGGGAAAAATGGGTTACTTCAATTCAGTAAAAGAACCACCATAAAATTGAGTAAAAATTCAATTGAACGCGTGCAATCAAGAATAAATTCTTATGCAAATTAAAATAAATAAATACGAAACTCTGAAAACAAAGGTTGTTGAATGCTAGATCGATCGGATACTTTCATTTTTACATTCAATACCGGAGAAGCGAATAAAATTTTGCTACGCTTCTCTGTAAACAAAGGAGCATTTATCACTCAACAAAAAAGAAAATAGTAAAACTCTGTCCACTTCTCGAACTTCGGCGCTCAAAAGTAGCCGATTCGCTGAAGATCAAAAGAATTAGGCTGCGGGATCGGCATTGTCTTGCAAAGGCAAAGAACGATGAAAGAGTCGAAAGAAAGCCAAGCTTTGAGCGCGTCTTAGTGTGCCAATGCGCTAGTATGGATATCCGGCCAATGTGAATGGGATTTCCTTCTCGAATAGAGAGAACATCGTGTGATTTACTTTAACAATCGGCACTAATTTCATGCCTCTGTATTATAAGCGATAAGACGACATAGAGTAAATTTGCGACTTAGTATGTGTTCAGCAAACATCTCCGTTAGTGGTTTTGCATCTAGTCAACATAAAATTTTGAAGTTATCATCGTGTTTTTACGACGTTGATCCTCAATTGAGTGTAAAGTTTGCATAGCTCATCCCCTTCGAGCGAACTGTTCTCATCGACAACAATGACTTAGAGTATCCAGCCACACAGGCATCGCACAGTCCGCGAATTTATAAATAGAAAAATTTGACTGGTGATCAATGGGCTGCGCTTGACGTAATGACGCACTGTTGCATTTCTGGGCTCCAAGGCTACAGGACCTTAAAGTACGCGATTTTTCTTGTGGAGATTTGTGAAAGACTCCGTACATGTGCCGCCGCTACAAGCGACAGTGTGTGATCGGAGGCATCGCGAAACATTAGCACTGTAGTTAGTAACTCAGGACATGCTCTTTAAAGTAAAGGACGAATTTGACAACAGCATGCCCATGTGACATCAATCTGGATATGGGCTCATTGAAGTCATTTTAAAAATAAGGATAAATGCATTTTGAATTCTCCGTTCAGCCAAAAAAAAAGAGTACAGATAAATAGTGCTACAAATATATAAATGATTATAATAATAGATGTATGACTAAATCAGTCATTCTGCCGCCTCTGAGGACACTCAACGGAGGATGGGGTTGAGAAAATAGTGTAAGTAATAATGTACTAATGTAAAAAACTGCTCCTTCAAAATAGTTGCAGCCAGTTGTGGCTGTTAGCACTGGCTATCATTCCTGGACCGGAGTAAGCGCACCATTTGCATCAGAAAAAAAAAACCGTCATTACCAACATTATTTCAAACGCGAGAGAGGCTCGATGACTATGACTGCAATATGATCCGCACTTGGTGTTTAATGTTTCGCAATTAATATTTCGGGCTTCGAACGTTGTTCTTGGAAGGGCCTTGCAACATCGCTCAAGAGATCAGCGAACGCTTCCTAGAACCTCGAAGCGCCGCGCTTGATCCAGAGATGGAAAAGCCAGCGTTGGGAAACGCTTCCCAGCGCCGGCCGACTCGTTGAACAGGTTTGCGGGCCTCAGCATGACAGCGTTAACGAACCGCAGAGAATATTTTCCTATCTTTCTTCAGTGTGACGAATTATTTCTCAGGAGTTCGTTGACAATGAGGGATTTCCACACAGCAAGACCAAGCAGCGTTTCGAGCAGAAATGATACACACACCGAAGCATAATATTTCATACAACTTCTGGCACATCTTTCATATCTTTTTGTCAGATAAGGGGACAAAATTTTGTTCTAATTATTTAACAGAACTACAAAATTGAATCCCGTAAGACACTCATTTATTGACTTGCTTTAAGAAAATGTATGCAGATGGGGCTAGAAAATCCCGAGCAAAATTGTTCGCAACGACGAAGTCTCCGTGAAGGACGAATGCCGAGTCCACACCCGGATCTTCAGCCGCGACTGAGCTTAAAATGAAACGAAAATAATGAGCCGACTCAGCTTCGGCGAAATCATCATGGCTGATCAACGCTCACGACCATATGAGCGTGGTAAAGAGGTATATTTTTTTGCATAAAATTCTTAACGCATTCTGACACTGATTTATGAACATTTCCAATGGCCTACATTGTCTACTCTACATAATTTTTTCAACATTATGAGACTGGAATTACGAAATAAAGCGTCAACACCGAAAATATAAAGATTTGCAATAGGAAACTCTGGGATACTGGAAGCTCAGCTATCCATTAGTTGAAATTGTGTTAATTTTCTTCACGTCTGTTAAAAACAGTTGGCTGCATTTTCAAGTTTCAAGACAATTTTAAAGTAAAATAAGGACATTAGTTGTTTGAATCAAAGTCACAACATCGCCATTGGTGACTAAATAACGAAATAAGCTATTTTTGTATTAAGTAATATCGTTACGGATACATTTGAAATTGGTTAATCCAAATTATATATCCAAGAAATATTGACTCTAATCTATAAGCAATGAATTTTATCTCGAAAAAATTCTCAGCAAGAAAGTGAGATTAGCTGTATGTGACGCCAAATTATTTGGTGCGCTAGGATATGGTTCATCCGGTTGGTTAGCACCCGAGCTTTGATGCAAGGATTAGTGCTTGTCAGTAAAAAGATTAGAATCTTCAGTGAATCAACTTCGTTCTACGGAAATGAGAAAACTTCCAATGCTCATTACGTTCTTGAGGTAGTAATTAAGCAAAATTTATTCGTACTAACTAATTATAATTGAGTATCTCATAATCTACGGAAGCCTTCTCGTCGAAAAGATGTCTTATAATTTAAAAGAACGTAAATTTTAACAAGGAGCATAAAAAACAATCGACAATGCCTATTGAAAATTTTATTCAAAAGTCATGTGCTGAGGAACATGATCAAGATTCTCAGCATCAATTCCAAAAAACTTGAACTAGCGTTACATTTGTTATACAAGTTATATACACTAAGAAATAAAAAGAGTATTGCAAAAATATAGAAAAAGACTCGGAACTTGGAACTGAACACTGGGTTAGGTTGATCAACTCTGTAAATTATGCGCAATCGATCCCTGCAAGTGGAAGGAGGTCAGGAGACCAGCGACGCTGAGCAGTTGACTTGCCACAGTTCGGCGTCACCTCATCAGCCAAGATAATCAGTCACCAAATGAAATTTTTACGGTTCACTAGGCAGCTCTCGAACATTAATTTCTTTTATAACTTCGGTGGAGAGTGAAAGTGGCAACAATATCGTAAAAAAATGATCTACCGCTTTTAGACATTTCTTGCAAACCATAATAGAAATGTAGGATTACTTAGAACATGAATTTCTTTTATAATTTCGGTGGAACGTGAAAGTTGCAACAATATCGTAAAAAAGAACAAATAACCTACTACGTTTAGACATTTTTAGCAAACCGTAATAGAAATGAACGATTTATTCGATAGGAGTGTATTCATATTTTAACCGGAGAGTTTTCAGTATTTAAAAGTAAGGAGGAAGTGTTACGCCGCAAAAATGCGTATTTCTTATTCGCTAGAGCGAACAAAATGATCTTGAATTGAGGAACCAAATGCTGACCTAATTCGTAAAGGTAAACTGCCGTTGTGTAGGGGCATCAACCTGAAATAATTCGAACGTAATTCTCGAACTAAATACGAGATGCATGTAAAGCTACCGATATACGCATCAACAATGTTGAACTGCATGGGAGTCTAAAAATGCTTTCACGGCACTGATTTTCCCTACATACTAATAAAAATGTGAAGTCATTGGAGTACAACCAAAAAAATACATAAATTTGAATATGATGCCTTGACTAATAATTTCCTGATAATGTATAAATGCTAGCATGAAAATTAACTACAAAAATCGGCACCGAAATCCAGCTTGGTTCAGTCATATCGTATTAGAATGCCGTTACCGAGGGTTCACCATATGTTCGACTAAGATCAAATAACGAACCGCGTAGAAGAGATCAACAAGAGCGTTGGTACGGGAAGAAATGTGGCAGTTGAAGGTCTAGTCGGTCGCTCGCCAGGTGAAGGAAGGAAGGAGTTGCTGGATTGATGGTTCCAGCACAGCGCAGCGAACCCAACAGGTAGAAAAAACTCGTATAAAACGGATCGCTATTTACAATGCTAAACATTAGAAATATTTGTGAAGTAAAAAAAAGTGCGTGGGGATTTCAAAAGAAAGTAACTATAAGGAGACAAGGACAAAACTTGATAAGCCAACCCTGGAAAATGAAACAGAATACAAAGGACTAATACTTAAAAGACTGACGTCCTTTAGGAGGCAAATACGGTACGATTCAGGATACATGACTTTCTGAAACGAAGAATGAAGTTGGGGGCAGAAAAGCTTAAAATATGAACCATTTTCGGTACAGAGTAGTCGTTATATATTCATTTTGCAGCAAAATACCCTAAAGAATAAGTCATTCAGCTTCAGAGCAGATAACTCCGTTGTAAAAACAAGCTTCGTCCATAAGCATTCTAGTATTCACGATGGTGTATGCGTTCACAGTAACTTTTCTGGTGATCGCGAGACTTCAGAAGGCGTTTTAATTACTAACTAAAATCCAGTGTGATATCTCCGTTATTTTCTTCATATTGACCACTAACAGTTAGAAGAACAAACCGTCGTCTTAACCTCAGTTCAGTTCGCAGCAGCAGGCGACGTCGTTTGTCCTGCCAATATTCGGTCCAAGCAGAACCATTTAAAGGTGATAATTATAATTGATTTCACAAGCGCGTAGGAATCTTATCTTTACCTATGGAAACCTTGTCTAACTTCCAGCGCGCGTAGTTGATGATTTGCTGTGAGTCCCACAAGCAAGATGGCTTGCATCTTGACATGTCGCAATCTATACAAACCACGAATAATACGGATACAGTCGCGAACTAGAATGCTAAACACGTTATTAATAGAAGTGTTAATCAATAATCAAATACTAAAAGTAAACGAGGAGCGTCCCAAAATTACGCTTTCAATAAATTAAATGCCACAGCGAAATTCACGACCAAAACTTACGTGTACTTGCGATAACTACGAAATTAGAAAACATTAACGTACAAAATTTAACAGAAAGCATATGGAGGAGACTAATGAGAACATCGCGATGTACCGCGGAACAATGCGAAGGAATTATCGAGAATACCAAGTAGAAATTAGAAGATAGAAACTAAGACACTGGTTGAAACGTGGCACTATGTCTGAGGAAAACAGAGTAACGAATGCTAATCACAGAATTTAAGACTAACGAAGTCGTTCAACCACATGAATCACTGCATTCGCCATTAACAATCAGTATACATGTGATTTACTAAATTTGATAGCAATTTTTTCAATATTAATAAATCATGACGTCTATGATGACAGTATGGAACATCAATTACCCATTTCAAATTTTCGAACAGCTTCTTCGACCTTAAAAAAACGTTGAAATGGCTCAACATCAGCAGTAGAGCAATGTATTTATTCGTCGATAATATGAATCAATTTAGCGTACATAAAATAAATAAAATTCAAAGGCTAAGAAACGGATGCTATGTTAGAACACCTAAAACCATTTTTAATTAGTACATTGAATTATGTGCATTGAAGATGCGTAAATTAAAGGCAGTTTTGTGAACTCGGCACAAACCTAACAGCCAGGTCTCATGAGTTGCGTAACCCCAATTGGTCTCAATAAATAAAAAATTTGCAGCTAGCTTTACAATGACCACTCACTCATATGACCAATTTAATCGTCATTTGAGTTTCATGTAGAGATGTGACTTTTCTGCAGAGATTGAACAGGGCATTAGCTGGGAAAAACGTCCGCAAACGTCCGCAGCGACTCTATGAAGAGCGAAAGTTGTTCAATACGACAAGAAACGCCACCTCACGTTATTTGTAAGTGCAGGTCAAAATTAAGATATTTATTTTGGGATTGCTGACAAGCAAAATGAGGCTAGGCAGAGAATAAACTTTTCAAAATTCAATCGTTAAGGTATCTCTATCGTGAGTACTCAAGTGGAGTACTAATGAAAACATCACGATAGGTACCATGTTTCCTTCATCCATAAGCGCATAATATAGAGAGATGTTTGGCAACAAGGGGAAATGATCGATGAATTTCCTCTGGAAACTAGTTAGCGTGAAAAACGGTCGAAGTCAAATAGGGAACAATCATAAGTGACAATATACTAAATTCATTCACCGCCATTTCTGCGGCCACTGGAAAGAAATTTATCAAAAATGGGGAAAGATTAAGCTTTTGCACTCTGTTACATTCAAAGAGAATAGGAAGAGAATAGGAAGAGAGAAATAGGAATAGGAAGAGAAATGATTGTAATACATATTGAATGAATAAAATGTATATCCCAGAAAAACTACGGCTAACGAGATGCAACGAATCTGTCAAATTGCAAGTCAAGTACGTAATCGGGACACTCAGAAAGAACGTCATGACAAAGCATAACATATAGAACTGTGGAGCTACGAAAATTAACTCTCTTATTAAACCTGAGACGACGAGCCAGAAGTCATTTAATCAATGCGAGATGATATAGACTACCTCTGATTATTACAAGGCGATTGGTGATAGGGCTCGTTAAAATCATGTTGCATGAATTAAATCGAAGCGAAATCAGTCCGCTGGCGTAGACTAAAGCACAGCGAGAGACAAGGAAAAAACCACAGTGACTGGTTGCCCGTAACTCCAAATCAAAATACTCTACTTGCAATATTCCACAACAATTTGGCAATCCGCTATGGAGAAAAGTATTAGAAGCACCGAAGTCTTTGTTCTTGCAGTTGAGCGAGCTCCATAGACGGGCTCGCACTTGAGCAAAATAGACGTTGCAGTACATGAAAAAAATAAGCTCAAATGCCAGACGAGGGCAGATGTAGCGATACCGATCTGTAATGTGGCTGCGGAAGCTCGACGTGTTTAATGAAACATAGCGCTTTCTGAACAGACAAAAAGGAGCCAAACTCGAGGAACAAATCCTTCATCTTCCTTAGGGCCTGCCACGAAAACTTGCTCCTCACAGAATTGCTTCGCTTAATCATGAAGAAATGCCGCTGAGCTCGCTTCATGGTTCATCTATAATTATTTTTGTGAGCGCATCATGGAGATTATATGGTTTAAACTAGAATACATGGAGGCCACCCTGCAGCTGGGATAAGGGAAATAGTTGGTCTAAAAATCCTAATTAATATTCACCCAACATTCAACACCTTATGAATCGGAAAGTAACAGGAAGATCGACTTGACATGCCCTGTAGCTCACATCAAACGAATTCACTGATACACTGCACACACACACTGCCGAGACGCTCCTCTGGACCGAAGGCGTCACTACCAGTTTGCCATTCCCGGCTTGTTGAGAGTCATGAAGTAGATCTGGCACGAAGAGCCGCCTTTGGCAGACGAGAAGAACACCTGCACAAAAAATATAACTCAGTACTCGCTGCAGTGAGTGACAGAGAGAGCATTTTCTCGTCGACGAAAACGTGAAGTCACGGACGGACAGACGGATCTGGCGAGCACAATAATGCATTTTTTCCATAAATGGGAAAATGCGCTAAAAAGGAGTCTCAGCACAATAAGATCAGAATTGTCTCCTTGACAACGGATTTATTTAGTGATGAGAAAAAACTGGTCGCACTCAACAGGTGATGAGTGAAGGACGCATAAGATAGAACGACGCGCATGATGGATCCGGATCTGCAGAAAGGGTGCGAGTAATGGCGCGGGGTATGAGAGAACAGATGAAGGGCGGATAGTAGTAATTATCGGATTATCTGGGAGAGCAACATTGGCTGTGATTGAGAGTGCAAAAAACAGCGTATGGAGGATGAGACAAAAGAGGAGGATGGCAAAATATCTTGACGACGAGTGAATGACAAGATAAGTGAAAAAAACTGACATTAACAACAGTCCAGGTAAAGTTTTAGGATGCATTTCTTTGTTCTAATTTTCATGTACCTATATATCTTACTGGTTACATTCATATTTATTTTTATCAAATTCATACATTTAAATATAATTCCTTTTTCAAACGATGACAAAAGAATAAAAAATGAATTGTACCGGGTAATGTTTCTTTTTTTTTTGTGCCCGGAAACACGTTTTCGCTTTAAAACAGCTTGAAGTTTTTTGGCTACGTTAACGTCTATAACATTTGCATTTGACGTCCTGATATCTTTGATTACTCTCACCAAGAGCAGGCTTAGAAGAGAAAGAGTTATAATTTTTGTCGAAAAAGATAAAGTACCGAGAATTCTTCGCCAAATTATTCATATGCTTCATTTATTTTCCACGACAGGCATGCATTTTGTATCAGGCTGAGAGCAGACGAAGCTAAAAATTATTTATAACAATTACAAGTGAATTTCAGGTCACTTTAATAAATATCTACGCAATCGCTCTGTAGCATACTGAATCCATACAAAATCGTCCGTCTTAAAAAAACGTTCAATGTGCATAAAAATGTTCCGCACGAAGCATCAACAAATGTAAAGTGGCATAACTGAAGTGCATCAATAAAAATAAGCACATTCATGGCTTATTCGCGCCATTCCCAGATGAATTATATTTATTTTTAAACTAAAGGTCTAATACGTCGAACATGTTGAAAAGGAAGTACAATATCCATGTTAGAAATAAGTAGTGGATCAGGACAACGAATGAACGGTTAGACTAACCTTATCGTTGCGTTCACAAAGAAACTTCAATTTTTGAGCTTTTTTGTGCATGAAGACGCCGTCGAGATGTCCTGTTTCCACAGATCGGATCTCGATAGCCTTGTTGCCCCAGCCCATGATCTGCCCTGTGCCTATGAACGCAACGCTGGTGGGCATCTCGCCCCACTGCAGCATCATGTTCTTCGTCATCTGTAACAATACATTAATTCAAGCAACAGTTTTGGTATATGTGTGAAAGAAGAATTCGTTCCTTGGCGTCTCAGCCTCGCTGCCACACGAGTACGGCAAAATGAAACTCAGGTTCGTTCAGTAGCATATATGTAAACCAGGTAATAATTTCTTTAGCTGTTAAGATTTGAGTCGCGAGGGTCGGGTCATAATAATAATTGTTAAATTAACAATAAATATAAGTTCAATAATATTTTCGAAATATTAACTAGCTAAAAGAATTCAATAAAACTTCGATTTGCACAGAAACTGGGACGTCAACTGTATTGTCAGAGAGCCGAGAGGAACACATATAGCCTTTTAAGTGTGTTAGTAAACTTACAACATTCAAGAGAAAATTCTACACTAAATAAAAAAAATTGAATCTAGCAAATTGTAGCTATGGCAAAATTGTACATACGAAGCCGGCAATGTCTAAGCAATTAAATAGGAGCATGTGAGGCGTTATGGACGTTCTACCTTCTCAATGTTACCATCAGCAGAAATGTGAAAAAGTTTTTCAGTATGCCGACAGGTCTATCTAAGAGAAGGAAGGTCTGACCTTGCCATAAGTGTTGACGTAGACACCCTCGTTGTCGTAGCAGATGAGCAGCTGCAGGCCGTTGCTGTTGGGCATCGTCACGATGGTGTGGGGGCTGATGCCTCCCTGGATCTGGCGAAGTCAATTCAATATTTAATTGCCGCGCCAAAAACGTGCAGATATGATAAAAACCTATGAATATTATAAGATGTTTGCCTGCATTCAGTATTTCGAGAAATAACTTATGCACATAAAAAGGTCATAGACCATTAAAAACTCAACAAAGCAATCACGGTGTGAGTAACAAGCCACGATTTTGAGAAATTATAAATAACTCACAAATGCTAACTCATTAAGTATGTTCGTTACCAAACTGCATTTAAATTTGAATAGAATTAATCTAGGGTATTATGATGACGAAGAGAGGCATACATGCTTAGGTCTGTAGATATCATAGAGTTCTCCCGAGTCGACGTCGATAGCATGGAAGCCCTGACTGGAGCCATAGACCACTTTGAGGCGAGACCCTTCCTCCACAGTCAGGTCTACCAGCAGGGGACGTTGGGTCAACTCCGCGAAGCTCTGAACATAACATTCGTTTATCAACAATATTGTACGAGTCTGTTTTCATCACTAGGAATATTTAATAAAAATAATTCTAGCAGCCAGCACTTTGCCAAAGTCAAGCCATTTTATGGAATAAGATTTAGTCTAAAAATCAAACCATTGCAAAGTCACATCACCTTGAAGGCCATGAACTTGAGATAAGGTTTTGGCGCCCACGCGTAGATTTCTATGGAGTCCCTAAGAGCGATAACCAAGAATTTGATCCTCTCATACTTGACAATTTTGAAATGCACGGCGCCGTTCAGATCTCCGACGTTGATCCAGCCGTTTCGACGCTCCACTTGCTGGGGTCAAATAAATTTCTCATTAGTAATTTCACAAAAATTTATTCTGGAAATTTGACATGAAAAACATTGCCAGAATATTATTGTGATTATTTGACAGAAAAAACTTTTTCAAGCGAATAAATTCATTTGGTTTTACGCGAGAAGTTCCAGTGACATTTATTGACTGCAACTGTTCCCGACAAATTTCATAATAAACACAATAATTACAAAAATTACTGAAGGAGTAAGATACATCATAGGTGTAGGAATACAGCTTTGTTTAACTGATCTCACATCAAACAATTTTATATATTTATAGCTACAAGAAAAGAAGGCATTACTTACAGCGTCGGTGCGGAGAATTTTCGCCTTGAGCCACGAGAGATAATAGACCCGGACTCTGTTCTTCTTGCCGCTGATGGTGACGAGGATGTTCTGGTCAGAGAGCACCTCCATCTGCTGGAACCGGCGTCGCGAGATCAACTGGTAAACCTTGCCCACGCCAGACCGGTCGAGCAGCATGAGTCCTGCCTCTGTGCCGATCAGCAGGTTCACACCTGCAACACGCGGAGCGAGTTAAAACCAAGCATTGCGACAACATGAGTATTAATGAACAGCATGCTTCTGAGTATTATTGAGCAGCAGATGCTTGTAGATCAATGACACGTCATGTGCTGAATGTTTCAATGCGCATCAGGAAAATGTCAAGTTTTTCCAGAATACTTCAGACTCTCTGTGAAGAATCAAATTCTTTGATATCACTCATCATATGAGAAATTGCACGGCAATTTTGTATAAGCATTGGTCATGAACAAGCGCATGAATCAAAACAGCCATATATATTACAGAGAAAGATGCCGACTCACCCCAAAGTGAGGCGCACAATATTTCCGAGCTAAACCTCTTCTTGTACTTCCTAATCTCGGGCGTATCGCTCATGTCGTGCGCCGTGGGCGCAACGTTGATGTTGATATGCGAGTCCCGGCGGCCGGGCTGCTGGACGCTGCCCGGTGTACTGGGCGCTGCTACACCGGGCATCGGACCGCTGCCGCTCGCCCCGTTGCCCGCCCCGAACCCGAAGGCCAGGAACGTGCGCTGCTTGTTCTGCTCGTGCAGGTAAACGGGGCGTGGGCTTACGGCCTGCCGGTACTGTGGAACAGAAACATGGCAGGTCATGAGGCTTCGTGCAGTCAAGATGTTCACATTCTCCACATGCACAGAGAAAAATGTAGTTGACTATCCTAAGATAATTTAGGTATCGTAAGATAATTTACGGATCGTGGGGAAATTTATCCTGAGAGACAAGAAATGATTTTACAGGAAATTTCTTTTAATGTAAATAGGAACCCATCACTACATAATCAACATTTAAGGGCCAACTACAATATCCCAGAGCAAAGGAGAACAAAACTCGGGAGAAGCAAAACAGTTGCCTGTTCACGAAAAAAAGTCGTAATAAAGTTGCCTTTGTAAAACAGTAAGATATATATTTCTCTACTACATTACCTGCATGTAAAAAGTCACGTGAATCATCACAACATGATACCATTCCTGGCCGTTTGAAAATAACGCACGGAAAAAATAAGTGCGACCAAAATATTCCGACACATAGTATACTACGCAAACATTCAGACAAGTACTAATGAATAATTGGTAAAACGTCAGAAAAGACGTGAATGAATAATACAGAAAAATTAATAAATAAACTAAAAACCCGTTACATGAAAAAGACAAAGTAAAACCACAACAAAATCAAAGCAATAATGAAGGTGGCAATGCCCCAAATCCTACGACGCTGTCCTCTACAAATTAAAGCATCGGCACCAGAAGCGTTCAACTAATAAGAAGAGATTTGGACACTAAATTAATACAAAGAAAATAAAAAACTTAAAAGGCGCAAAGTGGGTCACTCAGGTCTGGTCACCGCAGGTCTAGACCTTATTAGCTCATGCGATGTATGTTTGATTGGGCAAAATAAGCTCGATATTTATCACTTTTCCCAAGTTGCAATTGAGATTGAAATGCTGACGGCATGCATGCTATAATGGTACTCCATACAAAACACAGAAAAGGCTGAATACGCCTCATAACAAAATTATGGATATGAATTGAAGCCATTTTCATTTTAAGCGCAAATCTGGCAATAATGCGATTTGTTTAATAACAAATTTCCGAGGGCAAACTTGCCCATTAAATCATCAGTTATTTACAACCGTGATTAAAACAGAAGATTGAAATAATTTCTGAGATGCAAAAGCGGAAATCAAACAAGCATGATAACTAATTTTGCGGCGTGCAGACGCCTACTTACTTGAAGCAAGAACAGCTGTGTTGTCGAGCTCTTTTTCTCTTCTATACAGAAAAATCTCATTTGGACTTTATGAATCCAATTCAAGGTTTTCACAAAAATTATATACAAACCCTAGTGGGACCACAACGAAACTGTAATTGTGTCACAGCGGCTCTCATTCTCTTCTATAATACCGTAAAATCTTTTTTGGACTTTATGAATCCAATTCAAGGTTTTCACAAAAATTAGTTAGAAACCCTAGATGGACCACAACGAAACTGTAATTGTGTCACAGCGCACTTACCTGGAGCGAGCAATGCAAGGCAAGAAGCAGTTGGGATGCTCGTGCTAGAGGCTCGAGTGGTCAGTGAACGGCAGTCCAGGACAGTCGGCACGTAAGTGAGGAAGATATTAACATGCATCATCAGCACACAAGCACATCACAGATTGTCTTTATAACACAGGTTCTTGGAGACGAATGTAATCAACAATAAATACGTTCCCCCTTACGCATATCTCGAGCGCAGCCCTTCGGCGCACATGATGCGATGGACAAATGAGGCATCGTAAACCATAATCAATTCGTGATATCATAGAATCATATTACAACTTGTACGTTAGCTCGAGCGACGAATCTGTTCCCTCATTTATGATGAATAAATTGTGATGCTGAGTTAGTGGTGACCGTGAATAGAACTGTATGAACACTCAAAGTATTAGCGCAGAAGATTGATCACTTAGAAATTGCTTCTTATGGCGACTATCAAGAACACATAAAAGTTGGGAAATTTCCCTGAAATTCGGTCTGGATATCACGCGTTACTGGCAAACATTCATTGAGGTCTAAAATACTTTTGGAATTATAATTTAATTAATTTAAACAAACGTGCATGACATCGTTCATTTGGTCATCATTGATGCAGAATTAAACTTGAATATTCATACATTTTTAGTTTATAGCTAAAACATGGTCGTCGTTACGCAAATCGGACGGAACTTTATAATTTCAATGCAATGAAATACTTTGAGCAATAAGAAGTATCATTGGAAGTTGTAATTACTATATTAAATCAATCGAACGACAACCTAAGCAGGCAACTCGCAACCCTTCTTATGAATCAAAGAAAAATGTCATCGAGTGTTGATGGAGTTATTAGACAGCCATGGACCGGCATTGTATCGCGTGATAATCTTAGCTCAATGTTTCACGCTCCCTAGCATGAACAGGGAGGAATGAACTATTGAAATGCGAAACTATTAACAAAGTTTTCGTATTTCAATACTTGGATTATAAGACCTCACCGCTATCACAATGAAGAAAGCTTGCACAGATGAAAAATTAAAGTATCGTGCGTATATCACTATTTATACTCGTCAGTTTGAGGCAAACAATTTTTGAAGCAGTAAGGCGAGTTTACGGCACTTGAGATAGAATCGTCAACGAATCAATTACCCTGGCATGTAAAACATCAAAATATGGTAAATAATCACAACCTGCTTACCGCAATAAATAGATCATTAGTGTTTTCATACACAAAATTAGTCAACAAGAGAGGACGCACAGTATTAATGAATGCATGTCAACAATAAGCCAATCAAAACACATGGGTATAAGTAGACAATTTTTTCTTGCAAAACACAACAAATTATTTCATCTCATGAGCTCAGATTTGTAACATTATTTCCACAAAAAGTACCCATGCACAAAATTAAAACCAGACACATCAATTAGCATGAATCTCTTTAATTTTAATCCTTAATTAGAATGATGTCCAACGTCACACCTGGAAGAAGCGATGTTACGAGGTTAAAGGGAAAATGAACTTTAAAAAGTTAGTCAGAGAAGCGCGATCTCTCAAGGCAACTCGCCTATTAATATTTAGTTATTGAATTGCTAACACGTAATTATAATAAATATTTTCAGTAAAAGAAAAGATATATCAAGTCGACAACAGACAAGGAGACGGCCCGCTATACAATCCAGCACCTGGCAATACGAAGACGGACAGGATAGGCAGAAAACCAATGACACTCCAGACAGAAAAGTTTCACAGACGCAATTACGAATAAACATGACCAGGGTTTATTGGCAATTACGAATAACATAACTAGGGTTTATCATGATATGTCTCTATGAGAAACAAGAACTTGTTAAGAAACTTCATTCGTAATTGTTTTAAATGAATTAAATAAAATAAATGAAAGAATACACGTAATGTAATTAGAGCTCCTTTATCAAGACAGAGAGTTACAAGAGTTTTAAACCGTGTTATGAAATTTTCACTGTTCACTCATTGCGATAATGTTGCTGACGGTAGGTAGTTGAGATCGTGGTAAACTGTGGTAAATTTTGAAGGAAGTACGAGAAACAGTGGAGATGACGATAAAACAACTTCAAACACGAGATACGATGTTATGAAAAGTATCAAGCTTGTGTAACAGCGCGTAAAAGGAATACCAAGCACTAAGGACAGGAAAACATAAAAGTTTATACATAAACCTGGTAAGTAAAAGTTCGGCGGACACAGTAAACCACCGAGAAGTCCGTCGTGAAGATTGGACGTAATCTATCAAAACCTCATCCGTAAAGCAATGATATGGAGTCCCACCAAACCATCAATAATATTAATGCATAAACCAAGCCCAGCCGTATAAGATATTGATATAGCATACATTGAATATATTCGCAAAGCCAGCTCTATCACCGAAGATAATAAAGCACCAACCAGCCCTATCATAAAAGATAATTCAGCACAAATCCAGCCCAATCACCGAAGATAAAGCAACAAGCCAGCGCAGCCACCTAAAATATCAAATCACACCCAAAGCACGATCACTGTAGTCAAGCCTTCAATTGAATTGCTAAGCAGATCCCTTCCCTCGTAGTGTCTCTGGCAAGTAGATACATCCAAGATGGTGCATGCTATGGATGTCTAGCCATGATTAGGTAGTTACCGTTTAGTTGTTTAGTTCAATAGTAGACTAAGAATCTTATTACGATATTTAAAATTGAAGAATAATTAACTGAACAATGAAATAATTTGTATCCATTAAAGTGTGTCATCAAGTTTCCTTGTTTATTACTGAACCAAACAACGGAATCTGATCGTTTACACATCAACACAGATGGAATTGAATTTTCAAATTTCGATCAAAAATTTACTTCAACGTTTTACTTCCAACTTTAATCGAATCCACCCGACGGAAAATTGGAGGATTGAGAATTTGTGTACTCAGTTTTCAGGCGTGAAAAATAAATTATAATAAATAGATAAAAAGAAAAAAAGACGTACCTCTTCGCTGGTAGACTTGTCCAGTCGTGCAGCGTTGGGGCCGTTAGTCGCCTGGCGAGCAAACGGCAACTTAATGCAAAACAAACGAGGTCGTGGCACACGGAAAACAACATAACAGATGCAAACAGAAAATATTGTTAAGACTGCTAAGAAAATGTGCAAAAACAGGAGTAAATTCTTCTAGGACTAATAAAATTCGTCACGCAAACGCTATCATTGGTAAGGATAAAAAATTATCTGAAATTTAAATTAATAACAGTGAATCTTTTAAAGACTTAGAAAAAAGCAAAAATTAAATTGGTTGAAGCAGTATTTTAAGCAAAAATGAGACTACAAACAAAATAATAAGGCAATTCTAAAGCCCCGGAAATGTCATTCGTCGTGCATGTGGACACGCTACATACACTCTAAAGACTGAACAACACTCACTACAGGGCCAAATAAACTGTAAATAATCAAAATAAACTAATTTGTTGTTCATCTAATTACGGTACTAAACGTCAACATGCAAGTTATGTCATCATTCAGGTTTCATTGAAGACCAGAGAGTATTTCTTATTGACAATTTTCTTATTATTTTTCTCGATTCGGCGAATTAGGCTCTTGATAGGAAGTGAAAATCCAAATATCAGGTTTCCAAGGGACATTTTATTATAATTTACGATTTTTTTATTTTTACGATATAATTTTATTTGGTCATGTCATCATCATATACTTCAACACTGGATAACGCGCATGAAACATCTCCCGACGAAACTGCGAGTTCAGCAGACAAAGCCAGCTGCTCTCGTGTAGGAATGAAGGACAATAGTTCAGGATTTGTGAGGCAAAGCAGCATACAATAGCGGATAAACACGAATCATGTGTACGATGATGGATACAACTTCATTCGAGCATTAACTGAAAACAATCAAAAAATCAAGAAACAACTAAAAACAATCAAAATATAATACCTACTACTGATTCAAGTGAAACCTATGCCGGAGAACATAATAAGCGTGCAGCCAGTATCACAAACGTCCTTTCCTCCGATAACTTAGAAGACAGAACAAACCACATAAATATCATGACAAACATAAGAAATTGAATGGCGGAGAACCAAATTGACTTGCAATACCGCCGCTTAAAGGCTGAACATGGGAGAGTTGTGATGAGCAAGCAATGGTACGCTTCTAAAATGCGTCAAAAAGTTCGAGTTTCGGGACGTGAAACAACTCCAGCGTAATACAAAGGATTGGCATCTGGTGCTGTAACTACAGCTCACTCGATAACATAATCAACGTTCATTTCCACAAGTTTCTCCAATTTTATGCCATCCCTAATTGTTATTGTCCAAAAAAAAAGTCAATCAACTTGAAATTGCAACGCGAGGATCGTCAGAGATTTTCAGGCTAGTCAGCAGAAAATGCGCTTTTTAGCGATGAGAAATGCTTAAATGTTGCACCTTACATTAACATTGCTGTACCATACTCATGCGAACGATGTGGGACGCTAGCTACAACTAGGAACGTTCCAGGGAGTTTAGTTGCATTTCCAGTCGGAAATGTTAAATTAGTGACAAAAAGGAACTGGTACCAAAAGAGAACCCATGTTGAAACAAGACGATATATTATGGCAAGAAGAAAATGGTGGATAAAGCACAGCAATTATACATCGAAATGATAGGCAGAAATGAATCATGCGCAGGTGTCAAGCAAATCAAGCTCGGTAACGCCAACTAATCAGCCGCCGGAGAACAAGTAGGACTGGACTCCAGTCAAGCATGCAAAACATCTATTTTTTGCAAGCCGTATGGTCATGGAAGAAAGCCAACGGACAAAATGAAGAAAGAATGAAATGAAGGGAAGACTTGCAACAACCACACTTTCTCCGACGTTTACTAGACTCTTTGTGCCTAGAGTCTCATCAAATATAGATAGATCCAAGATGTACGTATGAGAATTGGTCAGAAATGATGAATATGATGAATTGGTCAAAATAATCAGTAACTTTTACAAGCGTCCACAAAATTGCAGCTGTTTTTTCAGGCCAATGACTGACCTTGTTGACGGGCACGGCATACTGCGAAGCTGTATAAACTTCTTCAGCTCTCAACGTTACGTTTGAGCTGAAGTTATCGGTCCGGCGGGAGGGGCTGGGAGGAGGGCTCTTAAGGTAGCTAAAGGAAGGACTGCGACCAATTTGTGGCGATATTTCAGTGGCAGCAGGAGAAGGCGAAATATTATTTCCTTGCGAAATGAACATATTTGGAGCTGTATTTTCCCTCCTAAATGCGAAGGGAGGAGGAAGCTTTGCTTGAGACGCTTTGCCGGAACTTCTGAAGCCTGAGAAAATTCCTTTTTTCTTGAGAGGAGTTGCCAGAGGCGGTGTGGCAGATACAGTCTGCCGCCTAAAGTTCGGTGACACCCGCGAGACGTGTATAGATTGGTTTTCATTAGCCGAGTTTCGGACTCGAGATGGCAATAAATGTTGACTCGGTGCAGGTGATATTTCGGAAGTTGATCGTTGACACGCAGGCGGGCGTTTTGATTGTGAAGACTGGAGATCGACTCGTCTTGAAGCAACGGCAGACTAAACGAAAGCATCCAATGGAAACACAAAACTCTGAGTTAGTAAATGAGGCACAAGTTCAAACAAGCAGTGTGGGAAAAAAACGAACATCGAACATCACGATACGTCAATATCTGAGCAAACAGGTTCCTATAGGGAATATCCCGGAGATATCAGGCTTCAAGCATTAATAATGAAAAATAAACGATGGATAAACCAAAATAAAGAAGATATTGGAGGTAACAAGTTTGGTGATGCTCAAGCCAAAATATGCGAGAGGATGTTAGGTAGTGCAAAAAAACATGCATCGGAATATCACATTATTAGCACAATTACAGACAAAATTAAAAATATTTTTTTCATTAACTGTGAACGAGAAATTCTGAGCAAGCGCCTCTAGACCCTTGCTAGCAGTCAATTGTCATGTTACGCCACAGGGATGAATTGATGTAACTTGACTTCGGATTTTTCTTTTCATCGGGTAGGTAGTTCATCATTCTCAAAGACGCGCCTCACGATCACAAATATATTTTATTTGCCATTTGCTTTAATCCTCGCGTTTCCTATTAATGCGTTACAGAACTTACTGAATCTTGCGAATGTGCTAATTCTTGTTATGCATTTCACCGTTACTTTTTTATAAGTATTTTAAAATCAAGTATTTTTTATCCTATGGCACTGCAATGCATCGCACACGTAATACGAAAATAAGGTTGCAAGAGGTCAAAACTGATCAAGTAAAGTTTCAAAGAAATAAAAACAGCAAAAAAACTAGTAAAAAATTCCGAACAAGGCACTGCAAGGCAGTAAATATAAGTAAAATTTTTTATAATTAAATTAGGAAGTTCAAAAAAATATTATACAGTGACGCGAACGGGAACAAAAGGGCAAAGTGAGTAAAAGAAAACCATAGACAGAACAATTGCTTGGCAGCAATGCTTCCGTAAATTGTAGTAAAATGTTTGATAATTAAATTAGAAAGTTAAAAAAAAATATTATAAAGTGAGTAAGTGACACTAATGGGAACAAAGAGACAATGTGAGTATCAGAAAAACCATCGAGTATCAGAAAAAAAGTATCAGTTCCATCGCCTGTAGCGTGGCACTTAGAACGAAACCGTATATACGAAACCGTGTAATGAGGGAAAAATAAAAGAGCAATTTGGTGAGAAACTGCGGGATGAAAGCTGTAAGAAAGCTATCAAAACAAACCATAGACTAGAGGTAAAACAACCGTCGTGAAAGTCTGTAAAATAATGCATTCGAACAGTCGGGAAGAGGGGTTAAACTGAGCGTGCAACCAGCTTACAGAACAACATCGCAACTAAAACAATATTGAGAAACGTGGATAAAGACGACTTACCTTGGAGTTTGCTGAAATTTTGATTAACGTCGAAACCAGTATACTAACAGCTTAATGCAACAAAACACAAAGATGTTGCTCATCGAACACCGTTCAACTATCACACGAAAAAGTGTAACCAAGTCACTGCTGAACCCAAAAGTAGAGCTCATCATTTGTTCACAATAAATAAATCAACGGACTTCCATGCCGTGAAGGAAAACAATTTCATCCCATCGTCCAGAAACAGCTGATTCACTATAATTTCGAGAACTTTACCGACTTAATTCTAAATGAATTGCGCGACTGAAATCCCGAAAGAACCGAAGATATAACACGACAAAAGGCAGTGAATTTCGACTTTTTCATTCGAATTGAAGGAGCCTTATGATCTTGTAAAAAAATTAGTGGGCCGAAAATTCCTTCGAATTACAGGCAACACAAAGAGAGGTGCAATTGTCACCAAAGAAATCAATGTCATTCTGAGTCTCCAAAAAAGGAGGTTTTAGAATTGATATCTCAAACGAGCTTCATCGGGAGAGTAATGATATCGATTTTGCTCGACAAAAAGTTCAACTGTTGAAAAAAGGATGGTCCTCGACCGCGTGAAACCTGATGACAAATTACAGGTTTATTAATCTCAGTTGAATATCGGCTTTCAACATAAATTTTATTCTGAAGACTGGCCAGTAACTGGAAGGCGACTCAATGTATAACGAGAGCCCTGACAGCTACTTCTGAAGCGACTATTTAATTCTGCAGTGCGTCCAGCAACTGAAAATCCAATTATTAGGAAGTAACTATAGGCAAGACAGCAGCTCCTGCAAAGTTGGCTACGCTATTAGAAAAAACGGTCCACTGGCGTTCTAGTGGCCGGTCGCCTCGTGAAAATAAACTGTTTCGCCGTTTTTATCCGATGTTTTATGGATTTCTAGTGTTAAATTAGAATAAAAACGGCAACACGGTGTTTCTTTTCACGTGCCGACCGGCCACTGAAACGCCGGTAATACCGTTAACGGTAATTTTTCTAAGAGTGTAGCACCAGCAAGGGTTAGTGAGAGCACCTATATATATAGTTACCAATTGACCTGGTAACTATAGGCAAGACAGCAGCACCTGCAAAGTTGGCTAGCACCTGCAGGGTTAGTGAGAGCACCGACCTGAGGCAGGAGGTCAGGCAGCACGGAGCTGGTGCGGGAGCCAGGCGTCGCCAAGGCGCCCCCGCTCACGGGTGATGAATCCACCCCGCCGCTGCGTCGGTCCTGCGGGCAAACCGCGGTATGAGGGTCTCCAGGGGGGCATTAGGGCAAAAAATATGGGCATTAAGGTAAAAAATATGGGCATTAAGGTAAAAAAATATGGGCATTAAGGTAAAAAAATATGGGCATTAAGGTAAAAAAATATGGGCATTAAGGTAAAAAAAAAAGGGCATTAAGGCCAAATAAATAAAAACTTGTGTCTATATGAAGCAAAAAGTTGTGAAAATGAGACTACGAAGTACGCTATTTTGCAAACGAATTTTGTGCACTGGCCAATTAAATCAGTCGAATAGCCGAATAAGGCTGTACGAGAGAGAGAAGGGGGGGGGGCAACAAACCACAAAAACAGTTATGTATATTGATGAGAATGCAATGTACAATATCACAACGTAGCACACGTAGGCACGCTGATAAAATAATGGAAACGGGGATCACGAGCTGACTCATCACCAAATAATTTTTATGAGCAAAGAAACGTATCGACTTTACCAGATATGTATAAACTCAAATGAGTAAATCTCAAGTGCTGTTCAATGAAACTGAAAGGCTTAAACCAAACGCCTTGAATCCAGCGCAGCTAATTCTTATAAGGCGCTCATGAATTTCAAGGAAATATTAGATCAAGTGCAGGTTAATGTTCCAACCAAATGCTAGACAAAGTTGTGAAGCACGTTTCTGTGCCTGCGCTCTTAATGGTGAGAATGAAACAATGAGCGGTGGTAACGAATGTCACAAATGAAGGCCTGAATGGTATGACGATTGTAATTACTATCAATAAGCATTGAAGTTTGCACAATAAAAATACGGAGAAAATGGAATATATGCTGTACAAATGAATAGATTCAATAAACATAACTAAATTTGAATGTTATACCTAGCGTACTACTCAGTTACAAGACCGAAAAATTGAATTTAACAAAATGCCGAAAGCGAATGAGACATAATTTTGTCCTTAGCTTCGACAATAGTAAACGGAAATTTCTCTTATTCAATCTAATAAGTAGCTCGCTGAAAAACTCAACTCGAGGCATTTTTAGGTTGGTATTTTCATCATTTCCTTTAGCAGTTTAAATACAAAGCACATATATCAAGCCTTGCAAAATTAGTCAATATTTACGCATTTATTTACATGCGGTCAAATTATGCAAGGTGCATTTTAAAATGAGAATGCACTTTTAGTTTCAGGTGAGGGTAAACTAAACGCGTTAGCAAACATGAGCAAGACGTATAAATAAAAACTATTACCGCTGTTTTAAATGATAATGTAATCTCTAAAGTGAAGCAAACAAAGGACAAGTTTTTGAAGCCACTCGGTATAGCGGTAGTGTGCTTCAAAAACCGAGCTTATACAATCCTTACAGTTCTAAAGGAATAACCTTTCATGAGATAATCTACAAGCACAACTACTCAGCAACATGGAAGATTGTTTCAGTTTGTGTGAAAATCCGATGATCTTGTCTTAGGACCGAGGTTCTCGTCTGGTTATAAGCCAATAATTATTCATACATCGCCTATGATACTCTCGCTCTAAAAAGAAACTCTAAACTGCAAGATCATTTACCAAAAGTCACTCCGAGAGAGAGGAGAAATTTCCAAATCAAGTTAATTCACACGCTATTCCACTCAAAACTTATTAACAACTGTACAATAGAAGATGAAGCCACGAAGATATTGTACAGCGATAACGTAAAAACTATGATACATAAAGCACTCGGTGTTATATGTCGACGTCTTAAATCAATGCTCAGTGGATTTGAGACGTTTTCAAGTTTAAAAAAGCTACAAATGTTAGAAAATCCAACTAGGAAGAGAGATCACTTTTAAATAGATTTCAAATGCAATACGGGCCTTAAAACTTAGCGTTAAAGATCCCACAATCAGTATCACTTCAAGGAAAGTTGAAAATAAAAGTAGGCACAAAAGACTTCCAACTGATTTTTCTTAGTTTTTACAATTCAAAATTCAGAGCGCCGTTGAACTCTACAGTCATGGTTAATGAGTCGAGCTAAGCCAGAAAAGAAAACTGTTTGTACAGCAACGCACAGTTCACAACCACTCTCATTTACATGCGGAAAAAAGCCTCCTGCCTTCTAGATTAATGCATACTTGACTAGAGCTTACATTAAATATTACAAACTACTTCGCAGGTCATCATTTACATAGTAAAATGCATTGTAATGTTAATAGTTAGCCGATACAACGCACCACAAACTTTACCATTAGAATGTTAGTATTGAAGTTTCATAGTCGGTCCAGAATATTAACATGTTACAGCTTGGACACGTGAACCAGGAGGGAGTGATCCTAAGGCACCCCCATGCCTAAACATGGCAAGAAGTGACATGTAAAGTACAGGGCTAACTTCAATATCAGAGTAACTGGTATTCTACGCTGGTCACGTATATACCAGCATGTACCTAGAATAAATAATTAGGACTGATATGTTGATATGTTCAACATGACATTTGGCATCACTAGCAAGCGAAACAAAAATCCTCTTGCAAAGTAGAGTAAAAAAACTACTAAAATCAGTGATTGAAATAAGAGCGATTGTTCTAGGCAATGAAAGGTTAGATTGGATCTGTCCCTCCTGGCAGTGAGATGTCGAGGGCAGGAGAACAACAGTGGCATACCAACGCTGTGTTAGTGTAAACCAAACTGCGAGCAGCAAACGAGCCAGCGTCTGCGGCCTCAACTGCTTCAGATCAGACGCACTACAGAGAGAGCACGATGATCTTTATCACATTGTAATAACATCATATTGACGGATTATACTAATGTTCCATTGGAGTAAATTTGCACTAAAGATAATGTGAAGCACACAACAACGTTAGACAGGCGCCCAGATACTGGACTCGTTTGCTCTACAGACTGAGGGGAAGAGTGATAGGTGCACCTGGTGGGAGGCGTGTGGGGAGTGCGGCGCCCTCGCAACCAAAGGAACACAATCTGAATCTCCGGCAGACGAGAGGTGCAAGTCGCTGTCTAGGGAACTTTGTCTCCTCAAGGAATGTTTTGAGTTATCCCCCTTGGTCACAAAATTAGTGAGCACCACTTGGTTTTCGTCCCGGGGTCCAGCTCCACGGCCGCCGAAGAGGTGAGACCGACGAGCCAGCGGGATGTCCGTGTGTTGTCGGCGCAACAGCCCGACACGCGAGTCGGACTCGTTGCGGCGATGAGCCACATTACCACTTACTTCGCTGCCGTTCATCAAGAATCCTGCACTCTCTTGATTCATGTGTGATGAGTTGTGGCTAATGTGGGGAGAATCATTGCCAGGCTGGAAACGTGCACTTGGTTGGGGAGAATCTTGGCCCAAATAATTCAAGTTTTGGTTCGCGGTCGATGAGTTACGACTCATTTCTGGCGGTGAACTGCGGATTGGAAGAGGCGAATTTTGGCACAGCTGGGACAAGTGCTGCTCCGTCTGATCTCGGCTCGCCTGCATTGGCGCAGGACCGAGTGCCGTGGCCTGGTGCTGGTCGCTCCTACTAATCGAAGCGTCCGAAGGAGTCTTGCTGAGCGGGGGGGCGGAAGGCCCTGCAATGGACCGAGGGCTGCTCTCTTCCTGGCTGCTGTTGTTGTTGTTCAACAGCCACACGTCAGTAGAAGTTATTTTGCTGAGACGACTAGCGTTATTACTGCAGTCCTGGAAGCTCGCGTTGCTAAGTCGAGCAATATCGAAGCTGCTGTCACTGTTACTCCGCATTTTCGCACCTCCCGTTGCTGCACCAGTCCCAGCCCCACCATAACTTGCAGCTGTTTCCAGAGGTCGTCGAACTGCGTGGCTACTTTTCACAGCCGCAACTTTATTATTATTTTCAACACCGCCGTTGACGGCCGAATTCTTGTGATCATTTCTTTTAGGCGCGTCAGAAGATTGTTTGACAAGATCTCTTCTACGCACGCCAGCGGCGAACAGGTGGCCGCGACCTGGGCCTTGAATATCAGCGCTTTTATTAACGTTAGAGTTCAGGGGGGAGGAGCCAGAAGAACCGTTCGAAGAACTACTGCTTGATGAGGCATGCTGTTGTGGTTGCTTTTGTTGCTGTTGTTTTTGTCGCTGTTGTTGCCGCTGGAGAGCGGCACAAGCACAGAAATGACGGAGTTCGTTAGTCGATTGAAATCAATATAATAAATTACGCCGCATAAACCCAGATGATGCAATGCCGAGAAGCACATGAGAAATGTAGATAGAGTTAAAAACAAGATGGATTTCGGTAATCAAAGAAATAGAGAAACCTTAATCTTCCCCAACATGTTATTTCCAGTAAATTCATGCAATAATCATTGGCACCAATTTATTTTTTTATGAATGTAAATGCGTGGGACGAATAAACTGCATGAAAATCAAGGAAAATAATCTCACGCGCAATTAACTGCTGCAATCAGTGTTGATAGTACCATAATAATGTAACTTTCATCAGGGATAACAAATTTGAGGAAAACCGATAACCCAACAAGTATAAGCAAATTTTTGCAAAAACGTAACGACCGAAAGTGCAAAAAATTGGCTTACGTTAGCATTAGAGCCTGGGCAGTCGGCAATCTCTGATAAACCTTGAAACTCAAGTCAGGTCAGCCGAATTAACAACACTCAAAGAGCATTGTTCACGTAAATTAATTTAGATGATATATCTTTAGATAATGATCTGAACTTGACATTTTTAGGTTCAGCTGCAATATACATTATCTATACGGTCCATACCCTTAATTTACCCGAATTAAAAAAAAAACTCTGGTTTAAGGTACCGTAACGAAAGAATACACGCCCGGTAGCACTCAATGATGCCGGATATTCCCTCTGATGGCAGAAGCAGCACCTTATTCTTCCTGACGCGTATGCCTTTGACAACACTTCAACCATACCCTTGCCGGGGACATATCATCCGAGGCAACCAGTAAAGAAGTTGTTACGAGACGCTTCACTAGACAAGATCGCGAATTTCGACATTAACTCTACTTCGCTATGAGTATTAAAAACAATTGTGCCCCTATCTCCAAGTCACTACGAGTATTAAGAACAATTGTGCCCCTAACTCCAAGTCACTACGAGTATCAAGAACAATTGTGCCCCTAACTCCAAGTCACTACGAGTATCAAGAACAATTGTGCCCCTAACTCCAAGTCACTAAGAGTATCAAGAACAATTGTGCCCCTAACTCCAAGTCATAACGAGTATTAATAGCAATAGCCGCGCCCCACTCACCCTCCTCATGACCAGCGTCCTGTTGGCGTCCTCCTCGTCGGGCGTCGGGGGCAACGGTCTGTTGGGCGCCGGGCCTGCAATATGTAGATAATATGTGAGGGTGATTACTTGAATTACTCATACTCATTCTGAGTGTCTGAGAAAGCATCACTAATTTAGAAGACATATTAGCACATGTTTGACTTCATTAAAGAATTCTTCAATTCTTCAATGGTCGATTTAAAGTTCATCATTACAAACAGAAAATCCTTCATAGTGACTACTAACTGAATAATACCGTACCCTCAGCACTGAGGTTCAGTTTATTCCATTAATACCAACTCAACAATTAGGAGCAACTTCATTTTATTTTATTGTTTCATTTCGCTCCTTACCACAACAATTAGGCTCAACGCTTTCAGTATGTGGTAAAGAGCAAGCGACGTTGAACAAAAAATGAAACGGGAGCTGTGCAACAGCTGTGCAAGGGTAACAGCTATGTAACGTAAGAGGGTAACAGCTGCGTAACGTACTGTAAGGGTAACAGCTGCGTAACGTACTGTAAGGGTAACAGCTGCGTAACGTACTGTAAGGGTAACAGCTGCATAACGTACTGTAAGGGTAAGAGTTGGGTAACATCAGAAGGTAACATCTAGTAGCGCCCTCACCTTGCAAGGCTGTGTGAGGGAAGGCGCCCTCGGCTGGCCTGAAACAAATGAACCACGGTTGGTCTCATCCGTCTTTCAGTCAAAACAACTACATGGCAATTTCTATCCCTAGCAGAATAATGATAATAATTCACCCATTTCTGAACAATTATCCTTCATATCGCAGCAGTCTATATTCAAACTGATATTGCTAGCTGATCAATCATTTTCAGAAAATCAGTTAAGTTAAGGCAAAGCTAAACCACACTCGAACAGCGCTTTAATGTGCAGTGATGGAACACCGTTATGAACTATATTATTCCATCATTTCAATCAAGTATAATATCAATATTAAAAATCACCATTCAGTATTCCGCCATTTCAACCAAGTCTAATACAAATATTATAAATCAGCATTACGTATTCCATCATTTCAATCACGTCTAACATAAATATTAAAAATCAGCATTCAGTACTCCATCATTTCAATCAAGTCTTAACATAAATAGGTATTAAAAATCACCATTAAAATAATGTTTAGTTGATAGTTAATATTTGTCCATATTTTTGTACAGGTTTCTTTTAGTTGCATTTTCGTTACTTTTAAGTACTCCGTCATTTCAATCAAGTCTAATATAAATACGTATTCAAAATCACCATAAGTATCCCACCATTTCAATCAAGTCTAATATAAATATTCAAAATCAGCATTAAGTATTCCATCATTTCAATCACATCTCATATAAATATTCAAAATCAGCCTTATGTAATCCATCATTTGAATAAAGTCTACTATATATATTCAAAAACAGTATTAAGTACTCCATCATTCCAATCAAGTCTAAGATAAATATTCAAAATATTCATTAAAATGTTGGCAACAGACAGCGGCTTGGGCGGGTCCGAGGCGAGCAACGTGCCGTCGTTGGCGACGCGGCCATCATCGTCATCATCGCTGCTGTCGTCTTCAATAATTTGCTGCGATGGCGGCGGCTGGAGACCGGCGGCGGCGGACGGCGGGTCCGGTGGTGCGGGGTGCCCGCCGCCCAGCTGGTTCAGCTGGTGCGCCAGCATGTCCAAGTCCTGCACACACGTACACTCGTTACGTACACTCGTTACGTACACTCGTTACGTGCACTCGTTACGTACACTCGTTACGTACACTCGTTACGTGCACTCGTTACGTACACTCGTTACGTGCACAGTAACGCCACATCACAGTAACGCCACATCACAGTAACGCCACATCACAGTAACGCCACATCACAGTAACGCCACATCACAGTAACGCCACATCCCAGTAACGCTAAGAACGGTTTGGTGGCAGCATTAGACACACCTGGAGACGAGAGGCGAGCGCCTGGAGAGTGGGCATGCAAAAGCGTACAGACAGACGCAGCGATCAACGTTAGTCGTCGCGACATCAAGTTAGATGGGAGAGGTGAGAACCATCGTTAGAAACATGCAGGTAGAGAAGGAATAAAGGGTGCTAAACTCTTGGCAAAAAAGTAAGAAATTATTCTGATAGCACCTGAGAAAATAAGCTGAAGTTATCAACATGCAGCAGCGCGAAAAAATTTAACATCGCTCTGAAGAGGACCAATGCCGAAATTTAGAAAGTGTAATTCTGCTAAATTACAGAATAAATAAATAAGTAGCAGAATAAGATTTCGCAGCACTTAAACACTTGCTGGGAACATATAATGATAGCTAACTACAAAAGCTGTGTCAAAAGCAAGAAGGAATGTTAACGAAGGCGCATGATTCAGAAGACTCACATAAACAGAGGAGTCGTCGGACATTCGCAACAACTGCACAGTACCACAACAACTAGTTTGAGACTAGCTAAGTTTGAGACTAGCAACTAGTTTGAGACAACTAAGTGCTCTCGACGTGACGAAAAATTCCCTCAACACAGCTACCTACATTTTCGAAAATAAATATAATCTATACAGTACTTACTGGCTATTGCTATGGTGGACTATCTACACATCTCAGGATGTCTATCAACAGTGTATTACTTTTGTAATTTTTTTTAAAAGTTATCATTACAAGCTGGCTCTTTAAAGAAATTACGGTTAAAAAGTCACGGATGAAGAAAAGTTACAGAAAAGGGAAAGTAAGATATCACGGAAAATAACAGCTATTTTTAACACTGCAAATTAGTTAAACGGCTTTTAATTTCACATTAAACTCAACACCAGTAAAACGCCCGTTTTAAAAGAGAAAGATACAGAGAACTGTTTCACAAGTAAGGCAAAACCGATTAAATTGATGGAAAGAACATCCATAGAAAAAAACAGTCCGAAAAATAAAAAATGATCAAGTTACTCAAAAATAACTAAGGAAGTCGGCCATTAAAACCAAAGTAAATGATACCAATAATTTAAACAATTTTAGAAGAATGAATGCCATGCTTCGAAATGGATTTCACACACCAGGCTCCATTTCATAATACATTCATTTCACAACATCAATCACCACACAGGATATGACACAAAATTACCTCAGGTTTACGAGGCTGTTGCTGTTTGTGGTGTTGTTGATGTGAATTACGATGGTCCCGATCACGGTCTCTGTACAAGACAATCAAGTGTTGTAAATTACGAAATTTTTCCGATCTCTGTACAAGGCATTCAAAAAGCCAGGCAAAATATATAGCATTTGATGAATGTAGCTGACAACGCAGGTAATTTCGACTTCACAACTTGAAGCTATTTTCCTTTCAAATACACATTAATCGGACGCATTTCAAGGATAATGGGCGAAATATACTATACCATCTGATGAATTTATCTGACAACGCAGGTAATTTCAACTTCACAACTGAAGCTATTTTCCTTTAAAATACTCAACAATCACAGGCATATGAAGGGTAATGAGGTAACCTGATGTGGTCGCGGTGGTGGTGAGGCTGTTGGGAGGTAATTACAACTTCACAACCTGAAGCTATTTTCCTTTCAAACACACAACAATCGCAAGCCTTTGAAGGGTAATGAGGTAACCTGATGTGGTCACAGTGGTGGTGAAGCTGTTGGGAGGTGATTTCAACTTCACTACATGAAGCATTTTCTATTTTCCTTTCAAATACACAACAATCGCAGGCATTTGAAGGGTAATGAGGTAACCTGATGTGGTCGCGGTGGTGGTGAGGCTGCTGGGGCGGTGTGGCGGGCTTGTTCTCCCGGGACTGAGGCGGGGGAGGCAGAGGACGTTGTGGCGCCGCTACGCCGTTACTGTTACTTGCGCTCCCGCTTTCCTGTAAACAACAGGAAATTAGCTTCTTTGTTGAGATAAACAACAGAAAATTAGCTTCTTCGTTGACATAAACAATAGAAAATTAGCTTCTTCGTTGACATAAACAATAAAAAATTAGATTCTTCGTTGACATTAACTATAGGAAATTAGCTTCTTTCTTGACATAAACAGAAAATTAGCTTCTTTGTTGACATAATCAATAGAAAATTAGCTTCTTTGTTGACATAAACAGCAGAAAATAAGCTTATTCGTTGATACAGCGATTGTGAATGTAAGATGCCTGTACAATAATTGAACAACGTTTAGTCACAAATTCAGTCGTATACATTCCTATGTACGAGTTTCATAGCAATCTTGATGAATCAGAAATCTTAGTCGAGGAAGGGCGGCAGGTGAGAATCATCGGGAATATAAATAAGCTAACACGCAATAAATGCAGAACTGATAAATGAGAATGTGTTTTCTTACATAAAATACTGTGACTCCTAGAAACGATAAAAATGGCTAAGAGATGGATTCAACTCAAGTTTTGAAAATAGCGAAATTGAAACAATTCGATAAAACGCGCTGGAAAAGTCTGCTCGGGAAGTAAATTGACTAGAAAACAATAAAAGAAAATGTAAGCATTAACATAACACAGCGCACCATGAGTCGTGAAGGCAGCGATGGTCTGGCAGGAGGCCCAGGTTCAGGAATATCTTCTGCGTTATTCTTGTCGTTCTTGTCACGCTTGCTGATGCCGTTGCGCTGTCCTCCCATCGCTGAGGCAGGGGGAGCTGCAGCTGCTGCAGCCGCCGCAGCTGCTGCTGCTGCCGCTGCTGCTGCTTGTTGTTGCTGTGCTTTATGCTCCTAGGCAACGAAATTTCTCAATTAATGATTAGTTCCGAATTTCTTAGCTCTCGCTAACATTTTTCCCCTTTCAACTCAATAAACCTGATAGTGCACAAGTTGCTTATATTTCAAGGACTGCACCTTGTGGAGGTTTAGCAGCCAAACAAAGACATTAACGAGTAACATTTCCCCCTTGTAACAAGTTACATTACAACTCTTCACTCGCCACCTCGCAGTTCTCCAGCAGTTAGAAAAATGTCAGCTCTGCCACCCGCTTTCCTCAACTGTATTTGGTGGAAGTTCCGTCTGAGGCACACCTGTATCTGGTGGAAGTTCCGTCTGAGGCGCACCTGTATCTGGTGGAAGTTCCGTCTGAGGCGCACCTGTATCTGGTGGAAGTTCCGTCTGAGGGTGTCGCCGGACGGGGCCTGGACAATGGACGAGGGCTCGCCGCTGGGTCGCATCTCCTCCTCGTCGTTGTCAGAGCCGCTGTTGTAGTTGAAAGATTCCTCGCGATCTGGAGGAACAATTCTTCTTCAGTTTCCAGAACTCTCTAGGAAAATTGTATATCAACCTCATAGGGCTAGCGAAATTCGACAGAATGAAATGGATACGGTAATTATTTGTACTAGGTAACTTAACAACATATAATATGAGCAGAAAAGCTTTTTTATTTATCGAATAATTATTAATTGTTAGTCAGTCATTTCCATTATTTTGTCCAGTCCCCGTACAGAAATATAGATATACATTTCAGCAAAAGGCACTATACAACGCTGAGTAAAAACTAGCTTGCATCTTTTTTTACCATTGCCAGTCTTGAGGCATCAGTGATCAAAAGCAAAATTCAAGCACACACTCGCATGAAAATTAGGTTTGCAAGTGCCTTTTCTGCAGCTTAGGTTATGAAACCTGCCAAGTAAAATAAAACGTATTCAGTCTGTAGGTCACCTTTCATCTTATGCTTCTTGTAGCGATCAATATGATCCTTGAGCTGAATGCGGACCTGGCGCTCTGTGGGCTGGTCGCGCACAAAGGGGTGCTTCAGGAGGTTGTCCGTATACGGCCGCTGCACGAAACATTTATTTACCTCAAGCACGCAAAATAAGAGCTCATTTCTTACAATCTTGCCCGCAAGTAACGGTCAACAAATTGACGTGACAAAACAGAAATAATTTATTACATGGTTCTTTGGCCCATTTCTAGCAACTTGCTTTGCCATGCGATAGTCCTTGATGCAGAAATATTCTTTACACGTTTCCCTTGAACTAGGTATTTCAAGCTGCTCATCTCACCTGATGATAATCCTTGACCAAGATGCTATCGATGAACGAGTGGAATTTTTTACTCCATTTTTTGGCATTTTTGAAGCGCGGGGGCGGGTTGCGCGGGATGAGGAAGAGAGCGCGCATGGGGTGCAGGTCGCACAGCGGCGGCTGAGACTCTGCCATCTCCAGCGCCGTGATGCCTGTAATAAAGCATGTCCTCAGTGCAAGGAAAAGCTGCTGTTGTTGCCGTGATGGGCATTTCTATAATTAAAATAGCTACCATAACCTTCTTCAGTATAAAAATTAACACCATAACTATCTTCAGTAGTACAAAAATTCACACCATAACTATCTTCGGTACAAAAATTTAAACCATAACTACGGTATCTTCAGTACAAAAAGTTACTAAAGCTGATTACATTGTCAAATGAAATCCGAGAGAAACAGCATTGTCTTTTCGAAAATTCCAACTCAGTAATACAATAGAAATTAAGAGCACAAGAATTATTAGTAATATTGAGCAAACAAGCAAACATTGGCGTCTCACCAAGACTCCAGAGGTCGCTTCTGTTGTCGTAGGTGGCATCAGGGTTTTCATCACAAGCAATAACTTCAGGAGCCATCCAGTACGGCGTGCCTATGAAGGTATTGCGACGTCCTATCGTGCGGTCCAGCTGAGCACTCACGCCGAAGTCAACTGAACAATAAAGTCAACTGAACAATAAAGTCAACTGAACAATAAAGTCAACTGAACAATAAAATCCTTGCTACTGAACAATCATTAAGAACAAAGTAATAGCGCGGAGTCTACTTAAGTTAAGTGCAGAATTCGAGCTCTAGCAAACACTATATTCATTGAAATTCCAATAGGAATGAAAACCGTAAAAATCTTAAATTCAAGTATTGTTTCCTTCAACCTACTCAATTTGTAGAAAAAAATAATAATTACTAGATCAAATAAATAAATAGTTACCATTATATTTTAATAGTCATTAAATTTCGGTCATAGAAATTACAACATACTGTTAGTTTCCTTCAACATACTCAATTAGTAAAAAAAATCATAATTACTAGATAGATAGATACTACAAATATATATTTACCATTATATTTTAATAGAATCACTAAATTTCGGCTATAGAAATTAGCTCCTCGACGTAGAGGCTTGGATTTTTACTGTATTGTACTTCTGTTATGGCAATAAAAAGTAGTAGCTTATAGACACACAACTCACCCAATTTGACCTCAGCATTGTCGGTGAGGAGGACATTCTGGCCTTTAATGTCTCTGTGGATGACTTTGCTGTTGTGCAGATGGGATAAGCCGCGCAGAATCTCACGGCAAATATACGCAATGCAATCTTCCTTCAGACTTTGTCCTTTGGTCGCTGTAAAGGAGATTTGCAATCACAGATACGATATAGATCAGAGCATCGATCGGGCGTTCTTTTCATGTGGGTGTATGAAATGCTGGTGTCAAGTGACTAATGACAAATGCCAATGTATATAAGCCAATGAAGCCATGTCTTTGAGGGTGAAAAAGAAATGTATGTGAATTCAAATAAACCTGAATGTGTAGGGACATCGATATTCGTTATTTATTTTATTGTTCATTTTTTTTCCTCAAATAGTCAGCAGTCTAACAACCATCCGAACTTCTTAGAGATTGACTATTTCTTTCTTCGTAAATTCAGTAAATAGTCATTTCACTGCAGCTTTGTCCGCCAACGTTTGGGGTAAGACCTTAAATAGCTCATGTTATATTCATATTATTTGTAATATTTTCTTGTATAATATTCTTCATTTAATCTTGTAAAACATGTTATGCAATTAGCCTTATCAGAGTTTGTTTATTCAACAGGTGCAAACTTTACAATACTCAAATACATTTTTAACAACATCCGCCTGGTTAATTACTCGTAGGTTTCCCTATTATTCGCACTCCCTTAGCTTATAGCGGTACCAATAGATCCCGCTATAAACGCTCTAAACAGCACTGGGACTTATGAACGAATTATAATGAACTAGTGGCAATAATCAATCAATATCTACAGCAGTCAGCAGGTAAGTGAAATAGTATGAATAAATTGAACATTACAACAAAAATTTCGGGATGTCGTTTCACATGAGCTCAGGAGTTGAAGTAATAACAAACTGAACAATTCTTACACTTGACGAGATCTGTAACAGAGCCAGCCCCGCAGTACTCCATGACAAGCCACAGCTGGTCGTCCTTGCCAGGCGGTGACTTCTTGATGAACGCCCCGTAGTATGTGGCGATGTTGCGGTGGTGCGAGTACTGTCAACAATAATACATTAGGAGAGTGGCAATGGTTGCACCGGAGTTAACAACTTCCTGTAGTGGCAATGTTTCACTGATGGAAGTATGCAATAAACTCACAGTACGTACCGTAATCTTAATAAGTAGCAGAATCATTGTTAACAAGGAAAAAAGTTTCATAACTGAAACAATTACACAGAAACGAACTAGCTACTCAAATGACTTATATCGCTCAACAGGTAACAAAGTAATGGCATTGTGGAGGGGAAAATGTTGCAAACCTCAAGACACATGTTTAAAGAGCACAGGATCTTTTGCTTCAAAAGGAAGACAATTAGAAAAAAATGTCTGCATGCCTGATGAGAGGCAAAAACTTGAAAGAAGAAAAAACAAACCTTTTTCAGCACATTGATCTCGAGCTTGATTTCATCTTCTTCATCCTGGAAAGATAAAACATAAATAAGGGAAAAGGATGTAATAATGCACTTCTCACACTAACTGAAAATGAGCTACTCTAATAGTAATCTTAAATGACAAACACTGCCTAATTTGCACCTTGAATACGTGCCTAAAACAATTTAAAAATGGAAATCAGTACGTAAATATCAAAATCGAATGCCAAATCAGCACATATCCAAATCCAAGGCCAGTGACCTAATTATGTTTGATTAATGAATACTACCTGACTTATCCAGGGTCTGTGTAAAGTAAAAATAATGGTTCTGGTGGATCAGCAAGTACCAGTATGTGATAGTAGCAGAACTACTGCGGTCTTAGTGCCCTGAAAACATGACCTATGAGTTGTTCATGGGACCTCAGCCACAAGATGATGGGGAAATTGCAACAACAACAAGAAGAGTATCTAAACAATGTGATTTTCAGCTGGCTTGAAGATTACAAAGCAGAGACTAGCATCACCATCTCTGAGGCACAGCAGAGACGCTAAAAAATATACGAGTCTAAGAGCATTTCAGGCAGTCAGTCAACTGATATTATGATATTAATGGACACAACACAGTACAGAATAGACGCTAAGCGACAACTCATCTAAGGTATCTAGTATATACCATAGTTGTTTAAATGAAAGGAAACACAAACCAATGACTAATAAAGTCATAGAGACCATTTAAATATGTACCTACTTGAATAATAAATAATGTACTTGAATTATAAAGCCTTCACAGATTTAATAAATCATGAGAAGAGGTTTTAGTTGGAGATCATTTTTCTTATCAGATCTATGCAACAAGTGTGGCAATTCTTTAATCAATTGTCCAGAATTTGTTTTTATCTCAGTATTTTTTTCTTTGATGCCTGGTATGAGCTAGCAAGAAACTTACCTCAGTCACATCCATAACCTTAATGGCAGCCAGCTGACCAGTCTTCGTGTGACGACCCTGCAAAAAATGTCAACAAGCCTATAATAGCACATAACTTTTTCAAGTTCAAAAATATTTAGATGCTAATTATTCATATGCACTTAATATGAGAATAAATGAGCTCTATGTTTTAAATCTGTTAGCCTAAACTAGTAGAAAGAAAATTACATGGAACTGGATAATTACAGTAATAATATTCAACAACTTTATACTTATGTATATAACCCAGCTAAAGAAATCATGAGAACAAATAATAACTGAAACCCAAGGATGAGGTGGGAAGGCAGGTAGATTTATGCTACATGAGGGGAGCAACATCTTTGCAGTGATGTTTCAGGAAAGATTTTGAATATCATTGGAATGATTTATATTTATGTAGGAAAGTATGATATACCTACAAATTTTCATTTTATGCACAACCAACACATCTCATGTGCACACACAACCAACACATCTCATGTGCACACACAACCAACACATCTCATGTGCACACAACCAACACATCTCATGTGCACACACAACCAACACATATCATGTGCACACAACCAACACATATCATGTGCACACAACCAACACATATCATGTGCACACAACCAACACATCTCATGTGCACATAACCAACTCATGACTGCTTGTATACTATGTGTCATCTCAGTGGCATGCATGAACCTTATTTATTAAAAAATGTTTTGCAATAATAAAATTTGCAATTTAAAAAGGTTATTCCCTAATTTTTATGTAAGATATAAATCCACTTTTTATCACATGATAAGAGGGAAAATATAGGAAACTTTTTTTTAAGGTTTTTACCATTACTTTCAAGCTTACTCACTTTATAGACTTGTCCATAGGTGCCATTGCCAACCACTTCTATCAAGTCAAAGATACCAGCTGGATCCTGCAAATAAATGAACGAGTCACAACAGTGTAGAAAAATCTGATAAATACCAATATACGTACATAAATGATGGAGAAAGTCACTGGAAATATTCAAAACACTGGTCAATACTAGAAATATTTCAAAAACATACCATTATATGATTTCCTTATACATATACAAGATGAAATAATATATTAACTAGTAGCTCTAAGAATCAAGTCATGGCTTGGGATTGAAGAATTTCTAGACCTATTGCATGGTAGAATGTAGACTATGTTGGAAAATTTTTCTTAATTGATTCAAATTTAAATAGAAGCTATTAGATTTAGAACTTTAGGGACTACTTTAAACCCCTAAGGTTCCTTAGTAGTTAAAAATTTAGAAGCTTCTTGGTACTCCCTGAGTAGAATAAAATCCTCATCTAATAATTGAATGCAACAGAACAATTTTCATTGATTGTACACATTTATGTGGTTGTTACTACAGCTCGCAGGGGCTAGTCTGTAAGTTATGGCCTTCAAGGCTGAAATTTTTTTCATCTACGAAAATTTTCTAGCAGTTAGTTCAAGATGGCAGATCATAAGAAAAATGATAATAAGTCAAGTTCTGAAAAAATTTTAGTATGTAGGTACCTATATCTGATCTTTCAAATTTGAATTTGGTGAATTTTATACATAGGCAATTTTAACAAAATATGGTCAAGGAAAAAAATGTATCCTCTATTTTTAATAAAATTTTATTGGGAACTAACATGCACTAGCTTCATTCATATTAGGTACCGGTAACTGCCTCGTCAAACACAGCATCAAAGGTTTCCTGTACATACAAAGTTGTTCCTAAGTAATTGTTGCTATATTTTACAGAAGTGCACATATAATAAAAAGTAGACAAGTCTACACATGTCCTACATAAGTAGACATGTCTACACAAGCCATTACACAAGTAGTCAGGTCTACACATGTCACTGCTACACATGTCACTACACAAGTACCTAGTCAGATCTACACATGCCAATACAAAAGTACACAGGTCTACACATGTCATTAAATAAGATTGTGCTCCACAAGTGATTTTAAATTTGATTTTCAATTTAAATTTCAATTTAAATATGATTATAGAAATTCATCTTCCAGTGATTGTCAAATTAACCCTTTACGCCCTGGCGTGACGAATTCGTCACACAGAAAAAAACATCGGTTTTCCAACAATTTCACGTTTTCTGAGGATAGGTCAGAATGTCAGCTTTGAAGTGAGACTTAAAACAGAAAAAGTGAATTTTATGATTTTCATCCCAGAAATTCAGGGCGTAAAGGGTTAAGGACAAGATGCTTATGACCACACTTAAAATTACAAAGATACTGTACATTTATATATTTTTTTTTATTGGTCAATAGTCAACAGGATTAGTAACATTACTGGAGAGAGCTAAGAAATCCAGACAAAATTGCATCAAGTTATGTCCTCTGGAACTAGTTTGTAGTTAAAAACTGGACAAAAAAAAGAATTAACTACATTACCAGATATTTAAAAAATGCCAACCTTATTAGGTTGAGGTTAGAGTTAGGTTTATTTTATAAAACACTTCTGTACATTGCTAGACACCTTTCTACAGAGTTTTAGGTCCAGCCACTGCAGCCAGGTAAGTTTTTTTTACTTTTTTTACAGTTTTACAAAGGCCATTGGGTACAAAATAATCTTAGTTTGGATAAGTAAATATATTTCTATACATAGATATATTTGAACAAAGAGCATAATGCCCATACTTTACAGACTGTTAGACAAGACAAAACCTATGTAGAATATCCAATCCTAAACTTTATGTGTTTGTCTAGATAAGCAATGTGGCTTACTCATTCATGTAAATGATTGTCTTTATAAGTAGGTAGCATTCAACCCTCATGTCAGTTTAAGGTGAGAATATTTGAGGAAAAACGCGGAATAATATTGCAACCTAAATGCATCTCCTTTAAAGTCATGTTTCTGCGACAAAAATTATTTCTCATTGTGTATAAAATTAGACTGAAAATTTTTTTCTTTGAAGGTCACAAATTTGATCGGTTTTGATGCATCATCCATTTTTAAAGCTGTGTTGTTTCAGCTGCTATTCAGCATATATAATTCTTATGCAGTTAGGAGTAATGCATAGCCTTTAGTAAAGACAGGGTTTGTACCATTATTGAGAAAAAAATTCCATGACTCTCCACAACCATCAATATAATTTTCCAAGACTTGTATACAACAGGTTTAGCTTGATGGAAAGACAAACCGTGCATATTCCATAATCTCCTACAGTTGATACAGCCCGACGCAAAAGGTTAGCCCCACCCCTTTAAAACATCATAACACAACGAGTTTTGCCAGTTTCAACGTGCAAATGGTGACAAACGAATCGTCTTGGTCTCAGTAATCTATAGCAGGTGAAATTTGGCGAAAAAATTAATTACTGGCGGAAAAATCAAGCGGTCCGTGTTTTTGCACTGACGCAAAAGGTTAGCCCCACTTTGCAAGTTTGGCGCTCTTGCGGACAGGACGCAGCGTAGACTCGCTGCAAAGGGTGCGTTCATAGCGTAGTAGTTGTGCACGGATCTTATGCTCACCTAGGCAAGAAATGGGCGCAGGAAAGCCTCTAACTGAGTTTCAGAAAGGTGCCATTCAAGCCCTGATGGCGCTGCCTGAGGGCGAGCGTCCTAGCCTGCGTCAAATGGAGGCACAAGTGGGGTGTAGCCGCAAAGCCATCTCGAACTATCTCAAGGACCCCGCGAACTACGGAAAGCGGCACACCAAAGGCCGCCCAAAGAAGATGTTGGCCCGTGACACGCGTCGCCTCTTCCTAGTTGAGGCGCCCGGCGACTTGAGCGCGCCCAAACTAGTCCAAAAGTTGGAGCTCAATGTCTCCAAGTCTACCATCTCTCGCACCCTCGCGTCCTCCGGCATCTTCCAATACGTGAAGATGAACAAGGCCCCCCAATTGACCGAGGCTCACAAGCATGCCAGGGTCGCCTGGGGCACAAAGTATGCAAGTACTAGTGATGACACCTGGGCCAAAACCATCTTCTCTGATGAGAAGAAATGGAATTTGGATGGCCTAGATGGTCTGAAGTTTTACTGGCATTGCCACAGGAATGATCCAAAGGCAGCTTTTAGCCGCCAAAATGGCGGGGGCAGTGTAATGGTGTGGGGAGCCTTTCATGCAAACGGGACGAGCGAGCTCGTCTTCCTCAAAGGCAACCAGTGCGCGGACGACTATGTCCAAACGCTCGAGGACCATCTACTTCCCGTCATCTGCCACCAAATTTGCCGCAACGCCATCTTCCAACAAGATAATGCCTCAATCCATACGGCGCGCATGACCAAGGCCTTCTTCAAGCGTGCCAAAATCCGGGTTATGGACTGGCCAGCCAAGTCCCCAATCTGAATCCTATTGAGAACGTCTGGGGGTACATGGCTGGAATCGTCTACGCCTGCGGGAAGCAGTATGACATGAAGGAAGAACTCAAGTTGGCCATTAAAGCTGCCTGGTCCAATCAGGACCCCAACTACCTCCGTAGATTGTCTCAGGGCATGAAAAAGCGGTGCTTGGATGTCTACAAAGCCAACGGGGAGCATATCGGTGCATAATTTTTAGTTTTGCAGCTGACGTTTGTTTTGTTTTGCCTAAAACGTCAAAGTGTACAAAGTGGGGCTAACCTTTTGCGTCGGTGCAAAAACATGATCTCCGTTTTTCATAATCTCCATTACTAATTACATTTTCACTACAGTCTATTGTATTTTGATTACTGAGACCAAGGCGATTCGTTTGCCACCATTTGCACAATAAAACTCACACAACTCGATGTGTTATGATGTTTTAAAGGGGTGGGGCTAACCTTTTGCGTCGGGCTGTAAATAGCAAACAGATAAATGCATACTGCCAAATGGGGTAATAAGGGATGGTTTTCAGCGTATTTCCTTAATAACTTCTTACCATGAAACATTTCATAAACAAGTTTGGGTTCATTTTAAAGGTATTTTCAAGGGCTATCATTTCGCATCTCTGAAAAAATCCCATATGCTATTTGCAAGGTGCCAAACACAAAATAAAAGCCTCCTGAACCAATCCTGGAAACATGGTAATAAGGGACACTTGAAATAAAATGCAATTTTAAAATGTTTGAAGCATGCAGAGTGTGCTCATCCATTACTAACAATACTCTTAAAGTCCTTCTCTTGCTTTGTAGATGATGAAAATGTAGAATAAATTATATTTTCTATGATTTTTACTCGTTTTTCCTTTATTGACATGATATTACCTTATCCATACATTACCGTATTATTGATATGAAATTACCTAATCCCTGGACTTGCCATTGAGCATTTACAAAGACCTTGTCCACTGCCAGCTCCATATCAGCAGCAATGTAGCTTTGCTTCTGTAGCTAAGCATACAGGATGGCTTGTAATTTTGCACCATTTTAATTGACTCAAGTGAATTCACTACAAAAAAAATGGAAAAAACATACCTGGAACACAAAGGAATATTTTAGTGACAACCATCATATTTTTCGAACAAAAAAATGATAGTTTAGGTTAATTAATTTTCATTCTATGTTGCTCAGTGACCAATCTTATCTATGACATCCTATGCACAGTTTGGTGATGATCGATGATGCACTAGTTTTTTGTAAAGCAAAATTTTTTTGCTGAGTGAGGTAAATTTAATCAAAATTTTTTGATGTTATTTGATTTTTTTGTCAACTGGACCCTTTGCTAAACAAGGCTCTACTGTAAAAGCGTTCTTAGGGGTGTCCCTTATTACCCCGGGAGGGGGGTGTCCCTTATTACCCCGGGAGGGGGGGTGTCCCTTATTACCACATCGCACAGAAATGGCCACCATTTTTTTCTGGAATGAGATAGGTTAATTCTGTCAGCCATTTTTTTCTGGAATGAGATAGGTTAATTCTGTCAATCACATTTTTAAGCCCACACCCGTGTGCAACTTTTATGAAGTACCGTAACATTTTTTAATGTGGTGAAATATTTTTTTTGTTACAGACCTTAGCAGAGGTATAGTCAAATGGGGTAAGACAGGATCGCAGCCTTCATGGGGTAAGAAAGGACCGGCCCATTGCATGCATTCTAATTGTACTGAACTTAATGTGACAAAAAGAATATGTTAGAGCAATCATTGCCTGTCATTTCAGTGTTTGTTTCAACCCTCTTCTGCAAATAATTAATTTTTGGTTAATTTTCAAAGAAAACCTATGTAAAGAAGGGTCACAAAATAGTTAACCCTGTTTGGGAAATAAGCTGTGTCTGATTACAAAAAATTTTTTGGCCAGGTTTGTGGATGTAGGCAAGTAACCTCAAGTAACAAGCAACTTTTGAGACATACTAGGCATTCCTACCTGCTATCATCACTGCCTGACAACTATTCTAAAATGGGGTAAAAAAGGACCGGACATGGGGTAAGACCTGTCTCTTATACACATCTAGATGTGTATAAGAGACAGGTTCAAACAACGTAGTTGTCTTGTATATGAACAGTAATTAATGATTGTCGTAGCTTCTTCGACTTCACTTCATTATTGACCTGTCTCTTATACACATCTAGATGTGTATAAGAGACAGGTCTTACCCCATGCCTGGTCCCATCTTACCCCAGTGGGGTAAGATGGGACCAGCCCACTTTTTTTAATCTGTACAGAAAACTATGTTAGATGCAAAACGTCTGAGTTGTAGCTTAGAAGCCCAATGCATATTTACACCTTGTGCTAGGTTTAGGGTTTTTAGTTATTCTTGGTATAGATGCTACAGGCTTGTTAGTGATTTCGGTCCTGTCTTACTCCATCTGACTATACTTTTCCAAAATCTCACTTTTCACACTTTTTTTCAAGGATTTTTTAGAGGTAGTAAATGTATGGTTTCTTAACTTGCTTTATGCTACATAGATAGGAAAAATGTTGAACTTTATGCTACTATTTTTTGTTTTTCAATATTTTGAATAGTTCAACTGCTACAACCTTTCAACAAAATGTCGGGGCCTCACTCGGAGGACTGTCCCTTATTACCCCACCTGTCCCTTATTACGCTGCCCGTCCCTTATTACCCCGCCCATCCCTTATTACCCTGTTAGATGGTAGCTCTTCATGGCTCTTCAAAGGTGGCATGGCTCTTTGAAGCTGCTTCCCCCATATTTGACACATCAAAGTCTTTTGAGCACAATGTACATATTGCCATACCTTCATGCTTTGGATGGTGAGCAAGCCCATCACAATAAGCTTTGATTCTTAACCACATATCATGAAATTTACACTTTCTAGGCATGGTGATGTAGGAACTATACTCTGAAGATGGAACACTGCCATGGCAGAACAAAAAGTTGTTGAATGCAACTGAGCTCATGTGATTGGAGAACCAATCAGAATGCATGAAACAAAAGACTGTGGCACAGTCTCTTGTTTCATACATGCAAATCCAAACACAGGAAACAAGAGACTGCAAAAACAGTAAACACATGCAGCACAGAAAAGCACCTCCTTTTTTTACTCTTCTATTTGCAAATTCCATGACTTTCCATAACCTGAAATGAAATTCAATGACTTTCTAGGCCTGGAAAATGAAAAATCTGATTTCATGACTTTCCAGGTTTTCCATGACCGGTAAAAACCCTGTAAAGATGATGCATGTTTAGATAGAATCATGAAATTTCTATGTTAATCAGTTAATTAGGATTCAGGACCCACATTCAAAACTTAACACATTCCACAATCAGGATGATGTAGGTTTTCGGTGAATTTTCCCACGCATTTTCACTTTTTTTAAGCTATTGCTGTGCACAGTTGGCGCAATGTAATGAAAATTGATTATCTTCACGCACGTGTTCACGCAATCCCAGCCATCTTTATTTTAGAAGAAATTTTCTCCAAAGTCATATGGCAACACTGAACACCGTCTGTTTACATTTCGTATGTATAACAGCCGCAGTTTATGATTACCGTACGTTCCGTATCCGACAAGGCGGACAACCGGAAGAGTCAGAAGTAACCCAGACATGTCTTACATTTTATTATTGCCAGTTCGACTCGCGTAGTCAATATACTCGCGTATATTGTCGACTAAAATAGTAGAACTATTTTAGCTTTCTAAAGTACGACGCCCGGCGCATTTTTTACCAACGTAGTACGCCGCCAGTACGGCGCACTGCGCAGGTCATTAAAATGACAAAATAAATTCCCACGCACCTGGCACACCTTCCTGACCATGGAACACATTGCAAACAACCTGCACAATTTATTACTTCATCTTTTTGCCAAATAGGTAATCAAAATGAATATAATGGCTGATCATCTGCTGATGGCTATTGATTGATGGCTATTATTAGAAATGGAACAATAAATACCTATTAATTGCCTTGAATTGGGCTGAGTCATTTGCTCTATCGGTGTTTCCAAGATCAGCTGAGAAATGAAGAGTGAAGACTAAGAACTTAAGAAGGATGTTCAAATTCTCAAAATATATGGCAATACTATAAAAAAAATAGGGGAAAATGGACAGAAAATTCTTATTTCGCACCGCCAACAAGTTCCAACTAATATGAAGCACTTCAAATTTAAGAAAATACGTCTGTGAAAAACGTAAACAAACTGTTGTGAAGACAACGGGAACGGGTTGAGCACACAATTTATGTCATTTTCGAAGGCCAAGCAATACCAATAGCTTGAATAGTATAATAGAAAATACTCTTACCTTTAAAGCATTTAGGTCGATATCATCCAAGCTGCAATTCACCGACTGAGCCATGTTTGCAGAAAATGTATTTCGAAAGACTTATCACGCGCAGAAGCGATTCATTGATAAAAGGCCAACAGTGAAGTGATCGTTTGTCATGAAATACACTCTTTTCAATACTTAACTAGTTATTGTCGAAAAAAACTTATTGAAATTAACAAAGCACTATTACAAAAAAGGGCTCACGAACAAAGAACGCGAAGCAAATACCATCTACTAGACATTGTAGATGCACCCCCTCGGAACACACCCACTGTATAAATGGCGAACCATGAGTGACAAGTTATTGGTACGCTTGCTTGAATATTAATACCGGAAATGCTTGAAGTTGAGATGGCTGAGATTCAATTAAGAAATTATTTATCTTAGCATATTCAGTACATCTAAATGCAAGGACCACAGGAAACAGTAAAGTTAAATAACTTTAAAAATATTTTTGCCTCTTATCGGCCCTTTAAACAAGGTTGCCAACATTCGAGAAACAGCTGGGAATTGTTTATACCCAGCGCTTATCAGTACACAGTATTTTATTTGCAGACTGAACAAAGAAAGTTTCCGTGATTGCTCACATTTGTTACACGCATTAGTTATTATAGGACGAGATTTTGAAAAAGGTTTTTTTTTCAAGCACCCTAAACATAATAGAGTAGATCGCCCATAAAATTTTAACTGATTGTTGTACTACTGAATGCACACAACCGATTAAAGATAATTACATCATAATTACTTGATGCGTGCCTCCTTGTGACTCATCACAATTTAACAAATGTAAAATTTCGTGAACTTTATCAAAAACGAACGGTCGGCCTTGAAATTGAGAATTTCACGGACAATATATAAAATTACAAAAAAATTTTTAAGATTTAAATAAAAATCTTATATCAAAATGAGGATTAGATAATAAAATTTCTTTTTCAAATTTGGTAACGATAAATTTATAGTCATTCAAATGCAATGCATGCACTCTTCTTGAAAGTTAAAGTTACAGAGAACTTGAGCAAGCCCGATGCCTTGAAGTTGTTCGATCAGACGATAGAGTTGGGTCTCCAAAATGTATATGATAAAGATAAGATAAGTTTACTTGTCGTCTGTTTTTCTTTCAAGTTTTTGATTAACTTGTGGTTGTAGCGCATTGTAGCACATTTTACCCGCATTGTTCTCACGGCGTATTGTAGCGCAATTTACCAGTTGCGCATTATAACCATAGCGCATTGTGGCACATTGTACCCATAACTCTACGCAACATGTACCAAACACGAAGTTTAACTTCACCTAAAGTACTTCGGAATGTTAGCTATTTTGTGATTAAAAATTTTTATAATGTATCGTTATCGATCTCAACGTTCTCAATGTTTCAGTTGTGAATGATTGGCTTGATTTCTTTGCCGTTGGTGGGGGACACTTTACATTTCAGCAAGTAATACTGATAATACAGCAGGAATAAATCGAAAGTAATAATTGAATTCAAGGTACGTGAGAGGAACGTCGACAATTAACGCGCTCTTGAACGAATCTCTCATTCATTGTGTCCCGACAGATCGTCGATAGAGAATAATAATGACGATTAGAAACAGGATTAGGGCAGATATGTCTACTGGGTGACAACATAGACCAATTTTGAACACAAAGGAAAATGAAAGCGGTGCATTTCAATTCGCTGCTACACTGATTTATTCAGAATCATTAAATACCGCTTGCTTGGACACTGACGCACAGCAACTTATTATCAAATACAAAATTTTCAGAACCAAACTCAGCTGTGAACAAAGGTGAAAACCCAGGGTGCAAAAAGTAAAAAGTGAGGAGTGAATTCAACTACAACACAGCTACTATAATCAAATTCGAAGTCGCATCTCTAGCAAGACGTCGAATGAATAACAGGTTTTAACATGAATGCTCTTTTTGTGAACATCAGTTTCTATAAAATACTCAAGCTGTACACACTATATACTTTCCGCCGTTGAGGTTAAGAGTGTCAAACAACGTGAAATTTCTTTCCGTTTGCGCACGACTGCAGTGACACGCAAGAGACTCGCGAGCAAAACTCGGGTCTCTTCGACGGCGCATGCAGGACAGGGCCAGAAGGCTGTTGTAGCCAGGCGGCTCTTTGTACTCGAGGTGTGGGGAGATGGAACTACAAGCTACTCAGATACCAAATAAAAGCGATAGAAATACTATTTAAGGTCAGCAGTGTACAACCCATCCTTTAGACATGCATTTTTGTTTCATGATTAACAAAAATCAATGAATATAATAGAAAAACTAACGAAATTTTTCAATTCTTTAAACTTATGTCATTCGAAGTCGGAAATGTTTGACTCCCTTCACATGTTGTAATTGATAAAACTTGGATTTTATACCGCAAATATAAAAAAAGTTACAAATCAAAAGCAAGGTGTACATTTTTATTGAATCCTCCTTCCTAAAATATTTCACATTAAAAATTAGAGCTGGGGCATAATCCATTTTATGTTCGACGTAGATAAAGTTCAGGCAAGACAAAGTTCCAAATCCGAGCAATAGCCTTTCACTTTTTCCACTCTATAATCTGATGGTATAGGCCCTCCCTCAAATTTGGTACTAGGCAATGTGAAAAAAACGCATAATTCCCACACGAATGCATGCCTCTTTCCTCAACTAACGCTGTATAAAATTTGAAATTTTTAACCACCACAAAAATTAGACATTAGCCTTAGGACCAATCGGAGAAATCTCTTTCTGAAAGAGTTACTCTGCGAAAGGCGAAAAACTTCCAATGATCAAGCCTTGCACACAATGATGCATGTCAACTTAATTATGTTTCATAGAGTAGAGCTGCGACACCGTTACTACAGCCAAGCTAATAAATATTCTTTAGCCTAAGGGAGAAATTAACAGACAACTTAGTAAGTACACCGCTTTTTACAGTACAAGTAGAAGGATCCTTTACAGCACGTGTAGAAGGATCCTTTACAGCGCGAGTAGAAGGATCTTTTACAGTACAAGTAGAAGGATCCTTTACAGCACGAGTAGAAGGATCCTTTGTAGCACAAGTAGAAGGATCCTTTACAGCACGAGTAGAAGGATCCTTCGCAGCACGAGTAGAAGGATCCTTTGCAGCACGAGTAGAAGGATCCTTTACAGTGTACAAGTAGAAGGACCCTTTACAGTACAAGTAGAAGGATCCTTTACAGTACAAGTGGAAGGATCCTTTACAGTACAAGTAGAAGGATCCTTTACAGTACAAGTAGAAGGATCCTTTACAGCGCGAGTAGAAGGATCCTAGCTGAAGCCTGACAGCATATACACAGATAATGTACAGGCTATACATGGGTGAATATATGTACCGCTATTGAACCACACACGAAGAGCTAAAGAAGAAAATAACAAGATGGAGATCAAGTGAATCAAAGAGATAGCTGACCGACGTATAGATAAATGTGGAAAGATATTGGGCTATTTTAATGATTAAGCCAGCACAAACATTACCAACAACGCTTTGGAGGACATCAGTTGCCTGCCAAACTGATGAATATTGATGCGAATAGAATGAAAGTGTCAACCAAAAATAGTCTTTCCGGGGGCGCTAGTAACCCGCATTACCAATTTTCTAACATCTCGACTTTTTCTCTACCACTGACGTAGATATTTTAATGTTGAAATCGCTCATTATTCAATGTCTTGACTCAATTTTTCACTGCAAATAAAAAGAGTTGTAAAAATTTCTCGAGTTCGAAGCCACTTCGCATGCTGCCGTTAATAGTACTCTGCAAAAGCTGAGGCAGGTAATAATGATTCACGTTAAATAATGCTGATCAGCCAGGTATGAATACAAGCCAACAACTAAACTGCGAGCAACAGCTTGTTCTAAATTATAAACGAAAACTTTGTTTTGGGTGGATCTACTGTGGTCTATTGATATACCGGTATACTTCAAACGATACGAGTTTTCGTCTGATAAACTTAGTAGATATAAAGTTATTATATTCGTCTGATGAACTTAGTAATATAAAGTTATTATCCTGTGGGCACAAAAAAAGTGTCAAATTTACCATAGCGGGTATTGGGAAAATAGACAACGTGCCTAGCTGTGTCCTTGATATAAAGACAGAATTCAATAAATAAAGTAGCGGAGATCTCCTGTGTTCATGCATGCCTGTACTAGTCACAGGCCTTGAAAAGCTCATCTCTTATGCCAAAAGAAAATAAGAATAAGTGACATAGAAAAAAAGCCGAGAGACCGAACCCCCAATGCCCATTTTGAACGGGGGAAAAAATCCGATTCCAAGGCGCAAGAATTCTCATCAATCGAGTTCTTCCTGTGCGGTGCTAATGGACTCTTCTTCAGTGCTAGAGAGCGATGGTTGCGAGGCTGACGACACGGACATGGGAGTTACTTCGTCAAGAATTACACCGCAATCCGAAGGAGTGCTTTCCACAGTGCCAGATCCGCGTCCAAGTCCGATTTCTGAGTCCACAGTGTAAGCGACAGGTTCATAAAAGTTGTTGCCAATGTTTCTGTTCTCAGAATTAAGACCGGCAATGAACATGGGGCGAGTAGCTGAAGTGAACGGCGAAGCAGAAAAAGTGGATTCCGGCACCTGTCCTACAGGTGTTCGAGAGTCGAGAACAGTAGGTAAGAAATGTCCGGGAGTCGCAGGCACGTAAGTCGATTGCATTTCGTCATCAATACTGATGGTGGAGACAAGGTTTCCACACACGGCATCGTTTGTGTTGATGGTTGACGTGGCGTTGCTGCAGTGAAGCGGCGAAGATGGAGACGCAGGAGTGAAGGTACGATCAGCATTATCGCCTGTGTTGATCATAGTGAAGTGCTGAGCAATTTGAGTGCTGTCAATATTTTCCCTGGATATTCGCATGTTGTGTAAATTTGAGTGCGGCATGTCAGCACCTGCAGCACCATAACTGCTTGCAGTCATAGGGGACACGGTGACTGACGTGCTTCCCATTGGTGCAGCTTGTACATGCACAACGCTGGACTGAGGGCGCGACACTACGGTAGTGAGCAAGGCGTCGAAGTTTGAAGAGGTGTTGGCTGGTGGCATCGCAGCATTACTAATGATGTTGCTCGAGCTGATGATGTTCCCGTTGGGGATGGTGTTGCTGTTTGACAAGACATTACTGTCCATGGGCGAGATGACGTCCGTAGACATCTCGATGGTGGGGTCTTGAGTCAGGGAGGGCAGAATGAACGGAGTGTCGCGCCGTCGATAGACCAACAGGTAGGCCTGGTCGTTCACGACACGATCTTCTGACACGTCCACCACTCGGGAGTCGTCACACAGACGCCAGTCTACGTAGACAAATGATCATTATTAGTATAAGAACACGAATATAATTGTAGAGACAAGATGAAATTATTAAATCTACGAATATTTAGTGTGAAAAGGCATCTTAAAACTTTAACACCAACAGGAGGTGAGATTAGAGTTAGAAACGACGGAGAAGAGAGCAATTTCAGAGCACAGAAATCCACAGGGGGGGTTTGAGTGAACTACATTAGAATTAGAGTAAGGCAACATGCAAAATGTTGGTCTTGTTTTTACTGAATTCGATCATTTGTTCGTGATAGCTACAGTACAAAAATTACTCAAGATCAAGTATAAACAATTGTACTCCTTAAGTGTGTTTTTTAATATTGCGATTGACTACACGTAGGATGATACATATGAATACGCCGCACCTATTTCAGCGTCGCTGCTGTTCTCGCGCAGCGTGCGCACGTACGCCGTGTAGTGGCCACCCAGCAGCCGCCCCATGTGGTTCACCACGCCGTACAGGTCGTACAGAGAACTCCCGCCGTCACCTCCACCAGGCGCGATGTGAGCACCCACATCCAGGCCGCTGTCAACGTCAGTTGTTAGCGAACAATTGGTGGCAATAACACGAGAGCCGCACAAGGAAGTTACTTCAGTGGCAGCAATTACTTGTGCTGCAGATATCGTTATCTCTTGTCAGTAGGAGATGGATAACTAATTAATAGTCGGAAATGTCAAATGTATCCGAAATTGCCAATCAAATTTATTAACAAATTACCATGAAGAATAATTATAAAAAATAATAATAATAAAAATATAATAATAATAATAATAATAATATAATAAAATATAAAATTATCATAATATCGGAGAACTTTAGAACAGGGCAAAGAAAGCTTATGGTAAAGAATCAAATAATTTTCATCTCAAAGAATTTGTTGCCGGACAAAATATCTATTGGATTTAGATGCAGAGAGAATTTTTTAGTAAACAGTGAAAAAATGCATGACACTGCATGAAAATTTCATCGAGTGAAAAATCGATCAATTAATTATCGATCACTTGGATAAATTTAGCCACTAAAATTCCGGAAATTTTTGAACTCTTAACCGTGACCACAATCGTGAAAAAATACTTATTGCCAACAATTAATTGGTAGGGAAATAAATATGTTTTTAAGCATCTTTTAACACCCCTAAAGCTCGTGGATGTTTTCACCGTCAATGATTGTTCTCGCGGCGGCATGACACGCATACTAAAAAATGATGTTATTAGGATCCCGTGTACAAAGACCACGGGATCCCGTGTACAAAGATCTCAGTCCATCTCGGCCTATCTCTGCATATCTTTGCATATCTCTGCATATCTTTGCATATCTGCAAATCTTTGCATATCTCACAGCCTATCTCGGTCTTCTATCTTTCGACGATGCGTGCACTCACTTGACGGGGTACTTGACAAACTTGTCGATCTTGTCGCTGTAGAGAACATATTTGAAGGAAAATCTCTTGAGCTGCACAATGAGAACAGGTGGCAGCTTCCACAGGCTCATTTGCTTTGTAGCTTCCACCGGCTTCTTGCATCTGCAATAATGAGTTCATCTATAATTGAAAATTTAATCCAAATCCCTCATATTAGGATTAATATCTTCTACCAACTAAAGTATCTTTTTCAAAGCATCTAAAACGTATCTTTCGTCAACATGTCTCTACTGACCAATGACTAAGTGTATGATTTAGTCATTTAAAACAGTTTACAAAAAAACCTTAATGATTCTCTCAATAACTCTGAGAATGAATACCAAAGCATTCAGCGCACACCCCTCAGAACTTACGTTACTTAGTTCTGTCAGCCGAACGTTAGTTTTCTACAAAGCGGTGTAAAAAGCAACGTGACATCATCAGCAGAATAAAATCTCTTATACCAGCAAAACCCTTATTCATTTCGACGTAAGTTAGAGTGAAGTTTTCCAGTAGTATAATGGCATTAACAATCTTCTTTAAAAATGTAATTAAATGTGTTGGTATAAAGGCCTCACAGTCATTTCACAGGTATGCCTAGGTGTCTGATAAATATCTAACAATTGTAGTGCAACCTTACTTGGAAATATGTAAATTTTAGGCACCATTCATTATGAACTTTCTTTATTCATTATGAACTTTATCAAAATTTCGGTTTGAACGGATATAACGAAGTTATAACGAAAATGGAACGTTGAAAGAAAGCATGCCAAAATTTATGTAGCAACGAAATAGTCTATAGGCGAATCTGCAGGACTGTTAAGACACCATCAGAGCGAGAGGCAGTGGCAGCTAGAGTTATGCGAGCTGGCACAACTCAACACGCATCGTGGTTCTCAGCACCATCCTACCGGTAGGTAGAGGTAGTCTTGCGCTGCGATGTAGTAATCACTAGCACCATACCTAGGACAGCGCCAGGAGTCCCTCACGCTGCGATGTAGTAATCACTAGCACCGTACCTAGGACAGCGCCAGGAGTCGCCCTCGGACAGGTTCTCGGGCTGCGTGAAGAGGTCCATGCAGGCTTGCAGCGTCGTGCTCTGGCGGCCACCGCGACCGTAAGGGCCCACGTACGAGGCACTGGGCTCCATGTCCTCGCAGTCAATCTGCACGACAGTACAGTCTTGCTGTGGTTCAAATTTTTAAAGGGATATAAGAGGATAAAATAGAAGCTAGAACTGGTAATGCGGTGTAATTGAGTTTGATTACAGCAAATGCCTTGCAACAAACTACAAGACCGCGAACATACATCCTTGTTGTTGATGAGGCACACGACGTCGTTTGTGTTGGACGCAGCAGTTTTCCAGTCCATGGCCAAGTAGAAGGTGTTGTCCAGGTCCAAAGGTTCATCGCCTGAGGATCAGAGACCATGAACGACTAGGAATCTGAATCTTATTTAAATCGTATACTATAATAAATTGAATACTTAATGAGATTGTGAGCAGTAGTTTGAATTAGGTCCGGAGCCTCACCAAGGTCGACTCGGTGAGGTCCGGGTAGTATATAATTTTATATACCATTAAGTATTCTATACGGTATATAGAATACTTATTGAGATTTTGAGCAGTATTTTAATTTAAATGTGGGGCCTCACCAAGGTCGACGAGGGGGCCGCGGTGCTGCAGAGACTGGCCCCGCGAGCTGACGGGCACGACGGTGAACAGCTGCTGGGACGCGCTCGGCCGCTCCACCTGTGGCGGCACCGCGCACACGCTGCACGAATACATAGTCGTACTATATCCAGTATTGGGCCACTATTGTCGCTACATGTTTTCATTAACCAACAATTTTATTTAACTCGTTTCGCAACAAAAGAACACGCCACGAGAAACAGTGACAAAACTAATGAAATTACGCCACGAAGAGCAGTGACAAAACTAATAAAATTATACCAAATAATTCATACGCATACGCAATTCTTGTGCTATTAAAAGGACACTGTGGAGGCCTGCCAGTGGCGCTCACCCTGCGCTGCTGGGTTGCTTGGTAGGGCAGCTCGCCGCCTGGGCGCCCACGTCAAACACGTCGTCGCCGGTCTGGTCGAAAATTTCTTCCTCGTCACACGATCCTGCCGTCTCCATCTCAACCTTCACGTCATTAATGACGAAATACACGAAATAAATGTAGTGAAAAAGGTGTTGCGAAATAAAACTAGGCCGCACCAAAACCATATATAATAATAACAATAATAAATTCAATAGAAGTGGATAAAAAGATGCGGAAATGATCCGCCAGAACTGATGGATTATACATGATGAGCATGCTTCCTAGTAGGTTGAACACCAAAGCGATAGAAAAAATCCTAGATATAATAAGACGAAGGTGCAGTTGTATAACGACTCACTGAACGTTAATTAACATAATGAAACACGGAATGTTGACTACTCTAATTGGATAGAAAAAGCATGGTGATAAGTGGAGCGCAAATAGTATCGCTTGAGTGTGATGCTACCAAAATGACTTCATATTCAATGTTTGCCGATCAACTCATTAGGATGTTTACCTAATGGCAATGAATTTTCGAAAGATACAATAACGACGATCAGTATTGAACAAGTTCTTTTTCAGATATTCTGCCAAATAACTTCAAAGATTTTATTGGTTTTGAACAATTATGTGCACAATTCACACAATTCCTAATAGCCAACATCTTCATGTTCATGAGTTTACAATAAAGACGCAAGATGTAGCCACAAGACTGGACTTACATCCATGCTTTCAGTCGCATTAGCGCCGCCACCAATGACTTCATCGAAGGCCGTGATCTCGTCGTCGGAGTTGCTGTAGCTCGACGTGGAGTCTTGCCTCCTGCCGGGGACTTGGCGCTGCACGCCTCCTACAGCGCCCCTGCTGCACGTACTCTCAGTAAATAATATGTTGCTGCTACTTAATTGTTGCTACTTTTAGTCAGAATAGCTGCTACTGATTGCTACTTTTAGTCTGCATAGCTACTAATTGCTACTTTTAGTCACCATAGCTGCTACTAATTGCTACTTTTAGTCAGCATATCTGCTACTAATTGCTACTTTTAGTTAGAAAAATGTTAAATAGTTGCTAATAATTGCTACTTTTGGTCAGCATAGCTGTTAGGTACTTAATTGCTGCTACCTTTAGTCAGCATGGCTACTACTAATCGTCACTTTTGGTCGTAAGATGAAAACACAAGTATACAAAAAACAAGGTGATTCAGAAAAATTTTCGAAGAAAAGAGTTTGAGAAATACTTCTTGGTTGGAGTTCCAGGGACCAAAATGTAAGTTTGACATTAATTTCCAAAAAATTCAAAAGAAGGGGGGCAGTAAATAGATAGTGACTGATGAAATTCCATGCACGAGACATGGAGTTAGATGGGGATATTCATTTAATCAATTATCTGTGCGGCACCCGCAACTATCGCCGGCTCTGAAGAACGAGAACATCAATTCTCAGCTCTGCTTGGAAGTCATCCGCAAGTTCAGTAGTTCTTATCATTAACATTACATCGATCGTCCACATATATAAGAATCAACAGAATGGCGAAATATGAGGGTAAATTAAATGTCACATCATACGAGTCACGAAAAAACCTTTGATTTATTCAGCGTCGATTTACGTATGAATAAATATCAGGGTAGTTGAAATAATAACGTAACTATTTATTCAGGTTCGGAAATAACAGTGTTATTATTAAGCAAATCACCTGATATTTGGGTACGAATACCATCACAAGCTGTTAATTAAGTTTTACTCTAATTCGAGTGGTACTCTCGTTATTAAGACTTTAGATACGAATAGCCCAGGAGAATATCCATGAATAGATTGACTACGGGTTTAGTGCCCTTCAAAACCTTGCAACCCTTCGTGTAATTAACACAAACTGTTAATTCACAACATTCGTGAATTAACACACGTTACGAATCCTCTAGATGCGATTTTGGTTGAAAAATATACAGGCATCCACAAAGAAACATTAATACAAGTAGAAAAATATACAGGCATCCGGAAAGAAAGATTATTAATACAGGTAGAAAAATATACAGGCATCCACAAAGAAACATTAATACAAGTAGAAAAATATACAGGCATCCGGAAAGAAAGATTATTAATACAGGTAGAAAAATATACAGGCATCCACAAAGAAACATTAATACAAGTAGAAAAATATACAGGCATCCGGAAAGAAAGATTATTAATACAGGTAGAAAAATATACAGGCATCCACAAAGAAACATTAATACAAGTAGAAAAATATACAGGCATCCGGAAAGAAAGATTATTAATACAGGTAGAAAAATATACAGGCATCCACAAAGAAACATTAATACAAGTAGAAAAATATACAGGCATCCGGAAAGAAAGATTATTAATACAGGTAGAAAAATATACAGGCATCCACAAAGAAACATTAATACAAGTAGAAAAATATACAGGCATCCGGAAAGAAAGATTATTAATACAGGTAGAAAAATATACAGGCATCCACAAAGAAACATTAATACAAGTAGAAAAATATACAGGCATCCGGAAAGAAAGATTATTAATACAGGTAGAAAAATATACAGGCATCCACAAAGAAACATTAATACAAGTAGAAAAATATACAGGCATCCACAAAGAAACATTAATAATACAAGTAGAAAAATATACAGGCATCCACAAAGAAACATTACTAATACAAGTAGAAAAATATACAGGCATCCACACAGGAACATTATTAATACATGTCGCACCTGTTGCCTGGGCCATGCATGGCGGTGACGGGCGGCTGGAAGACGGTGACCGAGTGACGCGCGTAGCTCTCCATGGCGCGCGTCAGGTTAGCGTACGTCGCGTGGCTCTTCGGCATCGAGATGATGAATGGCGCGCCCACTGGCTCGTGTACGAACCGACACGAGCTCTGCTCAGGGGTTAACGAGTCATTAGTGAGATATGAACGAGTCATTAGTGAGATATGAACGAGTCATTAGTGAGATATGAACGAGTCATTAGTGAGATATGAACGAGTCATTAGTGAGATATGAAGGGAGCGCCCACTGGCTCGTGTACGAACCGGCACGAACCCTGCTCAGGGGTTACGAGTCATTAGTGAGATGTGAACGAGTCATTAGTGAGATATGAAGGGAGCGCCCACTGGCTCGTGTACGAACCGACACGAACTCTGCTCAGGGGTTACGAGTCATTAGTGAGATATGAAGGGAGCGCCCACTGACTCGTGTACGAACCGACACGAGCTCTGCTCAGGGGTAACGAGTCATTAGTGAGATATGAAGGGAGCGCCATGTGATGTCGCCATGGGAGCGCCATGTGATGTACTGGTAGAGCCATGTTTCATCTCCGTTCACAATCCGCTCAAGAAAAAATTCAGGCTTCTCTACCCACTTTTTCAACTTTCCATAGAAAGACCTGCTCTTGGTTCCTGCTGATCTTGGCACAACAGCCTGGGATCCACTGAGCAGAGGGCTTGCTCAGTCACAAAACTGCCCACCAGAATTGTGTGTGCGCAATTCACGGAGATGTTGAGTGTCTGCTACTGATTCGGTGGTTATTCGCCTAGCTTCTTCAAAGAGATCACGAACAACATCGACGTTTTCCTCACAAACTTACGTGCGTAGCCTGCTTCTGCTGAGGTCATATATGCTCTCAGTTCTTTCGCTTCTGGGACGACTAATACATTTGTAGATTACTGATTTATTTGTGGCCCTGTCACCATAAACTTGCTCCAGAGAGTCAGTTATTTGGATTCTACCCAAGCTTCACCATGAATCTGATGTTTGACCAGACCTTGATTTCGGCAGATGTCATGTTGCATGAACGGTTATTGCTTTTAAAACAGCACCCAGCGTTTGTAACATTAATTTAAGGGTTAATGTGAAAACACGTTGTAAAACATTGATACAGGATCGTTCAAGTGCATTGGCAACATTTCAATCATAGAATTTTCAGTTACGTCCATTTTCCACGAACTTTTCGAAGCCCCTCGTATGAGCACGAATCCCAGTGTTCCTAACGATGTATTTGAAGCAACATAGGATTATCAGAGCATTTCTAGATGATCCATGCACATTCACTCTCGGTTAATTTTGAATAGGCTCGTGTAGGCAAAATGTTGAATACATTAACCGAACATTTGAATAATAGGCAAAATGTTGCCGGCAACAATCAACAAACACGTAGACCAGGTTAGTGGTGCCATGGTTGAACTAGTATAAGGTTGACCCATCAGAAGCCCATTTTTGCGGATGTAGCTCGTTGTTCGCCTGTGACGTCACTGATCTCAGTGACGTCACGGGCATTAACCAATCACCGAAATGCGATCAAACCAGTCAACCAATCCGTCATGGGAATGACGGGTTTGTTTACGTTTCTCGATCTCAGTGACGTAACAAGAAAGCTGAACTGAAAGACGGAACTTCTCGTGGGTCAACCTTATATAGTTCAACCATGAGTGGTGCAACCACGGCTTTGCTGAGCGCATCTCGTACGAATAATAATAATGATCGTGGCGGAGCATCGTGTCACGATGTAGAACATTTTAAAATGAGCTATGATAATTCGCTAAAGTAATGCTCCAATGAAAAAAATAACGGCAATAAATTGAACGGAGTTGACAACAATTACAAATTATCAAATCCTAATGATTTAATAATCCAAATGATTTAATAATCCTAGTGATTTACTAATTCTAATTATTTTAGAATCCTAGTGATTTAATATAATCCTAATGATTTAATAAACCTAATGATTCAATAATCCTAATGATTTAATAATCCTTGTGATTTACTAATTCTAATGATTTTATAATCCTAATTATTTTATAATCCTGATGATTTTATAATCCTAGTGATTTAATAATCCTATGATTTACTACCGGTAATTCTAATAATTTAATAATGCTGCTGATTTAATAATCAATGATACAAATGCTAAATGCATTGGCACGCACCGAATGCTGCGGCGCATGCGTCTTCTGGCACTCCCTGCTGCAGTAGCCGACGGTGAGGCACTTCTGGCACCGACTGATGCGAAGCTCTGAGTCTCCAGCTCTGAAAATAAACAATGACAATGCATACAAATGGAAATTATAATATAATGCATACATTCCATGCATGAAGAGCAAAAGATTTCATCCTAAAACACTTGCCTATTTTCATTTAAGTAACATCGTACAAACAAATTCTACCCTGGTCTCTAATGCCATTCGAGTTTTAATAACTGTTCAACTGAAGCATACTTGAGCAACAATGAGACTGTGTTAAAGCAAGGAAATGTTTGGCTGAAAGTATCGTGTGACAAGCGAGCGTAGCTCGTGATATTCAGGAGTGGATATCACACAAAACATGTACACGTGAAGTTAAAACTGAGCCCGGAGCAGAAATTTAACAGATCGCGTACTAACCAGAACGTCACTAAATCTCAGAAAAGCAAGAAACAGGGAACTAATAATAAGGATCGCTGTAATAATAACAGTTATTAAATAATTATGCCAATTTCAATTGCCACGAGGCAAGTTCAAAGACATTAGCATGAGAACATGTTCAGACTTAAAATGCCTAGCACCTTGCGGACCAGGCAATAAGTCCAGCAGCTATCTCAATCAATCGTCAGCTATGGAAAGATCGGGTTCCAAAGACCGGATCCCTTGTGAATCAAGTCACGAAAAGTTCAGGAATTGGCAACAGGCCATGGGCCTATTTCTTCAATGCCGACACTTCTATTCTATTTCAAAACAGTGTAAGTACGAATTGCAGGGCGGCCGACCTGCCACAACGGACAAACAATTATGTCAATTTTAAATGCCACGGGGCAAGTTTGAAGATATAAGCATGAGAACACAGTGCATTAGTTGCAGGGCGGCTGACCTGCCACAACAAGCACAGCGGCCGGGACGAGGCGGGGAGCTGAGACGCTGCGTCACGCACAGCTGCACCACCTCCTCGCCCCCCACCTGCACATCACAGTGCAGTGTTATTACATTAGTTTGTTACTAAATTAAATTATATGTAAAAAAATAATAACATATTTAGAACCCATTACACATAACAGTGCTATGTCATTACAGTAGTTTGTTACTAAATTAATTATATGTAAAAAAATAATAACATATTTAGAACCCATTACACATAACAGTGCTATGTCATTACATTAGTTTGTTCCTAAATTAAATTATATGTAAAAAATACTATTATGTTTAAAAATCCATTACACATAACAGTGCTATGTCATTACAGTAGTTTGTTAATATTAAAATTATAAGTAAAAAATATTATTTAAAAATCCATTACATGACTTTGAAGTTTTGTCCAAAAGTCATTCAAACTCTTGATTGCTAGAGCTCCTCTACCTTCCTCATGACAATAATATGACATAAATAAATACAATTATTTGCCGAAACCCTGAGCTTATTAAAAACTGGTGGTGTTAAGAATGAGGATTACTAGTTTTACAGCCTAGATAAGGGCATAAATTCCTTCGATAAGAAAATTAAAAGCACCATTTGTTGCCTTGGGGTCAATCTACACCAAGTGGCCTAAAATTGAAAAAATACACCATCATTGCCTCATATTTTCTACAAGTTTTAACTATAGGAATATACCGTAGCCAATGATTAAAGCGTATTTCCTATGAACCTAAGGCAGCATGTTGCTGCCTTTAGGAGCAACAGCTACTGATCTAGATCCCTGGTCTGAATAGTATTCTATACTCATGAATGTAAAATGAAACAAAATGACATTTTTGAGGTCTCATTAAATGGAAAATAATTCATAAGAAATGCTAGCAAGGGGAGACCCTGCATAGTTTTGCGCTTAATTTTTTTTATGCGCCCTCGACACGTACTCAATTGAAAAATATTGCCCAGTCATGAAGCCAGTAAAGCCATTCAAATTATTTCAGCAAGTTTAATATTTCTTTAAAGCCCACAGACTCATTTTCGACATTCATCATGGAGCAAAACGATAAATCAAGCTGTTGACATTACCTACCTTCTGCAAAGAAAATAAAGTCATATATATGAGCAAAACATAAACAAAAACGACCTGTTGCGTTCAAATAAGGAACAATCAGAGATATTCTCATAAGTGTGCAAAGATCCTATTAAACAACGAGGTTTGGTAGCCCCTATAAAGCACTTACCTGCTCAGGGATCAGTACTTCGAAAGCTAGGAGTACATCGTTATGCTCGATGCTCTCGATAGAAGACCCTCTGTCGAATATTTTCTGCACTCGATGCTTGAAGACCTCGAGGATTTCGATGCACAGAGGATTAACCTTCACTTTTAGGCCAATTTCTCTCTTGAGGTCCTCCAGGCCGGCGTCAGCGTTGATGCGCACGCTCAGTCTCACGGGCCGTTGTAGGGCGAGTTTGTAGAAGAACGTCACTTCCACCACCTATCAATGTACAATTATTATATTCCTGTCGTTGTAAGATGTACTGTATTTATTAACCAAACGTTCGTGAGAAACCGAATGAAACTAGAAGTTGCATTAGGCCAATTACTTTCAATAACATTAGGCCAATAGGGGCGAGTTTGTAGAAGAAGGTCACTTCCACCACCTATCAATGTTCACAGTATAATATTCTATGCAAGTTTGATTGAAGACCAGAGCATGCTTTTTATTAACAATCTTCTCGTTCGTCTTTTCTAGCAGGAGGAGTTATAATTAAAAAAAATATAATATTATTCCTGTCGTTGTAAGATGTACTGCATCAAGTGACCAAACGTTCGCAAGAAACCGAATGAAAATAGAAGTTGCATTAGGCCAATTACTTTCAATAACATTAGGCCATTAACTTTCAATAATATTAGGCCAATAACTTGCAAGATGTACTGCATATAGTAACCAAACGTTCGTGAGAAACCGAATGAAACTAGAAGTTGCATTAGGCCAATAACTTTCCTCTTGAGTCTAGAGCAAACTGAACAACTTAAAGCTTCAATGGTCAATTATGCACATCACTCACTCGATTCTGTTATAAATGTCAATGCGTGTTAAAACATCGTTTGAAGAAAGGAACAGGTTCATGACGTTGAAATATTTTAAATTTATAGAAGCCAGTGGGTGCAAGTTAACAACAAATTTTGATTGAGACACACAAATGCATTACAAAATTGTTACTTGAATGCAAATAATGGATTAGAGTAGAATTGCATACCTAACTTCAAAGTAAATCTTATCAAAGAAAATAATTCAAATGCAGCAACACATTAGATAATAATCGATTGGTTATTTTTAAATTATCTTTACGCATTGATTAACGTAGGCCAAATACATGAAAAGCGAATTGAGTAATCTTTTGAAAAATGTAAACGCAAGGAAACATTGTGTCGTGAACGATGTTGAAATATCAGTATGATGGAAAACCAAGTTGAATAGAGTACTGAAGGAAGCGATTTGAGTAGGAATTCTATTGAAAAATATAAAATATGGTGTCGTTAATGATGTTGAAATATCATTATGCCGGAAAACCAAGTTGAATAGAGCACTGAAGTAACAAAATATCTTAGAGTAAAGCTACCTTCTGATCCTTGGGGATAGGCACGGAGAGGCAGCAGAACTCGTCGAACTTGACGGAGATCTTCTCTTTAAATGAAAAATTAGAAATGAAAACATCTTATAATAAAGCTACCTTCTGATCCTTGGGGATGGGCACGGAGAGGCAGCAGAACTCGTCGAACTTGACGGAGATCTTGCCGCACTCGTGGCAGGTGAGCGCTGAGCGGAACTGCCCTTTGAAGAGGTCGTCGATGACGGAGTCGTTGCGGAGCTTGTGTAGGTGCCAAGACTTGGCTGCCGCGTCAACGTCGCTCCAGCCATCCAGCTCTGGAGGCTCCGCGCAGTAGGGCTTCTCTCGCACACGGTTCAGGTCCTTGTGGTGTGCACAAATTACAGTGAAATTAGTCAGAATTTTTCTTGGACCAAATTCAATTTATTGTACAGAATGGAAGATCAAATATTCTTTACAGCTACAAACAATAAAAAAAGTAAAATTTCTAAAATCTAACATCTAATAAAACTAGAATTCATTCAGAAACTCATGGTTCATTTTTTGGATCACCAACTGATGCCTGATGAATAATCAAAGATGGATGTCCAAGGCGCAGGTTCAATCCGTCTTCTGCTATTTCATCTCAACCAGTAATATGATGACACGAATATGGTGTTTTGTCAGCACATGAATGAAGTCAATGCAAGGTTTGAATTACTAAGCACTGCGCACCTCATGCAGACCGTCGAGCATCTCGACCATGAGCTCCTGGGCGTCGTGCTGAGCGAAGCCCGAGAACTGGTTGGCTTTAAGAGACATGACGGCCTTCAGCTTCGTGGGCGCGAACGACCTGCACACCAGATATTAACGTCCCGTAGTTATTATTTTTATTATTATTATCAAATAGTTATGGCAATCCACCGATTAATCAGTTTATCGTGAGTGCGAACGACCTGCACACCCAATATATATATCCCGTAATTATTATTATTAAGTATAATAAATCCACCATTAATCAGTTTATCGTGATAGACGTCACAATAGTGAAGCAATAGCCCGATGCAGAGGCTTTTTTCTAGAATTATTGGTTTCATTAATATGCTTATGCTCAATTCTCATTGTATTCTCTCTTTCTCTGTACACAATTCTATCGCAATTCAGCTGACACGGTGGCTCTTAGCATCCTATCTACCTAGACCGTTCCCCAGACACAGACTCCTTCGTGTTGCACCTGTAGTAAACGCCTGCGAATGCACTGCGCCTCATTCAATAGTGAATCAATGAAGATTGTTTCTACTTCTCTAATCCTGCCATAAGTCCTCCTTGGAATAACTTGGAACAATTACAGAAACCAGACTTTCAGAAGATTATTAGCACCATCATCAGGTGACCACAGAGAAGCTCGCCTCACATTAATTTAGCACAAGATACCAACCAAAACAGCCAACAAAATGCTTTGATGAAGTTTACCGGGCAATAGTTTTGAAAGTTTTTTTTAGACGTGGGGAACTTTTTACCTTCTAAAACACGATACATTAGGATAAAAAAAAAAAGAAAAAAAGGGGGAGATGAACAGTGAAACAGAGAGCGGCCAATACAGCAGCTGCAACTTTTGAATGAGGACTCATTGACACTGTAAGCCAGTCCACCTTAGACAATTAGGACTCACTGGCACCGTAAGCCAGTCCACCTCAGAGAATTAGGTCTCATTGGCAGCGTAAGCCAGTCCACCTTAGAGAATTAGGTCTCATTGGTAGAGTAAGCCAGTCCAATGCAGAGAATTAGGTCTCATTGGCAGCGTAAGCCAGTCCACCTTAGAGAATTAGGTCTCATTGGCAGCGTAAGCTAATCCACCTTAGAGAATTAGGTCTCATTGGCAGCGTAAGCCAGTCCACCTTAGAGAATTAGGTCTCATTGGCAGCGTAAGCCAATCCACCTTAGAGAATTAGGTCTCATTGGTAGAGTAAGCCAGTCCACTGCAGAGAATTAGGTCTCATTGGCACCGTAAGCCAGTCCACCTCAAAGATTTAGGACATAGTCCTAATTAGCTTACGGCGCCAGTTATTCATAATTCTTGGAGGTGGACTAAAATAAAAAAAATCTTGGTAAGGTTTATTAGTTCAGGTGAAGGGTGACATGTGCAACAGCAGAGAATAGGCAAACCCATTCGACATCACACTAACTCGAAACATCCTCAATACTATTTAATCTCACTGGAAGCTAAAATACTCGAGTACAAAAAAAAAATACAGAAAAATTTGTAGGAAAAGGAAATACTGAAACCATGTAGGAGTAAACTCAAATAGTCATACGCACCTAGGTAAAACTAAAAAAAATTACAGCCAACTCAGAAACAATCAACAGTCAGACATTGAAGCTAGCAAACACATCTGAACATTTCTGACCTGCAGTTTTGGTTCCATGCGACGTTCATAAGCACAGCGAACGCAACAGCCAACTTGCCGCCCTGGCCCAGTGGGTTTCTCTTGTTGAGCTCCTTCTGGTAGTAGTTCTCTGTCATGGAAATAATCATTCAGAGTACATATATACCGTACAGTACAATAAAACTTGAAGAAAAATATGGTTGATAATGAGGTTTTGCAAAAGTATTGTTAGAGTTTCCGAAATGAGAGTGCCGAAACTATCAAATAGCTAAGGAAGAGAATAATTCATGGTCATCAATCAACTTAATGAATTAACAATACTGTTCTCCCTATACTAATATCCTCACATTGCATTGAACATTCCCATGCTCTGGTCCGACACCACACCACGACTTGAGAAAGTTCCCCGTCTGAGCTCCAATATTCATTATATGAAAAAATGTCATTACGAATATGTAAACCGAAAAATTTAAAAACGTATTCAATAACTGTCATACTATTGCGTGGAAAAAGAAGAACACACAATCACCTGCAGAGAGATTCGTTAGAGTGCACATAAGCGCTTCAATAAAAACGTCAACATGAGCTTATTAAGCATCATAATCTTAATGAAAACATTTTATGAAAATTATTAGCTCATTTTCTCATTCATGGAAAAAATGAACTATTGTGCTCGCCATGTCCGTCTGTCTGTCTGTCCGTACATCCGTGACCTCAAGTTTTCGTCGACGAGAAAATGCACTCTCTGTCACTCACTGCAGTGAGTACTGAGTTATGGTATATTTTTTAGAATGTATTTACGTGGCGAGAGGAAGTAGTGTCGCAGTTCCCTGGTGTTGAGCAGGGTCTGCAGCACGCTGTTCATGAAGCAGGTGTTGCCGATGTTCTCAAGCCCCATGTAGCCTGGGGCGCCGCTGCTGCTGCCGTACGTTGACAGCGCCCCACTGCTGTACAGGCCAGAACTGCTACTGCTGCTGCTGCTGAACATAAACTTGTCCTCCATGCGATTGCTGGGAGATGGCAACACTTGGCATGTTGGCTTCTGCAATGATATATGTCATTAGTATCATAGCCAATAAAATCTAGCGCAGTTAGCAGATGAAATCACTTATTTAAACCGACTAGTAGGTATATCAAAACCAATAAAATCTAGCGCAATTAGCAGATGAAATCACTTTTTTTCAAACCGACTAGTAGGTACCTATATCAAAGTCAATAAAATCTAGCGCAATTCGCAGATGAAATCACTTTTTTTCAAACCGACTAGTAGGTATATCAAAGCCAATAAAATCTAGCGCAATTAGCAGATGAAATCACTTTTTTTAAACCGACTAGTAGGTATATCAAAGCCAATAAAATCTAGCGCAATTAGCAGATGAAATCACTTTTTTTAAACCGACTAGTAGGTATATCAAAGCCAATAAAATCTAGCGCAATTTGCAGGTGAAATAACTTTTTTCAAACCGACTAGTATATCAAAGCCAATGAAATCTTTCGCAATTCATAGATAAAATCCCTTATCATAAAACCGACTTGATAATTATTTGCTTTCTTCAGTATAGCATCGTATTTCCAACATGGGAAGTAAACTGTGAAAGTATATTAGCAAAGAGAAGCAGTTAAGGTTGACGTGACACCAACTCTGTGCTGGACAGGAGTGGGCGGGGTAGGCGGAGGAGGAGGCGCAGGAGAACTCACAGCATCCATGGTCTTCTCTTTAACGTTCACTGCAATGGATAAATGTAGCACTTTATTCTTCATAGAACTAGCTTAATTCAGTATATAAATTTTGAACAGCTGCTTGCAGGTTTAGGCAACGTTTGAAGCTCAGTACCGGTATATATTGGAGCTCTTCAAGATCGTATCCATAATACTTTATAGTTGGAGTCAGAAGCCAAACAGGAGATGGAAATAATATCAAAGACTACAACTTTTGTTTCTCGTTTCATAAATTAAAATTCTATTCTATGCTATCAATAAAATATTTTTGTTTCCCTAAAATTGGTAGATGGTGCGTGGTCTAAACGGTGGTTTTATGTTATGTACCGGTATGGGTTTAAACAGGTCAACTGAAACTACATATGAATAAAATAATATATAAAGTAAGACAGTTTGATAACATTAGGTATAACATTATCTTTTATGACAAGGAAAAAGCAATGCCGGGTGAAGAAACAGGTTATGACGAATTTATTGAACTATACTTGTTAGAAAACCAGCATAGATGAACTATCTTAGCTAGAAAACCAGCATAGATGAATTATCTTAGCTAGAAAACCAGCATAGATGAATTATCTTAGCTAGAAAACCAGCATAGATGAATTATCTTAGCTATAACCAGCATAGATGAAATTATCTTAGCTATAAAACCAGCATAGATGAATTATCTTAGCTATAACCAGCATAGATGAAATTATCTTAGCTAGAAAACCTTCATAGATGAATTATCTTAGCTAGAAAACCAGCATAGGTCCTCACTTGCAGGTGCAGCACTGCAAGGAGACACGGCTTGCCAGAGTCCAGGCTTAGCTTTCTTCATTTTGATCTCCATTTTGGTGTTGGAAACAACATGGGATCCTTGGTCCGGCAAGATGGCTCCCAGGAGTGGCAACTCGTAAACAAACACGGTCGAGCTGTTGGAGCCAGGCTCGCTCGCCAGGAATTGAGAGTCACTAAACAGGAAAATAGACAAGAATTCATGAGAAATGCATGAATATCAATAAAATTAGTAGAATTACTCATGCAATTAAAGAATACTATAGAATACTACTGCAAATAACAAATATTGTTCAAGCAGATATAAAAAATAGTCATAGTACCTATGAAAAAAAAAGATTGAGAGAAAATTACAGACCATCATTCAACTATTCTAAATAATTAGGCAACATTGCCTCGACAAGTTCCTCTCTACTCTGTTCCTCATTGAAATTCAATATGAACATATAAAATTTTTACATGACTTTCAAAGCCAAAAATTATCCGAAAATAATATCATGCAAGTACTACAATGCAGGATGTTAAATAGAACTTACCTTGTGCTGAAACGGATGGTCACATTTCTCTCAGAGAAAGAGACTTTCACAGACTCTTTGACAATTTTTTTAATGTAAATGAAAAGCGTAAGTTGATTGGCATCATTAGGTTCATAAAAATCTAATTTAATTTTTTGATCTTTAATTAAAACAATATTTTCTTTGGGGTCTGCAGTTTTGTCACAAACTACTTCAGGCAGAGGAACTCCATCCCCTCCATCTCTTCTGGCCTGACTCTTGTTGATTGTGTTGTTGTTGTTGTTGACATTCTGATTCATGCAATTGTTGCTCCTGTTCTTGTTGCTAGCAATATCACTTGGCTGTGCAAAAAAAAATATTTAAATATCAATGCAGTTGCCATACCTATCATTTGTTAACAACAGTAGGTACATGAAATCAACTAAGTGTATTAACTAATTAAATGTATTATAAATACCTTCTCAATTTGCTGCATATACTACAATGAATATTTATTCAGTTCTTATTAAATTGATTAACAAGCATATAATAAGTATTTCATTGTTTTGAAAACAAAAATTTTTGTCTAGTTGAGAAAGTATTTTTCAAAAAAGGTACCATTAATGTTGGCCAGTTTAGAAGTGGATCATGCTTCATAAGCTTCACAACAAATTTGTTGCTTTTCTGGAGTTTTTCGTACACCTGTGGCACCACTTCAGCATAAAGTTTAGTTGAAAATCTCCTTCCATCAGCAAGGGTTATACTGACCTGTGAAAATATGTACAAAAAATATAACTCAGTACTCACTGCAGTGAGTGACAGAGAACGCATTTTCTTGTTGACAAAAACCTGAGGTCATGGACAGACGGACGGACAGACAGACAGACAGACGGACGGACATGGCAAGCACAATAGTGCATTTTTTCCATAAATGAGAAAATGCGCTAAAAAGATCATGAATACTGCAAGGCAGAAGAAAGCAGTTGAGTTAGATTTCATCCATAAATCCATCTTTACTGGCTTGATTCCATCATTACAGTGAGATAAATGCAAAGTGAATAAATACATATATTATAGCTATACAGAGCATAAAAATCATCATGCAAATAAGCACTTCACAAGGCACATTTGAGAAATTTAAGTATACAATCTGAACAAAACCGGTACTACTGTAAGTATTCAAGTAACAAAATGAGGTGGAATGACCATTCTTTAAAGAATTACGAAACAAGAACACAAATGATATGGGCTTCAATTGTGTAAAAATTACCATAAATGAAAATTTGCATGGGCAAAAGGAGTACCTAATACAAATGAAAAGTTCACAAGCTACTTTATATTGAAAAATTCAACATGAACATTGTTCAACCCTGGTGGCAGGTGATAGAAATTTGATGTGATTGTAGTACAAAGACAAGGATGTCCCTAAACAGCAAGTAATTTGAACATATGGCAAAACCACAGGAGTAAATGAATACATTTCATGGTACACAATCAAATTCAATGTAGTATCAATGCTCTGGAGACTCACATGGTTTGACAACACCTCCACTTTAGCTTTGGCTTCATCATGTCCTCCACTTGTGATAAGAGATATGGTGACCCACGAGTCTCTTTGACTCCAATCATGGAGAACATCGCTGTTGACAGAATTACCTGCAAAAAAAGATTGTGTTAAGACTTTTTTTCAAATCATGTTTCATCATCAATAACATAGAGTTTCCTGGTACTGTGATTGTGTAAATACTTTTTTCAAACCATGTTTCATCATCAATAACATAGAGTTTCCTGGTACTGTGATTGTGTAAATACTTTTTTCAAACCATGTTTCATCATCAATAACATAGAGTTTCCTGGTACTGTGATTGTGTAAATACTTTTTTTCAAACCAAGTTTCATCATCAATAATATACTAGAATTTCCTGGTACTGTAATGAATTTTTTCTGTTGTATGTTTAAAAATGATCAGTTCTGTCCTCTGCTCTCTCTTGAAGAGAATTTCCACCTGTTTATTGATGTTTGCATTTAAAGGTTAATCAACTAAACAAACACTTTTTTAAGAATGGGGTAGGAAATGGATAGCAGTATTATTTGAAATAAAGCCAAAAAGATAAATTGCCACAGATTTTTCAATTTGATACTCACGATTTTCCCTTTCTTTTTTCTTCTTCAAACTTGTTCCCGAGTCTTCATGATTTACACACAGAGGCAAGTTATTGAGAGATTTTCTATCCATGAATAATGTTGAATTTTTTTATCTGAATTAATGAAAGTTCAAGTTTCAAGTTGTATAGGTACTTTTTTTATTTGAATAGTACTATGTAACAACCATGAATAGACAATATATCAAAAATCTGGAAAATAAAATAAATAGCTATGATAACATAGGTACTTTCTTTACACACATGCTAAGCAATCATTCATTATAATTGTTCCCAGGTACATTCTCAGCATGAATAGGCTGTAAAATTAATTGGCACAATTTCATCCAAATTGTCCATCTCCAATTTGTTCCAACTTAAACAGCATGAATTACATTTACAGGGGTTTTGCCACTATCACCAACATATTAAATATGAGGAGGCTTCAGAAATTCCATGGAAAAACAATTGTTTAAATAAACTGACAAAGTCATAATCATAAATTTTCTTCATTAACATACTCCAATGTCTAGGTATTTTGCATTAGGTACCTAATTACTTATTGTGAAATGTACCGTCAACCGGGGCTACTTGGGACGGGCAGGGTAACTCGGGACAGTCCTCCAACACGGCATAAAACTGTTTTAGTAGCAAAACTAATTGGAATATTGAAAAAATAAATATAGTGGCGTAAACATCAATATTTTTCCTATCTATGTAGTATAAAGGAAGTTCAAAAATACCGTCAATCAGGGCAACTCAGGACAATTTTGAACATTTTTCATTCATAACTTCTTACCATGAAACATTTCATAACAAGTTTAGGCTCATTTCAATGCTTTTTGCAAGGGCTATCACATGGCTTCTCAAGAAAAAATTCCATATGCTATTCGTAAGGTTCCAGAAGCAAAAAAAAAGTGTCCCGACTAGGCCCGTCAAACGGGGCTACTCGGGACACTTGGAATAAAACTTCATTTTAAAACATTTGAAGCATGCAGAGTGTACTCGTCCATTACTAACAGTACTCTGAAGTCCTCCTCTTTCATTGTAGATGATGTAGAGGTAGAATAAATGACATTTTCTCTGATTTTTACTTGTTTTTCCTTTATTGATATATTACCATATACATTGATTACCGTATTATTGATGCGATATTACTGTATTATTGATGCAATATTACCGTATCCGTGATCATGCCATTGAGCATTTACAACAACCTTGTCCGCTGCAAGCTTCATATCAGCAGCCTTATAGCATTTTTTTCCGTATCTGTAAGCTTACAGGACGGCTTCAGGCTTGTAAATGTAATTTCACACCATTTTAATTTATTGGGTTAACTGTTAAGTGAATTTACATTTTACTATAAAATGATAACTGTCATCATCTACAATGAAAGAGGAGCCTGAGGAGAAATTCAGAGTACTGTTAGTAATGGATGAGTACACTCTGCATGCTTCAAATGTTTTAAAATTAAGTTTTATTCAAAGTGTCCCAAGTAGCCCCATTTGACGGGGCTACTTGGGACACTTTTTTTTTGCTTCTGGCACCTTACCCTTACTGCCTTACAAATAGCATAGGGTAAACGCGGTATATTCCGACATCGTAGGTAATTCCGTCACTTCTCTAGTTTTTCCTGTATATTAAGCTTTGTTTTAGTTCCATGCGTTCATTGATGGTTGAAATGGTGACGTCATACATTTGCGTGTCGAAATACTGCAAAAACACTAGGTCTTGGCCATCTAGTGGGAAAATATTGAGATCCAAAGAGAGACAATGCATGCCACCTGCTGAGATCATCAAAAAATTTGTCAAATTTGACAGTTGACCTTGCTCTACCAAATAGTGAATAACTGTTTTTATAGGAAGAATATTATGGTTTGAGACTTTTAAATACGTCTGTGAATATATTAGGAATCCTTTAAGTATACTTATATTCGCTGATTTCAAGTCGTAAATAAATTAATAGATGATTAGGTTGAGATGTTGGATTTCGACACATGAAAACTAATTCCGACACAACTTGAATTGGACACACACAGATCGTTCAAAGCTTTGTACAAAAATTGAAATTTGCTTCATTAAAAGCCTAATAGCTGTTAATTAAAATGTAATTAAGTAGTGTTCAATATTCGTTAGTGTTCTAATTCAAAGCCATGTTGTATCCCAATACAGCTCACACAGCAAACGGAATTTGAACACGTGGAAGTTGGCAATACGTATCAGTTAAATTTGAAGCGCTGACGCAATACGACTCACCACGTGTCGAATATTGCCACACAAAGTGACGGAATATAGGGATTTGGTAGGTTTCCATTCTAAAGGCTTTTTAATAAATATGGCAACATTTTGTGACGTTTCATCGTTGCTGACGCATAATGAAGTGTTTTGAGAGTCATGTGAAGGCAACAGAACTTATGTAACGCATACGTTTTTTTTTATAGTTTTTCATTTCTCGATGCGTCCTTAATGTGTCAGAAACTGCTGGTATCCATGATACTTTTCTGGTCTACTTATAGGACTCAAAAATGAACTCAAGACAGAGTCTAAAAAACTCTCTGCTTTGCCACTATGGCGTAGGCATGGATTATATTATTTCAGAATATACTGCGTTTACCCTAGGGCTTTTCCCAACTAGATTTACAGCACTTTTAAATAAAAAAATCAAAAACAGTGACTAAAATCAATTTGATATAAAAATAATTTAATTATTGATGTTGATGAATCACGAATGAAGATATGAGACTGAGAGCAGAGCAGACTGAGGCTCACTGAGCAGTAGTAACACAATCATACTCATAGTATGATAGTGGTTATAATTGAATAAATTTAAACTCTGGACTGGAGTCTGGAACATGGTTTTAAACAGTGAAAGCTGTAAGCTGAACCATGATTTTATTTAAAGAAGTTATTATTAGTTATAGTTACAACTTACATTTACAAAATGTGAACTGAATATTCTAATTTGTCACACAACACTGTGCGTGTGCGGAGTTTGGTGATTGGGTTGACAAATGACAAGATAAAGATTATAGACTTTCAAAATCATGTTGGCCAGTGGTCACTAGCCCATAGTGACAAACCATGGATTTTTTAGAATCAGTTCATTTTTAATTTCCTTATTTAGGTACTCACAAGTCACAATTTAAACCAATTTCTTATGTAGCCTATGATAATGCAGGTATGAGCCTAGAGGTATCCAAGATACTTTACTGGTCTTGTGGTCTACATGTAATACTCAAAAATGAACTTGAGGGTGAATCTAAAAAACTCTCTGCTTCGTCACTATGCTGACTAGCCCTAGGGCTAGGGTAGTCACTACTCGCTAGAAGAAAACTATTACAATTACGTGATTCAAAATGAAAAAAAGAGCAAAGAAAGCTGATTTCTGACTTCAGAGCTCTCAAAATGCTCCTTCGATCTTCGACTGTTTTTCATGATTTTCGGGAGTCTCTAAATAATCATAAAACGTGACCCTACGGAAGGATTTTTTTTACTAAACTCGACAAACTGTCTACTGCAAAGCGCCAAAGAGCCGAAGGAATAGCACCGGAACGATTCCATTGATAAAAGAGTACCACTACTTCTGCACGCAAAATGACGGACAAATTGACCGAACGCGCTAGCGGAACTCGTTTCGATAACGTCATATAATTAGCGGAATTAATTAATCAGCATCGGTTGAACACAATATTTCATTGCACTTAATTCATTTAACAGGAATATTTACAAGTAATCTCAAATTACTGAGTGTTCATGAGTGATACTATCGCCAACCTAGGCTACCAGCAGTTTCATACATATGGCATATGCGTTGAAAATCATTTTCATTAGATCAGTGAATCAAAAACGAACTGGTTTGAAAAAATCTCACATTTGCTCATATGTAACGCTAATGAGTGGTGAGACGCTTCCTCGCGAAAGGTTCCTCTGTTGAAGTACCTACATGTGAAAACCACAAGAACTGCAAAATCGGGCAAAATCCTGGTCGGAGGTAACAAAAATCAAACTTTTCAAAAAGAATTTGATCGAATCTTGATGTAATATCAGTACGATTTAGAGCGTTGCTGATTGTGTAATTTTCTGCATCAATCCCGGCTTCCTCAGAGTCGCTTTTAATTTCGCCAGGAGTAACAAGCTGGTTCTTCTGTACCTTTATGCTTATCCACCTTGCATAACAGTCTGTTAGTTTCCTTGGACAGCCAGGTCTTGGAAGGTTAACAACAGCATGCTCGGAGGATATCATCAGAAAGATATCGGCACCTTTTACTGTCCTCGTGTAAAGGCTTACTTGCGGATAGTCACCAACCGGCCGACATTTGCCAGATCTACTTGCCGCCTGCACTGTCCCCGTGTACAAGCACCTAAAAGCACGCCCTCACCTGTTGACGTATGGCCATAAGTGATGGTGGTCCCACTGCTACCATCTAAGGCTGTTTGATGATGGATTGAATATCGTTTCATTAACAACATCGTGGTCGAAAACGCAGTCTGCGAGTCAATAAGGATACCTCAATAACCTTCTGTTAAACAAATCTGTCGCACCGCAGTGAAAAACTTTGAAAATAATATTGCCGAAAATGCAAAAAAAAACCGTAAGCCTTCTTTTTGTACGCTAGCTCGGAGTGTGAGACAAACGACGGTATTTCCAATTTAAAAGTAGATCAACGAAATATATACTCTGATGAGGACAAGGGTAACGTTCTTGATCAATTCTTTAGCAGTGTGTTCACATATGAGAACATGAACAGCATTCCAGCTCCTGAGGAGCGCCCAGTCGGCTCGAAGTTAACAGGTTTAGAAATACACGAAGAAGAGGTTCTCAAGAGTCTGGTGGCTCTAAATTTCAACAAGTCATGTGGACCAGACGGCTTCCACCCTAGATTGCTAAAAGAATTAGCCACCGTCCTGGCCCGCTTTGACAGCATTCTTTCTAAATACTTTCAACGAAGGGAGTTTGCCGACCGATTGGAAAGAAGCTCAAGAAACAGCATTGTTCAAAAAAGGCGAAAAAAGTAGCCTTGGTAACTATCGCCCTGTCAGTCTGACAAGTGTTGTTTGTAAGTTGATGGAATCTGCGAGGAATAGGTTCATCGATCACTTAACTGCTGACAATCTCCTATCATACTGTCAACATGGCTTTATTGCCGGTAGCACAACAAACCTCTTGGTTTGGCTCATCAGACTATCCTACGAGTACCTAGATGTAGCATGAAAA